CGTCCCCGAGACCTGAGCAAACCATAGTGCTAGATGGCCATAGGCTTAGGCGCTCCAGGCTGTTGTATGTTTTCGCCATTTTCTTGTGTGATGGGAGACGCTCATTCTAGAATCATGAGACATAACTAACCAACAAGCAATCTATGAAGACGGTCAAAACGATCACAACATGATTATACCTTTGATCTAGTCGCAAATCATATTATGCCGAGGCCCCAGCAGTTTAAGAGAGCCAGAGGGGTATTCTTATCTACTCGTACTTAGTATCTTATGCTCAAAGGTCACAAACAAAATCCCGCAGTCTTGGCATCAAGTACATCGCGCCGGGCCAGCAAATTCTGGAAACAAAGTCAACAGTTCTGAACTGAGCACTGTTTCAAACGATCCCAGAACTCGAGTTGGCTTCCGAGCGGGTCGTATCCATACGCACAATATCCCATGGGACCTCAACATGTCCAATCTAGAGTGGAAAGCTCCAATCCCTTATAACAACAACTTCGCCACATACCTCTATCCGCACATGAAACGCAAGCAGACAACCAATTTTCGTGTAATATGCGGTCATTTCAAAAGCATTTATTCTTCGATTTCTTCCATATCCCTCATGCCAAGTCGGAATGCCTGATGGGGCAGTGAGCATGTACAGTACTTTATGCAACTCGGGAAAACCGGGCGCCCGGTGCTAGGCGGTCAGGTGATGCCAGATGAAATTTGCCCGTCGATCAAGCTATACCCGGCTCTCTATCCGATTCTCTGTTCTTCTTCTACTCATCACACCCTATTCCAATCCCTTCAATCAATTCACAATGTTCCAGCGGACTTTTCTCAGACAGGCCCGGGCTGCCCGGTCACCTCTAAGCACCATCTCCTCCACAACCGCCACTCCGCTCGCCCTCCGCCCGGCGTCGCGCTTCCAAACACAGCTACCTGCCATCACCCAGGGATTTGCGCCCCGTGGCCGCTTCTACTCTACCGAGCCGGAGCAGAAGGATGCCCCGAAGGAGGGCGAGACTGCTGAGGAGACCCCTCTAGAGCAAGCCCAAAAGAAGATCGAGGAGAAGGAGAAGGAGGTCATTGAGCTCAAGGTAAGCTATCCACCTAGCACCCAATGCATCTATTCTTATCCCGGCAGCTAACACACGCTCCTCAGGACAAATATCTCCGATCCGTTGCCGACGCCCGTAACCAGCAAGAGCGCAGCAAGCGTGATATGGATGGCGCCCGCAAGTTCGCTATCCAGGGTTTCGCCAAGGACCTCCTCGAGAGCATTGATAACTTTGACCGCGCGCTGCTGGCCGTGCCCGCGGAGAAGCTCACCGCTGACCAGAATGAGGAGAACAAGGACCTGCTCGAGCTCGTTGCTGGCCTGAAGATGACCGAGAACATCCTCATGAACACCCTTGAGAGACACGGTCTGGAGCGCTTCGACCCCGGCGAATTGGTCGATGGCAAGCCCCAGAAGTTCGACCCCAACCTGCACGAGGCCACTTTCATGGCCAAGTCCGAGGCCCACGATGACGGTGCTGTTATGTACGTCCAGAGCAAGGGCTTCCGTCTCAACGGACGTATTCTCCGCGCTGCCAAGGTCGGCGTCGCCAAGAACAACTAATTCTGTTCAACCTTTCTTCGTTTCCTCCTCCCCCTTTCCCCCCCGACATTAATGCCCGTTTCTTTCTTCTTTCTCTCTTTGTACCATAAGTCACCTGATGATCACGATTGGGGGTCACTCGGATGGGATACGGCTGGCTGTTTGTCCCGCAAAATTTTGTCTTCCTTGGTATTCCATGGTCACCTGGATCTGTATGATACACTTTCTGCATGACTGAAGGCGTCTGGGTTGTGTGTCCGTGTGGTTTTCACGCGATCTATATTCCGATAACTCTCTCCCCTCTGTACAATATATATCTTTGGAGGCGTCAATAAAAGCCTCACCCTCACTTTTTTCTCCCTTGACCCTCACTAGTAAATTATAGACTGACAGCTACTACTACGTCTCTATGTGGATGCTTTGCATCATGACCAGCCGTATTCTACTAGTACCTAATTGATCTGCCCACCCATCATTCCAAGGTTCCCGAGGCCATCCGCCAATTTCAAGTTGCTTAGAGATTCTGTAGGAGAGTGTTATGGTATTGTACAGTATTTATGACAATATAGAAACAACTTGAAGGTTCTATCGTACACGCTCGGTTTCTCAGATCACCTCAATTCCACTCCAAAGTCATCAACCAATTGCTTCCGGACTTGATCATGCATCTCATTAGCTTCCTCGTTCGTCAACGTCCGCTCCAAACTGCGATAATTGATACGGTAGCACATGCTCTTGCGTTGAGTCTTCGGGTGAGTGAATTCATCAATTAAGGAAACATCTTCCACAAGGTCACCGCCGATTCCACGAACAATTTCCATGACATCGTTCTCGTGGAAAGGCACAGCGCCGCCAGCGGCACTGCTGCCGCCGGTAACAGCGGAGGGGGGAACCCAGAAGGCAACGTCCTTGTAGCAGGCCGGGTGCTTAGAGAAAGGCTCGAAGCGAGTGATTTGGCCAGCGCGGAACTGGGACAGGAAACGCTGGTCGCGAGACCAGAAAAGACGGATGTCGGGAATGTTAAATAGGAGCATAGCAATGCGCTCGATTCCCAGTCCGAAAGCCCAACCAACTCGGTGCGGAACGTCGGAGTTGATGAGCAGATTCTGCTGAATCACACCACACCCAAGGATTTCGAGCCATTCACCTTGCCAAAAGACTTCGAGTTCCCATGATGGGCTGGTGAAGGGGAAGTACGCTTCTACCCAGCGGACCTTCAATGGCTCGGGTTCGACGTCACTTCCAGAGCTTGCGGCGGCGGCCTTGCTAGCTTCGGTGAAAACCTTGATGACCATACGCTCGAGCGAGCGCTTCAGATGTGCCCCAATTGCTTCGACTTCCTCCGCACTGTGATGCTCTGCTTGTAAGGGGTTCCGTTGGGGATGGATGGTCGGGTTTGGATCCTCGACTGGCACATCGTGGGTCGGAATTAGATCGATATCCGCGTTTATCTTGGCCGCTGTTTCAGCAGATGAAGCAAGCGGGTTGTTCTCGGGTCGCTTCCATAGCATTGCACCCTCCATCTGGTGGAAAACTGGATAATGGCTGCGATCGATAGCGTCGCGGCGGTAGACATCGGCAATCACGGTATATCCAACCTCCTCTGGGCGAGTTTGTTCATTTCGATTGAGCTGTTGGAAGTACGCTTGCTGGTGTGCGCTTGTGTGTGTACGCAACACGGTTTTGTCATTGACGTAGTAGGTGTCGGTACGGCTGCGGCCGGGGTGGTCCGCTGGGAAGCCGAGGACATCGAAATTCTGAGCTGTAGTAACGACGGGGTTCTTTTCGAGGTAGTTTCCAAAGACCGGGGCGGGGAATTGGCTTTCGATAAGTTTGCGGGTGATAGCAAGAGGGTGGTTTTCGTCGAGGTAGAGTCGGCGTCCGACATGCGACAGGATTTGGTCGGTAGTGTTGGTCCATTGATCTGTTGTGTATGAATCACCTTCGATGTTCAGGTTGGCGACTTGCTTCGCTTGTCCGGTGGACTGGGCAGTCCAGCGAGCTGGGGTTGAGCTCCAACTCCGAGAGAGGGCTGGAGTAGACCTATGGAGGAGGTATGTGCGGGCGATGGGGATTCTGGGCTGGGTTGCGGCAATTGACCAGCGACCACTGCTGGCCCTCAGGGCTCGGCCAGTCGCAAACAACCGCATGGCTCAAGCTGGGGTACTTTACTCGGTCACTCGAAGATGCGACGATGCGGTCTCCGCGGAATCTCAAAACATTTCGGCCCGGGGAAACTAGTCGCCGATATACTATCAGTAGCTGTTGATGGCTATTTCCTGAAAGTTGCCTACATGGTCTTTACATGGCTATCTACTTATGACCTAATGATTTACGATAACCTGGGCATGGTTGTTTCTTTTTGATGTCTGGATCAGTGGATACCAACCCGAACTTGGAATATCTCACGGTATTTAATTTTTACTGAGGCCCTAGGGCCTCAGGCCTGCCGCCCACACTGCTTTGTAGTCTATGGGGCTTTCATGTTGCGTTTGTCTTAGTAGTAGTAGTAGTAGTAGTAGTAGTAGTAGTGGTAGCTATTGCTCTGAGGGCTTTCTTCTCTATCAGAGTCATCACCATCATCCAGTTTCATATCATTTTGGTCCGCTCGCGTCACTACTATATTTCTTCATAGAAAGGACTCTACCCAAAATATATATAGTATTAGGACTACTAGTAGTACTGCTAATTACCAGTAAAACTACTAGTACCTAGTAAATCCTAATTATCTCCAATATACTACCGATGGTTAATGGATATAATAGATTGCTACTAGTACTAGTAGTCCTACTACCCAGATAACACAAATATCAAACTTTAATGAGGGAAACCCTCGTCCCTCGGTAATGCATCTGACCGCCTCAACCTCCCGCAATTCCACCGAAGATATCCGCCCGCCCGCCGTGGCCCCCGTTGACCTGATTGGATTCAGGTCGCCCTAGACCGTTTACACACTATTTAAATAGAGCTTGCCTGAATATCGCGATGATATCAGATCAACGGTCCTCGGTACCCAGTTCAAGGACCGATCCCGAACATGGACTGGGAGCAGCTGGGGGAGGAGATGAAGAGAGGGCTGCGGTAAGACCCTTACAGGCTGTATGACTTCTCGGATTCGAATGAAACCGAGTCTGTCATTGGGCTGAAGCGCCAAAGACCCGCTTCGGACCCCAGGGGAGACTCTGTGATTGGTTGTGAGGCGCCGCTCGGCTCCTCTCGCCGAACGGCGCTTCGGCGGCCTGATTTGTGTCCGTCGGTATTGGCGATCCAAAATTACGTCAAATGTCCTCGACCTGAAAAAAAGAATCAACTTGCTTTAAATCATCCACTCTTTCCCCCACCTCTCTCCCCTCCTCCCTCTCCACCCCACCCCTCCTCCACGGCCCTCGAGTTCTTGTTTCCCAGAAACAAGATGGCAGACAGTGGCAAGTTGCTCGAGGCTCCTGCCCATGCGCGGGTGGCGTCCATCTCGACGCCTGCGCAAGCCAAGCCGAAGAAGGTGGTGCATTACCCTTTTTGGTTTGGAGGTTCGGCCTCGTGCTTTGCCGCTTGTGTGACGCACCCTTTAGATCTTGGTATGTGAACCTGTGCGCGATCTGCTGTCTCTTATATTTTCATGCTGACCCTTTGCTTGCAGTCAAGGTATCTTCTCAGCTCTCGGCGTTTTGTCCGAACTATTCGCCCCTTCTTCAACTTTTACTGATATGATGCCCTGTCGCATTACAGGTTCGATTACAAACGCGCACACCCGATGCTCCGAAGAGCATGATTGGAACATTTGGACATATCGTTAGACATAATGGGGTTACCGGACTTTACGGTGGTGTATGTTGCGAACTCGGTCCCGATTTAAACGGCGGCTATAATCAGCTGCGGAAATTGTTGGAGTTGGAGCTAACGGATTCTTCACTGTGCGCGATAGCTTTCGGCCGCCATGTTACGCCAAATAACATATTCTACAACCCGATTCGGTATATACGAAGAGATGAAGAGCCGCCTTTCAAAGCCCGACTCGTCCGGCTCTTCCTCACCCGGACTCCTGACCCTCATCGGCATGGCCTGTACCTCGGGCTTCATCGGCGGAATTGCGGGCAACCCAGCCGACGTGCTCAACGTGCGCATGCAATCCGACGCTGCGCTGCCAATTGAAAAGCGCCGCAACTACAAACACGCTTTCGACGGTCTGATTCAGATGACCCGACAAGAAGGATTTGGCTCGCTCTTCCGCGGCGTTTGGCCGAACTCAACCCGCGCAGTGCTCATGACTGCGTCGCAATTGGCATCTTATGATTCCTTCAAGCGTGTCTGCATCGAGAAATTTAGCATGGGCGATAATCTGGGCACCCACTTCTCCGCATCCTTCATGGCTGGCTTTGTCGCAACCACCGTCTGCAGCCCTGTTGATGTTATCAAGACTCGGATCATGACCGCATGCCCGATTGAGACCCGCGGCCACACCACAATTGGGTTGCTGCGCGATATCTGCCGCAAGGAAGGTTTCGCCTGGACTTTCCGTGGGTGGGTTCCCAGTTTCATCCGACTGGGTCCTCATACCATTGCCACTTTCCTTTTCCTGGAAGAGCACAAGAAGCTGTACCGGAAATTGAAAGGTATCTAAACATTGAGTATAAAATCGGTTGTGTTTTGATCCCCCCCTTCACCCCCGCAAGCTCATCGTTCGCACGCATTATTTGATCCCCTGCGCACATCTATATATTACCCATCTAAACGACCTCGATTTTCTCTTACGACTATATGGGTGGGACATCCGTGGAACATGAGCAATTTATCGCTTGTACATATCTTGCATTCTCGTTGTGCTAGTTATTTTTTTCTCCAGCAGCTGGTTAGAACAGCCTGCGTCGTTTTTCGTGTATAGGGTGTGCCGGATGGGAGATTTCTTATATACTCGGAGACTGGAACCACATAGACATAGACTGCACCCTGAATCGCATCAGACCACTTTCCGCAAGGAACAAACATTGTTTTCTTTACTTTAATAATCGACACATGCGTACTACTGCACTGAATATTAGTAGCTGCGGGCCCTTGTGAGCATTACTCGGTTCACTTCAGGCTCTCGGCCGCATCCCCACAAAATAGATTTAGATCAGGAAAGAATCAGTTAATCAAGCACATTTCGAGAGAAAAAACGGTGAGTTTATGAACACCCTTTCTTCATCAGAGTGGAAGTTACATCCAGACAGAAAGGAAATGTATCCCCGCATGACCAGGTAGAGTACATTGGAAAGTTTGTCAATACAAAAGTTTGCTAGAACCCAATTCACCAACACAAAGCGGTCGCTGGTTATCTATTTGTCAAGGATAGCAGGGAAGTTGCCGCCCTCTGAAACAGAACATATATTAGCATACAGATAACTTATAATCTCATCAGGGGGGGTTGGGGTACGTACCGCGCTGGCCGTCCCAGCGGTCAGTCCAGGCCTTGGGGCAGAGGGAGCGGAAAGCGTGGTAGAACTTTGGTAGAGCATGTCAGTGAGCGCTCCGAGTCGTGTAAGTCGGGGGAAAAGACGAATGTACCTGCTTGCAGGGGCGGAAGTCTTCACCCTTGGCCTCGACACACTTGTAGTAGTCGACATAGTTCTGCCAGCAGTGCTTGGTCCTGAGATGAGTCGAGTTAGAAGCGGTACTTGAATTGGTTCGAGATTCAGGGAGTCGCGTACTGGTTCTGCTGGGGGAAACGGGCGTCGTAACCTATAATTGCGCCGAAAATTGTCAATCTCCAGTCCCGTAGTCGGTCGGGCCACACTTGTCCGAAGGTATCCCGAAAAACGATCATGTCGCAAGGATATCGAAGGTATACGCACCAGCTGCAGATCAATTAGCCATTGGACTTGTAGGAGGGCCGGTTGAAGGCCATTTTCGCGGGAGGGGGGGTGGGTGCACTTACCAGTCACGAACTTGAAGGGCTTGGTCTCGATAGGCTCCTCGGGATCGACTTCCGGAATGGCACCCATTTTTGCGATATGTAGGTTCTCGTGAAGACCACGGACGAACGATTGGTAAAGGCGGGGGGAGAGGAGGGAGAGAGGTGGGAAGAGAGCAGAGACAAGACGTTGGGTGATCGAAGCTGTGAAGTGGTAACCGGCAATGACCGGGCGGTGGGAAGCGAGAGCCAATCAGCACCGAGTAGTTCCCAAAACACCCGAGCCACTCACAGGACGTCGACGTTCTGAGCTACCACTTCAAGTCTTCCTCCCACCTCCCTCCTCAACTCCAGCGACTTCGGTTGAACTTGTCACCATGTATCCCACCAGTGTCTTCCGGATGCAGCCCTCGCGGCCCTTTTACAGCCCCGCCCCTGTAAGTATACCAACACCCGGCACCCTTGGGTGATCATACGATCGGCTTCGGTTATGCTAACTCCTGGCCGCAGAAGGAGGCTCACAGCGGTATGCTGACTCCCTAATCGCCCGTCGCCTTTCGCACTATATTGCGCAGAGTTCTCTTGTCGCAAGGGCCCAGAAAGAGTACACAAACTGACCGGTTATGCCTTTAGCCCACACCATCTCCCAGCGTCTGCGCATGATCAAGAAGTGTCCTCCCGAGCTGATCCCTCTCGGTATGTTATCCTACGTCGAAGTGCCCAAGAGGGAATAATATCTAATGATTCTTTTGGCATACAGGTGTTGTCCTTGGGTATGTATCTGTCTAATTCCGCCTACCCGTTACACCCCGCCCTGCATCAGACCGAATTTTCGCCCCACGACACCCTTCGGCCGGATCTGGAACCCTGATAGTTTCTCCTTGCTAACCCGCTTCTTCGCAGCGTTGCCGTTGGTGCTGCCATTTACGCTAGCACCAAGAAGCTCCTGACCGACAAGACTCTCCGTCTCTACCGCAACAGCCCCGAGAGCCACGATCACTAAATGTATCATCATCTTTGTTTGAGCTCCGAGAATGCGAACCCAAGTTTTCTGAATTCTTTCGATTTGTATTGTTTCAGTCGATTGGAAGCCCGGTTAAAAGAAATTGGAGAAAGTCAAGGCCTGCTCGGAACCGCAGATTGTGTAAATAGTCGGGCTTTCGCGGAGGTGAATTTCAGACGGTGTACTTTTTTTCCGCATGTAAACCATCGTTCGTGGTTCTTCATTATCTTCGTAGCTATCGTTATAATTTGCTTCACTCGGGCTTTGGCCCAGCAACATCAAGTTGCTCGAGACCCTCCATTGGATCTTGGGGGCGGTCATTCGCAGCCTGTGCTTCGTCGGCAGCGAGGCGGTCCTCTTCGCTCACTGCATGTTTGGCAAGATAACCCTCCTATAATGAATGGTGAGCAATGGTCCGGTAGTAGCCAAAGAACAAAGCATAATAAAGCTTCACATACCTGTTCCCAGATAGCTGTCTTGCTGCCCAGACCCTCGTTGGCATCCCTTTGCGGCTTGGCAGGTGCGACCTTAATAGTGCGGCCGTATAGTTCACTGCCATCCATGTTGTCGATAGCTTCTTTGGCGTCCTGTGGCAAGTCGAATTCCACATACCCAAATCCGCGGTGCTTGTCGCCAGTTTTGTTGGGGGCATCTGGTTTAGGCAGGGAGATGTCGACTACCTCTCCAAAAGGCACAAATGCCTCTGCCAGTGTATGCGCCGTCACGCCCTGGTCCAGGCCGCCAACGTAGATCGTACTCTTAAGTCGGGTGGTGTCACTCATGGTGGGGAATGCGATTGAGATGCCTGGTCTAGTATTCGAGATAATACTTTGCTTGATTCAAAATGGCCCAAGATAGACAGAAGGAGGTCGGCTTCGGCTTCTGCAATAGACGAGAAATTGCTCGTGGTGGTGAGGTGTGCTTGATCTCCGTCTCGTCTGTCCTCTGCAGAGCGTCGACCGAGAAAATGATATCACGTGCGAGCCATCCTCTGGGTGTTTTGGCGAGACCCCGAAGCGGACTAGTGTTAGTTCCCCGGTCCCGCGCAGCCCAGGAGGCCACTTGGTTGAACTACAGCATCGCATCCCCCGTTGTCAATTATTTTTTGTACAGGGGTGGGATCTGGCTTATTTGAACCCTTAACTCTCCTTTCCCCTCTGTTTCCCACACACTCCTCCCTCCCCTCCGATACCATGGTCCGTCTGAGGGAAATCCCAAGGACGGCCACGTTCGCCTGGTCCCCTGGCGCTGCATCACCATTGATCGCCACAGGAACCCGTGCTGGAGCCGTTGATGCCGATTTCTCTAATAAGACATGTCTTGAGCTGTGGGATCTGAGCTTGGATCGCCAGGATGCGAGTGAGGAGCTGCAGCCGGTGGCCAAAATCGACACCGACTCTGGGTATGATATGATGCAATCACGCAACCCGCACAATTCAGCAAACGTACTGACGAATGGACCTTTCTAGCTTCAATGACATCGCCTGGACGGAATTCGATGATACGAAGCGGGGTGTTATTGCGGGTGGTCTGGAAAATGGTTCGTTGGATCTATGGAACGCCGATAAGCTGCTCGCTGGATCTAGGTGGGTTGAACAAGTCAGCAATGAACACGATTGAACGTAATTACTGATAAACTTGCAGCGATGCCTTGATTTCACGAACTACGAAACACTCTGGTGCTATTAAGGCCCTCCAGTTCAACCCCAAACACTCGAACCTCTTGGCCACCGGTGGAGCGAACGGCGAGCTGTTCATCTCGGACCTGAACAATATCGAGAATCCCTTCCGGCTCGGAACTACGGCAGCTCGCACAGATGATATCCAGTGTCTGGATTGGAACAAGAAGGTTGCTCACATTCTGGTGACTGGTAGCAGTGCCGGTTTCGTGACAGTCTGGGATGTGAAGACGAAGAAGGAAAGCTTGACACTTAATAACATGGGCCGGAAAGCTGTCAGCGCTGTTGCTTGGGACCCCGAGAAGGTTGGTTATTGCTTATTGGCCATTGGCTACTTTATCGCTAACGGTGGTCATGTCTAGCCTACCAAGCTGGTCACAGCTACTCCCCTCGAGTCAGACCCTATGATTTACGTCTGGGACCTTCGCAACTCGCATGCCCCCGAGCGGGTAAGTATATCTGTCAATCAACACATTTTGTGACCCGAAACGCTAACATGTTGGATAGACACTCAAGGGCCATGAATCGGGCGTACTGTCGCTCTCATGGTGTGAGCAGGACCCTGACCTCCTCCTCTCCTCTGGAAAGGACAACCGCAACGTTTGCTGGAACCCTCAAACCGGTCAGCCATATGGCGAATTCCCTGTTGTCACAAACTGGACCTTCCAGACTCGCTGGAACCCGCATAACCCCAACTTCTTTGCCACCGCATCATTCGACGGCAAGATCTCGATCCAAACCCTGCAGAACACCAAGACCGACGATCACCAGGCCATTGCGGATCATAATCAGGCACTCGATGGCGAAGATTTCTTTGCCAAGGCTCAGACACAGCCTCAAGTTTCCAAGTTCTCCCTGCCTAAGCCTCCTCGCTGGCTCGAGCGACCCTGTGGTGTCTCATTTGGCTTCGGTGGCCGTGTTGTCTCTGTCGGTCTCACTGAGAAGGGTGGCCGCGCATCGAAGGTTAGAATCACACCATTTGAGGTGGACGAGAGCGTCGGAAATGCCACCGAGAGCTTTGAGACTGCTCTGAGGGAAGGTGATCTCCGTAACTTGTGCGAGACCCGAGCTGCTGGCGCTGCTAGTGATGAAGAGAAGGCCGACTGGAAGGTCATGCAAGCCTTGCTCTCCGAAAACCCTCGCAAGGGCTTGGTGGAGTATCTGGGCTTCCAAGACCAGGCCGATGAAGCCGCTGACAGCTTGGCAAAGCTTGGCCTAGACAAGAAGGAGGATTCAGACTCCAACGGAGAGGCTGAGAAGCCGAAGTCATCGGCCAAGAAGCACAAGCGTCTTCAATCCATGTTCGATGCCACCCCGGATAGCGATAATTTCCTCACTGAACTGGCAGCATCCAAGGGCGCACAAACAAACAATCCTTTCCAGATTTTCAACGGTGCCGAAAGCGAAGCTGAGCAGAAGATTACCCGCTCTCTGCTTCTTGGAGAGTTCGACAAGGCCCTCGAAGTTGCCCTTCAAGAGGATCGCATGTCTGATGCCTTCATGATCGCCATTTGTGGTGGTCCGAAGTGCATTGAGAAGGCCCAGGAGTACTACTTCTCTAAGCAGACCGGTGGACCCAACTATATGCGTCTGCTCGCGTCTATCGTCGGCAAGAACTTGTGGGATGTGGTGCACAACGCCGATCTCTCTAATTGGAAGGAAGTCATGGCTGCCCTGTGCACCTTCGCCGACGAGAAGGAGTTCCCTGATCTGTGCGATGCCCTCGGCGATCGTCTTGAAGAGCTGGTTCAACAAAGCGATGACAAGACCGCCCGCAAGGATGCCTCGTTCTGCTTCCTCGCTGGCTCCAAGCTGGAGAAGGTGGTGGCCATTTGGGTTCAAGAGCTCCGTGAGAATGAGCAGAAGGGTATTGAGAACGATGCCGATAACTCGACCTTTTCCATCCACGTTCGTGCCCTGCAAGGCCTAATCGAGAAGGTTACCATCTTCCGCCAGGTCACTAAATTCCAGGATACCGAGCGGACTAAGGATGCCGACTGGAGCCTAAGCACTTTGTATGAGAAGTACATTGAGTACGCGGATGTTGTTGCCACTCATGGACGCCTTCAAATCGCTCAAAAGTATCTCGACCTTGTTCCTGAAAGGCATCCCGAGGCTGAGATTGCTCGCAACCGTATCAAGTTTGCGACACGTCAAGCGCCCCAAAAGGCGCAAGCGGCTACTACATCCCGAGCTACTCCCAAGCCTCTCCCGCAACAACCATCTGCCTATGCGCCGCAGCAGACCTTTTCTCCGATGACTGCTCCTGGAGCCGGTGTGCATAATCCTTATGCACCCGCTTCTGCCGTTTCTGCTCCTGCTCAACCGCAACAGGCTGCCAACCCGTACGCCGCAGTTGGTGGAGCTTACAACCCGGCTGGCTATCAGCCTACCCAGGGCATGAGACCACCGGCATATGCGCCGCCGGCACAGTTCGGTGCACAGGCTGCGCCTGCTGGCGTGCCGCCTCCTCCGCGCGGTTCCAACCAATCCCCGGCCAGCAATATCACTACTTATACTACGGCTACTGGCCTGCCTGCATGGAATGATCTGCCAGAGGGCTTCGCCAAGGCTCCTCCCCCTCGCCGTGCAACCCCAGCTGGCAATGCAGCAATCAGCTCGCCATTCCCTAACCAGTCTCCTCCCCTTACCCAAGGTCCTCCACCCCACGGACATCCGCCTATGGGTTCGCAGAGAGCTCCATCTGTCCCCCCTCCCCCCCCAAGGTTGGAGCTCCTCCTCGCGTGACATCGCCTCTGGCATCGAACGCTGGGCCAGCTCCTCTGCAGCCAGTCAATCCATATGCCTCTCTCCCTCAATCCCCGCCTACTGGAACTATGGCCCCTCCGGCGTCAATTCCCCGAGGACCATCGCCTTATAATGCTCCCCCAAGCATCCCGCCGCCGACTAACCGGTACACCCCGAACCCAACCGCTCAGGCTGCAAGCCCGCAGTTGCAGACTCGGGCCCCGGTTGCTCCTCCGCCACAAGCTGCTGCGTCGCCCTATGCCCCCCAGGCCCAGGCGCCTTCAGCATACGCTCCCCATGCCCCGCCACCCTCAGGCCCGAGCCCCTATGCGCCCAGCGGCCCTGTTGGTGTACCTCCCCCGCCCATGGCAGGTCAAGGAATCCCTCCCCCCTCCCATGGCATCACAGGCTCCACCTCCACCCCAGGGATCTCGCCCCGGAACAGCTCAGTCTCAACGAGCTATCCCTCCTTCCACACCCAAGTACCGTAAGTACACCACCTTGGCCACCTGCCAATACAGGAACCTTTATATTAACACTCCTCAGCCCCCGGTGACCGTTCTCATATCCCTCCCAACGCTATGCCTATCTTTGAGTTCCTGTCCGCAGACATGGAACGTGTCAAGGCTCGGGCACCTTCATCATTCAAGCCCCAAGTTGATGATGCTGAGCGCCGCCTGAGCATCCTGTTTGATCACCTGAACAATGAGGATCTGCTTAAGCCCAACACTGTGGAGGATATGGCGAACCTGGCTCGCGCTATGCAGGCTCGTGACTACGAGACTGCTCGCGCCGTCCACATTGATATCATGACCAACCGGACCGACGAGTGCGGCAATTGGATGGTATGTCCCTTTTCTTTACTTGGTTATCGTTATAAAAGTCAACAAACTAATCATATACCTATAGGTCGGAGTCAAGCGTCTTATCAGCATGAGCAAGGCCACCCCTTGAAGCTGTTTATTAGCATTATAGACGTGCGATAGCGATGGCGTGTGATGCACCTACTACCTAGATTCTCGGCCGAAAGAAGAGGATTTCAAGTTCCTGGTACAAACGCGCTTGGTTACAAGTTTTTGTGACAGTGCTCTTTTCTTGTCCATTTTACTATTAATGCCTGCGTATTTCCTTTCCTGCGTTGCTCCCTCTGGGGATCTAGTTTGTTTTGATTATCTGTTACGAGAAAAAGAAAAATTTCCCTGGTTTTAACAACGAAGTTCGATGTGGTTTAGATTGTCAAATAGACGTGGCGCCGAATGAATAGTAGATTAATTTCTTACAGTATCAGATGCTCTAGTGAAGCCCTAGGGCAAAGAGACATGTGCTGGGAGTAGTAGTTATTCTTATTTCCTGCTCTCTTTATATTTACATGCCGTTAACAAATAGTCCTAATATACTCAACACCGAAGTATCTAACATTCGATCTCACTACCTCAGGGTGATCAATCACCTTCCAGCCGAAGCGATGCCCCCCAAGTCTACCGCCCCGACTGGTAGGAAAGTTTCTCGCACTCAGCAGCGCACCCTTCACGCCACGAATCTCCGCCTTGAAACCAGCAATGGCTTCATCCTCGGACTTCTTCACACCCATCGCAGCACTATCCGTTCCATTCGTAGTGCTACTATAAAGACCATAGGAAGGCGTAGAAGAAGAGTAACTCGGAGCCGCATAGATCAAACCATCCAGATAATGGTGAAGATCCGTAAGCTTACTACGGAGGTCATCTTCCAGAGTACTAGAGTCCTTATCAACACCATTGACTTCCTTAAGCTGTGACTGGATAGACTCCAGACGACTCATGTGGTTATTGACTGCCTGTGTAGGCGCATCTGGCGCCTTGCTTTCCTTCTCAATAGCTGCGGTAGAAGACTCAGAGGTCTCGGGACTCGTCTGTGTCCCCATATCCCGGTGGAAAAGCTCCGTAGGGTCTGAGGTGACTGAATCGGTATCATTGCTTTCGTCGTCGTCGTCGATCGGACTAGTCTTTCGCGCGGTCAGGTGGGCGGGAATGACGGTGACGCTTTGCTCTAGCTTCTCGTTTAGCTTTGAGAGATTCTCTTGCGCTGTGCTGGCAAGTTCATGGCGGGCGCTTGTTAGGGTTGCAAGCATCGGTTTCACGAAGTATTCGCTAGCACCGTATATGCTAGCGCCGATACCGGCGGCGCCGTAGATGGTGTAGAGAACGCGGTCCATCGTGACTAGTGGGGGAGGTTTGTTGGCTTCGAAGAGGAATTCGGGATATGTGATGATCGGGGGTACATTGCGCGGTGCGGAGGCGGGGGTTGTGGTTGTGGCCGTTGAGCGCGGTTGAGACATGGTGTTTGGTGAGGATTGTGCAGTGACGGGGGAGGACGGGGTGGCTTCTGATTGATCGCTAGAGGGTGTTGATAGCGATTCCTGGCTCTTGTTTTCTGCGGCGGTTGGGCTGGTGCTGGTCGCCTCCGCGTTTCGGGTGATGCCGAGGAGTTGGTCGATCTCGTCCGAGTTCAGACCTTTTGATTCAAGGAAAGTCACTTTGCGATCGGTTGGGGAATCACGAATGGATTCATCCTCGAGAAATTTGGCCGCTTGGGTTAGGAGGTCCTCCCGGTTGGTGGGTGCGGGCGCATCGTCGGAGCTCGGCGACGTCGACGACGACGAGGACGGCGAGGACGATTGATCGGCTGGCGCAGTTCCTGACTGCCGTTGCCACGAAGGAATGGAGGCTGGCTTTGAGGAGGAGTCTGACATGGTGATGCTGTGGTCCCAGGTCAGAGGGGAGGAAGAAGAGAGTAGAAAGTAGAGAGAAGAGGAGCGGCGACTTCCCCGGACTGAGACTTGGGACCATGTGAGCCGACCTCGGCTGTTGCACCGACGGATCTCTCCGCGACCCACGGCAGTGTAACTCAAGTTCAAGTTCAAGTTCTAGGTTTGTCTAAATATTTGAGGTTATTCAGGCTATTTTAATTCTATCAATTGAAATATATTTGATTTATATAATTGCTTCGGTAAAGGATGGAAAATTAGTACATACTAGTAGTGAACTGGCAGCTTTATATTGAGATCTGAAGTGCCTCTAGTAACTACTATCAGTGACACTACAGTGCTAGTTAGTAGTATGTACTTCCACGGTACCTCCAGGCTTAATAACTACTTCGTTCTAGGCTGTATCTAATCATCCTACTACTAGTAATAAACATCTCTCTCTTCAAGTAACAAGCCCCTTTAATGTAAAGAACTTGATTGGGACGAAAATGTCCTGCCACTGTACTTTACTACTGGTCCGATTTCAGCCTGACAAGACACCATTCCCAGAATACACCAACGCTGGGGGTAAAGGAAATTTGTTTGTGGAAAAGGGTGCAATATACTGGAATATTTAAATTGATCCTCAATTATAGTAAATATAACCAGTAGCAGTTCACATCCCTTCATAGTGATTCATGTACTTCTCATACTGTTGATATCGGCTGACCGCCTGCCGGGCAGAATGGCGGTGGTTACTTCATTCGCTCATCCAGCGTCAGCGACAGCCCTCGTAGAGATTGGAAACTTTTGGACAAAGTACGTGTAAGTTGCCTTATTGGCCCCAGTTATCCTGCACCCCCCCGTTACCCTTCAATCCTATGCAACCGGACCCCCATCGGTGGCCCAACGGCCACTACTCTCCGAACCTCTGGGGGACACTGCAGCCAGGAGAAGCATCTGCCAACTTCCCTGCAACGGCGCTTTGTCCGCACGGCGAGCCTCCCAAACGTGGCGCCCCGAGACAAGTTGGCACTGTGCCTTCCCGGTGTGCGCTGAGTCTCTTCCCCCGTGGTGATTGGGTGACTGGCTCCCTTTCTCACTTCATCTCCCCGGTTCCTTGAGAGATGCTATTGCTATCTCGTAACTGCCACTGCCACTGCCACCTATTCTACGAGTTGCCCCCCGCATCTGTCATCCCCCCCATTCTTTCATCCTTGTATTGCCTTTTTGCCTTCACTTTCACTCCCAAGTTTTGGCTTCGGCACCACAGCCTCCCACTATGGCGCCAGCTCTCCGCCGCTCTCGTCGATCGCGAGGAGCTCAAGAACAATCTCCAGAATCGGATGCTAACCTCAATGCCAGGCCTCAGAGACAAACCCGCTCCGCTGCTGCTGCGGCATCCGTAACTGTCTCTCGATCTTCTCGATCTTCATCGGATCCCTCAGAAGAACCGACCAGGACTCTCCGTGTGACGGTGAAAATGCCCGCTGGTAAATTGCGGGAAGCTACCGGTGGCCGCTCCGGCCGCCGCTCAGTCAATGTGTTCCAGGAGAACCCCATTGTTTCAGGACCGCGTGCCAGTCGGAACAAAAAGAAGGTCGTGGAAGTTGCCTCGTCCGACGACGAGGACATCGAAGACGAAGAGGAAGATGAGGTCGAAGATGAAGAAGATGCTCCTGGCGAAGACGACGATGAAGATGCCGATGCAGATGGGGATGTAGACATGGACGACGCTCCGCCACAACCACCCACAAGGCGAAACGCCAAGGTCACGGCCCCCACTCGTGGCAAAGCCAAGAGCGTGGAAGCCAAAGAAATGGAACTTGAAGAGGAAGAAGATGAGGAAGAGGAGGAGGAGGAAGAGGAAGAGGAAGTCACCGACTCCGATGCGGAGGGTGAGCCCGATGACCAAGATGAAAGCGCTGTCCCCGAGCTCAATGTTGAAGATCTCGATGAGGAAGACGAGGATGATGACCTAGACGAAGAATTGGACAGCGAAGGCCTTGCTCTTAACAGCGGCAAGACAACCAAGCGTCAACGAGGAAACCTGGGTGATGACTTCCTGCAGCTCCCAATGGGTAAGCAATATTGGCCTCTATTTTAGAACCGGCATGGTACTCACAACCGAAACAGAACCCCAAGTGAAGAAGCATTTGACGGCCGAGGAGCGTGCTATGAGACGAGCTGAAATGGCCCGCCGAAGGAAGAACCTCAGCGAGAAGCGAAATGAGGAAGAAAAGGTATTTGCTTAGAGTGAAAATGAAAATTGGGACGAGGGCACATAGCTAACATCGAATAGATGGATACAATCAATCGACTTCTCAGGAAGCAGCCCCCCAAGCGCCGTGGCCGTGGTGCAGTTGCTGATGCTGACGGGACCCCTGCCGACCAAGAAGGCCAAGAACCTGAAAAGGCCGATCCTACGATGGTTCGCTGGGTTAGCAATGCTAATGGCTGCAAACTCAATGTTCCCGAGGAGTGGCTTGGTACTCCAGCCGGTCGTGTTTTTGGTGCTCCCCCAGCGGTTACTGGGACGAGCAAACTGGTGCATGAACTCTGAAATTGCATTTTAGAAAGTTTGACATGGATTGAGGCGCATTAAGGAACCACTCTGGGGCACTTGGGAAAAGGCAGGAAATTCTCGATACACGACGACTGTCATGTTCGGTCTCCGTATCAAAGGCATGGCGTTTACATTTTCAACTCATCTAACACTGGAGAATAATTTCACGAATACTCATGGTTTAATCATATTCTGCATACTAGTAGTAGTTATATCTGCTCAAAGATTCAGCGGGAACTGAATCCTTGACATATAGTGTATCAAGCTGCCCCATGTGTATTTCCATGCGTACATTATAATAGTATTTTGAGAGCCAAACCGCTCATCGAGATTAGCTGTAAAGCCGAGAAACTTGACCCAAGCCAATAGTCTCTCAATTTACTCCGTCACGGGCTCTCCAAAACCATTGGGACCGACCAGCGTGCCCAGGGTCGCTGAATATCACCAGATCGAGCACTTGCGACAGTTGCTTTCGTGGACTAGCCATCGGAGGCTATTCCTCGTGTTCCGGTGGAATATATGTTGCGCAAGAAATCATTGATGCTTTTCAGCTTCGGTTGTCCCAGACGCCGGCTTTGCGCTCTGGGCATTGGCACCTGCCGGGGGCGCAGTGGCACCTGAGTTCAATCCTGCACCAGACTGAGGAATAGCAGGCCCGTTGCCTTGTGTCTTTTCAGCAGCAAGTTCCTGGAATGCGGGTTGGAAGGTGTAGTAGCCTGCGGAGAAGTTTGACGTCAGAACTGATTCTCTTTCTCCCAATGACGGTGAAGGTGATATGTATACCTGTATAGACGCCCACTCCAATAGCGAGAGCGACGGGTATGAAATTGCGACTCATGGTGAAGTGAGTGGTGGGAGTGCAGCTGTGGGAAAGGTTGGAGGTTTAAACTCGGAGATGCGGGAGTGCCGAATCCGATTGCCCGGAGACTCCCCCGTTATCGCCGCACTGATTAGCGGCACGCGTCTCCAAATTATTCGACGCGTTTTCCTCGACGAGAATAAGACTCGGTGCTTTTGACTTTCACCTCATTATTTGAGCCCTCCGAATACCGAATCTCGCGCCACTCGATGTCTCGCTAATGAAATGGGCGCAGCCCACCGAACATGACAGTCGAATGGCGGGAACGAGGGTTTGTCCCGGACTCCGATGATGAGGAGGAGTTCGATTCTCTCAACACGAATAATGAGAACATTGGCGACCAAAGTGATACTATAGGTGGTGATATTGACCTGAACTATATTGCCATTCCACCCTCACCGTCGAACCTCGAAACCGAAGCCGAAGATATCTCCAAGCAACAGTATCAGGAAAATGGACAGAATGGATCGACAACGTCGTTGGGTGACGACCAGGCACAGCTTGACGCCGAAGAAGATGGAAAGGGCTCACAGGAGCTGGCTTCAAGCCCCGCAATTCGACTCCCTCCAGCAATTACTCCCCGCCAACAAACGGGCACATTTTCCAATGGAAGCTCAAGGACAGCAACACCTCTTTCAAAACGGACACCAGGGAATCGCCGATCTGCCAGGACAAGCCGGAGCAACTCATCGGTCACAATAGCGAATCAAAATAATGACATATGGGATATTCCTAGCTCGCCGGTGCAGGAAACTAGGTCCTCAAGGAAACCACGAAGCCAGGCTTTGACGCCGAAAGATACGCCCTCCGCGAAAACCCGCCGGACTCGAGATACTCCGCAAGCCAGTACACCATCAACCTCGTTACGACATATAGATACGCCATCACGAGACTCTTCGCCGGATGAATTGATGGTACTTGTGCCTTCACCACGGAAGCCGCTTGCCAACATAAGCAGCAATAGACCCCATGGACCAAGTGAACACGCCAGGTCGGACGATGAGTCCTCTTTGTCCTCAGCGAAATCAAATATCTCTATTCCGTCTCCAGATCGTTCACAGACCAGAAGAGATGCTACAAGGGAATCACACGAGGAGGACGCTTTGGCACAGATTTTACCGGGTCTTGAAATTCCCGAGGAATTCCAGCTGCCATCTTCTCAGCCAGAGCTTCCGCAGGAGGATGTTGCTCAGCGAGATGTGCAAGATGATATCCAGATTCAGATCCCACAGCTGTCCACTCGATCTCTTCGACATCACAAACCCGAACAGATGCATCCTTATACGTGGGAAAATGCGATATATCAGCAACAAATGAAATCAGTGGGGTTGAAGTCGGTTAAATTGCGCGCCGAGGCTCCTCACCCGCGGCCTGCTGAAGTCACTGATGAGAGCCAAGGACAAGATACTTTCAATCCAAACGCTATCCGATCAAGCCCACCGGCAGAAGAGTATCTTCCTGCGCCGAAGCCTAAACGAAGAAACGAAGAACAAACGACTACACCACGCGCCCGAAATCACGAAGATAATTCATTGACAATTCGACGAAAGCAATCCTCCAAGCGAAGGAAAAGGTCTCACTCTGGAGCTTGGCATGATGGTACACATCTCGTCAGCAACGATCCACGGCCCCAAATGATCATCACTTCCACTCCACCTGGCGGTCTAGACTCATCAATCTTTGATATACCGACCAGTCCGCCGCAGTCTGGTAGTTTATCTTCAGCATTGCGGACACCGCGTGCTTCAGAAACGTTTCGATTTCCTCCCGGCTCACCACCACCGCCTACCAAAACCCTGCATGTTGATTCTATGGACGTGACTCCAGACAATGACGAACCGACAATAGTTAATCAAGAAGAGCCGGCTACTTCTTCAGATGAGGAAGGAAGCTCTGATTCTTCTGGCCCGGAACTAGAGACTGCTGAGGAACGTCAGATTCGAAGACTGTCTCGACAGACCCGGGGGGTTCTGCCTGCCTCATGGCATCGAATTGATGCACAGAAACGAGACCAAAATCAAAAAGCTTTACAAGCGAGCCGTCATGCCCAGCGAGCAGATGGCAGGGGTGTTGCTAAGAAACTGTTACGAAGAAGTGGTCAACCTGTACGCCCAACTCAAATGGATCTCGGAGATGATGATGAGAGTGATGAAGAACCCCAGGGCACACGGACTCCCCGACCAAACGAAGAGAATGCAGATGAAGACCTCGCCAGAATTGTTGGGTTTGAAAACCCCTTCGGCGAAGCTGAAGAGGACGACAACTTCGAGGACAATCGGGTCGATTACATGCTTCCGCCGACCAGTCGCAATACAGGCCCTCGCGCGAAGCCAAGCAGCCTTAAACGCGTTCATTCCAAAGAAAGCTCGACCGCGAGAGAGAGAAGATTAAAGAAAGCTCGACTGCAAAAGCAAACAAGGATCACTGATTCTTCCTATGGGGGCCGGCGAACCAAACGACCGTCCACAAAAATGAAAACGAAAACGAAATCGAAATCAGCACCCCGGCTGGGAATCTTGGATGCTCCCGATGTTGCCAATCACCCTGAAAAGGAGCAGCCGCGATTTTTGAGAATTGCGGCGAGGCGAGTTCGCTCGAATAAAGACGGAGGTAGACAGAGTCCGACTCGGAAGTTTCTGCAACTGGACTCAAGGCGTGACACGGCGGATGCAAATGAGTCCCTGTGGGCATGGAGACGAGGAGCAATTCCACAGACCAAGATCCAGCCTCGACCAAAGCCTCGCAAAGTTCCGACACCCGCAAACTTTTCAAGTAGCCGTCAACGGAATACAGCATCTTCTGGCAGTTCGCGGTTGACCAGCCATTTCCCTGTTGTGGAAACCAGTGACTCTCTCGAAATTGATTATGATTCTACGCATCAACTGCCAGGTGGAGCCAACTCGCTTCCAGTAGAAGCATCCAACAGCGATACGGCACAGCCGCGATTTGCGCATGCTGAAAAACGAGGAGATCAATGGATGATTCAACGGAATACTGGAATCTCATCTTTGCGACGAAATATCTTCCGCCCTGCCGCCGGAAATCAGACAGAGCGAAGTCCAGGACAGCCAGTATCTGAAGCAAGGTTTCGCCAAACTCTTAGGCTGCTCAATCATCATTATTCGTATAAAGATTCGGATCGGACCTTTAAGCCTAGCTCGACAACGGCTAGCTCGAAACCCGCCAGCTTGACACTTGACCGATACATCTCAAATGTTGGACCAGCAGAAGCATCGCCCAGAGTCGTTCTCCAACATAATCCTGCCTTAGCGACAGAGAGCCGAAACAAGCCACAAATTTCTGTCACTCAAAATCGCCGTCGCTTAAAAAAGCGTCCACCCAAACATGTCGATCTGGCCTCGGACGAGTTCTTGCAGGATGCAGAACAACTGCCACCAATTTCTGATGAGCTGGAAGTTTTCGCTTCAACCGGCCTAGAGCCCACTCTCGCTTCGACTTTGAATGTGGGAGGCGGTCTTTTCAATTGGCAGCGTTCCTACCCACTGGATTTCGGGGTATTGCCACTGCGTAACGGCACTTTCTTCCATGAGTCTACGTTCATAGGGAGTGGAGAATTCGAACGATCAATGCAAATTCTCAAGCGGGACTTAGATCGAGGTGCAGTGTTCTGTTCCATAATGTTCAAGGATCAAATCTTCCGATGGGGGCATTGGAATGAAAAAGTATCCTCCGAAATGGGCATCGTATTTGATTCCATCGTCGCGGATGTCGAATCACTCGGTGCCTCAAATTCCGAGGCAACCCTATCATCACCGTTGGCGTCTTCATCTCTCGCATTGCGAGCATTGATTTCCTATGCCTCCGAGAACTTGACGTTCGCCGATCCTATCGACCGGGCAGGCCTTCTCAGTCGTTCCCTGGCGTTAGCTTCCAAGCTAAGAGACTCCATTGCTTCAGCTCTTACAGCGAGCAATATCGATAATAAGAATATTGCCAGTATTGCTTGCTACAACATGGTATTCGTGAACCAGATACGTCAGGTTGCAACCTATGGACAAATAAGCCCTTCTTTCGGCGAGCAAGCATTGGAATTGGTCAGGCTTTGTGTTAAGGACACAATTAGATCAATTCTGAGTCAAGCCGGGAGAGCCGGAATCAAGTCTCTGCTGGAAGAAAATAAAGACGACAAACGACGCGAAATGGGCATTCGAGAGGGATTCCCATCCGCAGAAGCATGCGTCATTGTCGATCAACTTTTGCGCTCCTCGGAGGTATTTGGTTGGGGGCTCGAGGACTACGAGGTTGAGGTCTATGCCGAAGACATCATTCGCAATCAGAAAGACATCGGGAATCTGGAGATCGCATGGCGTAGCTTGTTTATGAACTTGCCCCTCCACGAGATTGACACAAAGGGAATCGCCCGTCGAGAACTTCGCTTCAAAGCGAAAAATGACAATTGGATTCTAGTCAAAAAGCTCCTCTCGCCGGTCTTTGAAAGCTACATCATTTCTTCTGCGACCCGGACCCTATCATATAACGCTTACTGCCGGACCCTTTTTCAAAGATGTCACCGTCTAATCAATTCTTGGGGCTGGAGAGACTGCAAACCCATCCTTGACACCCTGTATGACTTCTTCGCGCAGAGGACGCTCTATAATCTGAAATTCGAAGGAAGCCATGGATCGCCTTCCTTTCTCGACGAGCTGGATCAAAATCCTTCTCTAGAAATCCGAGCTGGAGAACCGACATTTCACACTTTCCTGAAGATCATCGCAAGTGGGCTGCGCTTTTTGTCTAAGCGCTACGACAAGAAGAAAATTCGAAACTTCGCCTGGCGCCTTCTTCCGAATCATGGGCGCATGTATCCGAAAGAAGATGATGTGAACCATGAGGATCTCGATGCGTTGAGAAACCATCACGACCTTCTCTGTACCTTATACTGGGTTGTTCCTGATGGTTACCGACCTCGATTGGAAACTATCAGAAACCTCGTCAATCCGGCAACTTCCCACATCGGAACATGCGACATCAACCTAAAATCCTGGACAAGACTTGTTCGATTCAAGTTATCTACCGACGAGGAAGTTTCGGGCCTAGAACCATTTGCCGAATGGCATAGCTATCTCGTGAATGAACTTCGGAAGCAACACCTCCTTGCCCGAAGCGAGGGTGAAGCTCAGCGCAAAAAGGGGGAATGCGAACAGGACATCCGAACTATTATTTCTGACAACCAAAGACCGATTGAAAGTTTATTGAGCATGGCACTCGATGGCTTGCTTACTGCTGTTAAGCGGGCGCCGACATTGGAGCATGCGCACCGGCTGATCTCAAAAACCCCCTTCGAGTCACTGCTGTCGTTGTTTAATGCGAAGGTCTCGCGAGTCAACGTTGTTGTATCCGAGGCTCTCGCGGTGATTACGGCGTACACTCGGAAAGATGGCGCTGCTTTATCGCCCGCGACTGATTTTCCAGCGCCGGCGGCTCTACCAGCACCAGAAGATGATAGCCAAGAATATGGAGATTGGGATGATATCGATGCTGTAATGGTCGAGCAGACAATCCTTAGCGAAGGGATTGAACATGTTCAGTCTAATCTCCACCCCGTCGTCTCTCGCCTGGTCTCCGACTGCTTTGGAGCAGACCACTGCCCAGATGATGAGATTCTCCAAAGTACCGTGGACTGCTGGACGTCAGTTGCCCAGGTCTTAGTACGTCATGGCCTTAAGCGCTGGGAAGATTATTTGGATCCTTTCGGTGACGAATCGTGGAAAAGACTTCGCGAGAAGGCGCAGACCCGCAAATTCTCACCCCAGTTCCTCGCTGCTTGCATTGAGAAAGATTCTCGAATACTTTCTGACTGTCGAGTGCTTGTCCTGGGAATGTGGATGTCATCATTGATGGAGCGATCCGCTTTGCTGAAATTCCAGCATTGTTTGACGGAAGCTTTGCTCAATGGTCTTCCAGAAGACCCGCTGCTTCGAAACCTTCCTTTTTACAAAGAAAAGAAGGCTACCCGATATAAGCTAACGATCGAAGAGCTCGCCCAGCGTCGCATCTCACTTATATCAAGCATCTTGTCGAATATGCGCGAACATGTGCTGGGAATGGAGATCTCAGCTGATCGGAGTCTGTCTGTCACAAAGCGAGAATACTCGGAAGTCCTTGAGCAAATGATGAGTGTGATGAAGAAAAACTATCTAGAGCTCGGTGGGGCCGTGGGAGATGCCCGGGGCGACTATGTCAACTTTGTCCACCGAATCATCCGATTCTTGCAAGAACTTACAAACGACATCAAACCCGTGGATCCGTTCTTCATAAACCCGGCGCTGTTCCCTCTGCCGTCTTCGGATCCTCAATACGTTGTTGCGAGACTGAAGCGCTACGTGCCGAAGCTCTCTTCCGAGCAGGGCCTTCAGGCACTGATCATGTTTACTCAAGGCATCGTGGAACGCGCTATCATGGAGGGTCAACAAGATCATCTCACCGAGCAACTGCACGCAGCAATGGCGAATACCTACGAGGCTGGTGATCCCGACAAGCCCACACTTCGGGCCATCCTTCTACAATGCATTTTCCCTGGGTATATTGAACTCGTGTTCAGTGCTCGTCCCTCCTGGCTCTTAAGTCGACCCATAATCCGAAGCATGTCTCTTGTTTTCAAGGACTTGCTGTTTGATATTGACGCCACAGACTCGAATTGCATTTCATCCGTGCTTGCAATCTTCGATGCGGCTTTTTGCTCTGCGTATCGCGCTTTGCATCCACTTTCAAATCGCCCGGCTGTTTTTCAGAATTCATGCAATCTCGTGATGCTCGCCGCTTTCATCGAAATGATATCGTCGACACTTGTGGTGGTGGACTACATCGACCGCTTGACCGGTGTTGCTGATGAAACTGCCTCATACATTCAGTGGTTTCGGGACTTTGCCGTCAGTACGCTCTCCCATCTAGACGATGCCAACAACGCGGGTTCGATGCCGGAAATGAACATTCAGATGGACCCGGGCCTGCACAGACCCCCAGGAACATCCCCAAACTTACCGTCGCATCTTATTGCAACCCGCGCCATTGCTTTCGAGGAACATCAATCTTGTCTCAAAAACTGGTCTACGCATGGTGGTAGATACTACCATACTCGAAGCGGACATGACTCCAAGGAAGCTACCCTTGAACCTCAAATTGAACATCTCGTCGGTAATAATGCCGAGGCTAGGAAAGCCTTGAGTGATGCTGTGGGAGAGTTCCTAAACCGAATCGACCAGCTGGAGTTTTTCGTGGATGAGCATTGGTGAGAGGTTGATCGGTTAGACCTCTTTACTTCACAACCCTTTTTCTTTTTCTCTTTATGTTTCTATTATCCTGTTGATGATGAAGTGTATGCATGCTTAGCAATGGCGTCTGGTGGCTGTTTAGATTATGATATTGAAGGACAAGGACTCCGATTCGACGATACCAGGGGAGTTTTACGTTGAATTCAACAACATGTACTGAGTTATGTTGGCAAAAGAAATACAAAATGTCATGAATCATCAAGACCTGCTTGCTTGTTTTTGTCTGGGGAGTGATATCCCCGGGGTTACTATTTGCAAGACTATGCGTGCATCAAGTCATTGCCAGGAAGGAAACATAAAAAAGAAGAAAGAAGCAGAGCTTCGTAACTACATCCTTCCATCCTCTCGTGCGCCTTGTATATCATCATTAGACAACAAGGGGTACTGAAAAAGGAAAAGAAAAAAAACCAAACAGCAGCACCATGGTAAGCAAAAAGAGAAGAGAAAAGAGAAAAAGAAAGAAACGCCAGATGCATCACGCACAAGGCGTAATATGACCGAAGACTCGATGATAATGCCCAATTGAGGTTCCCGTCCCATAAACGCCTTTCGTATCTCCGCAATGCTAGCTAGCTTCAGATGCCTGAAACACCAGCATCGTGGCTCGATCCACGCCGGTGGAAGGGGTTATGAAATACTTTACGCATGGCGTTCGTAATGCTGTTTTTCCGTCTCGATGTCGTTCCATCGCTCGGTCCGTCCCCAGACTTTGGAACGGAGGCATCGTCCGCAAGGACAATTGAGGTGACGGCAGGTTTAGGAGGCCATTGGCCATCTGCTTTCCAGCCTTGTACCATTGCCTTGGTAAGATCTGCCAGATTGACAGGCACGGTAGGAGTCATGCCTTGCACAACGACCTTGGTATATATGGAGGGATATATGCTCGGGTTGATGGTTGCGCGGATAGGATTCGAGGGCGAAATCAATGGCGGCGCAACAGGGATGAGAAGCTCCTCAAGTTCCTCCTCGTCATCTTCCCCCTCGCTATCGGAATCGTCGATGGCCGCGAAGCTTGCCGATTCTTTACCAGGCGCCTGCTGATCTGGCTCGGTGATACTGGTCTCTGTTGAGCCCTTGCGCTTGGCCTCCTCGTCCGGAGCAGTCGAGTGCTCTTCCTCCTGATCCTGCCGGCGATGGTGTTCCTCAATCTTCTCCCTTTCCGCAAGAGAAAGCGTCGCCTCGGCCCTATTCGAGAGAACTGACGCATCGCCGGTCTCGCCAACTTCGCCGTCGGCGGCGGCCTGGGTGACCGGGGGCGGGGAAATCCCCGCACCGCTCTCCTCCGCCGAAGGTGTCGTATTCGCGGTAGATTGGTCCCTTGAAGGTATATGCGTATCGGCTAGATTGCGCTTCTGCTCCTTGGCGCAAATTTGTCGCCGGGTCCGAGCTCCTGACCATGCGTTTCGTTGTGCGATCCACCTCCTCAACCCCTCGTTCCATACCATCTCCTCCTCCATCTGTCGTCGGCGTCGGCGCCGTTGCTCGACGACTGGATCACCTCCTAGCTTCGCAGCACCTGGGGAGAACTCGTCATCATCAGATTGATCGGATGATTGTGGTTCGAGCTCAGAGCCGGAGCTATCGAATTCGCGGGGGCGCCAGTCGGTGACTTGACGACCTTGCGACAGGATGCCGATGGAGGAAGAGGTGGAGGAAGAGGATGATGGACGAATACCGTTTGGGTTTGCAATGGGGTCGTATTCCCAGTCGTTACGCACGACCTCACGGATGAAGCGTTTTGCCTCGCGAACGGCCGCGTCGCGACTGTCGGCAGACATGGTTTTGATGTGGGGATCCTTGATTTGAGGTTTTGGTGATCAAGGTTTGGGCGTTCAGGTAGGCAGAGTGAGAAAGATGGGTTGCGAGGAGGGGAGGCGCCTAATGGAAGTGAACTCCGGAGCTCAAGTGCGCCCGGACCCTGCAATGGTGTGCACTCCCCGAACTCTGGAAGTGAAGAGTGAAGCGAAGCTGTTGAGTGGCGGGCGGAGACGTATCCGATGACATCGAGGGCACGTGCCCACGCAAATAGGGTGATCGGAGGCGACAGCAGTTTGGCATCGACAAGGAACTTGAACTTATAGGCGTACATGGGGACATTGCTGAACTAATCTGTGTTCTTTGGGGCACTTGTTAGTGAAGGGTAATGTTTGTGAAGTACCTCTCGTGTTGGGCTGTGACTGATTCAGGTTACACAGCGGCATACTCCCGCCTCAGCTGTCCTGGTAGCTGTATAGATCAGCCCTATCTAGGACATTCGGAGCCCAACTGGGGTCCCCTTTGATCATTTCAGCCCCGATATCTATTGTGATTCAATATACCAGGTCAGATGAAGAAACCTATTTTTTCAACCTTTTTCTCCCTTGGCATTCAAGATTCGCAGTCTATACAAGCTTTAGCTGCCTGTGCTTATATACTTCATAGTTGTGCCCAGGTGGACCGTGCGACATGCAGCAGGTTTTGCAAAACCACTCTTGGCTGCCCAGCTGAATCATGAGAGAATTTACGATACGTTCAAGCTGAAGGCAGATAACAATCTAGCCACTACTAGTAACTAATATTCTCACAAAGTCACAGAATTTTAATCTAGTAAGAGATAGAGGAGAGGAGGCTCACGGCGAAGTATATCCATGGATTCCCACCCATACTAGACATGGGAGGCTTATTGAACCTAGACGTGGGTGAAACTGATAGTGTGTATGTCCCATGCATTTTTGAAGTTCAAAATATGCCAAAATAAACAAACATAAGTAGGTTCTTGCAGCTGTCACTATAGTATCATCATGCTCCCTATATTGGCAGCCCGGTAGATGACCAGAGAAAAGGACAACTTTCTTTCCATCTCAGCATTCCCAACCATCAACAAAATAAAACCTTTCATCTGGGCAGTACTCGGACTTCGAATCTTTTAACTGACCAAAGATAGAAGCCACCGCTACCGCAACAAATACTCCAATGTCTTACGGCACTTGTTTCTTCTTTATTCTCCTCTACAAAGCTGAATATGACCCTTGGGGATTGATCACCCTAATAGGGAGGTAGTGACTGACAGGCGCGGAACGACCTGAACGCAAAACCCAGCTCTGGCTTTTTCAAATCTTGCTTCAACTCTATGCAAGCCCTTTTCGCCTCTAATAATATATATACCAGGCTCTTGAAGCTTACCTTCCTAGCTTTCTGTACACAGGTCTTCGCCAAATTGCTTGGTCATGCCACTGACGCCGGACTCTTCTCGGAATATCTTTCTGGGCTTAAAGAGACCTGTTCTGGTAAAATAGTTGGTTGGCATCTTGGTCAGATTCTGTTTTACTCCGGGTGGATTGTCACGGTTGTGACTACTTGCTTGGGCCTGGTCCTTACTTGTTGCCGGTTGGCGGTGCCTTTTTAGAGGATATTCCCGTAAGGAAAGGTAGATAGTCTGGGTCATCGACCAGACAAAACTAGCGGTCGACCAGATAGGACCATCGCTGAATTTCCTGCAAGTGTTCCAAGGTTGCTGGATACATTTCATCGGATCGTGAGACATATGGGCATCCGAGTCTTTACTATAAGGTATCATATACAGTAAACGCTCCTCAAAGGAAGGAATATTGAACTTTGACGAGCGTTTATTGTATATTTAAGCCCAGGTGGATGGCTAAATCCCGGGCTCCAATGCGAATGTGCTTCCATGGTTGTACAAGGCCTCGGACTCAGATCGAAGGCTTACTTTGAATGACTCCCCTGCCAGTGTACATAGTAAATATCTTTGTGTATTGGTACATGTCTATCATCGCTAATATAATGTTACATTGTAAGGTGGAAACAAAAAAAAAAGAAATCATCAAATATCCCTCCTCCATCCCCTTCATACATCTACATCTCCGTCTCCGCCAACACCGCGATCCAATCACGCCGCACGGACACGCGCAGTCTCTTCCCGACTCTCCTCGCTACCTGCCGGGATGAATCCCCACCCGGTATTCTTCTTGCGCTGAGCTTTACGATCACCGTATTGCTCGTCGAACTTGCGAATAGCAGATAACGAGGACATGTCCTCGCTAATAGATGCACTAATCTCTTGCATTCCAAGTTCAAAGTGAGCGGGCGTGAGCGTGCGGCGTTCCGGATATTGATAGGCTTCATCACCCTTGTGTTCGACCGCGGCCTTATTCTCTTCCCGCACGCATGCCAATGCCGCGGCGACGGAGAGGTTCTTTAGATCAGAGCCGGAGTAGAGCGGGGTGCGATGGGCGATGTCTGCCAAGTCAACCGCGGAATCGAGTTGTTCTTCTTTGAGGTGGATTTTCAGAATGGCGTGTCGGTCTTCTTCTGTCGGAAGGTCCACGAGAAGTCTTCGGGGAAGACGGCGGAGGACTGCGTCGTCTCAGGTCGAATGGTCGGTTTGTGGCGACCATTATGAATGCTGACATGTCGTTCATGCCGTCCCATTCGCGCAGGAACTGGTTAATCAGTTCGCGGTGGGAAGTGCGGCTGCTGGCTCCTGTGCGTGAGCAGAAAATGGCGTCTGCTTCGTCGATGAAGACCACGCAGGGGCTGAGTTTTTTGGCCAGGGTGAAGATGGCCTTGACGTTTTTCTCGCCTTCACCGACATACATGTCGTAGACTTCAGAGCCACTCACTTCGAGGACAGTCGCGCCGCTTTCACGTGCGACAGCCTTGGCAAGGAGAGTCTTTCCGGTTCCCGGTGGGCCGTAGAGGAGACAGCCTGGGATTTTGTCTGTTGCCAAAACACCGTAAGTGAAAGCTTCGGGGCGAATGAGAGATAACGAAGTCAGAGTCTTGAGAGCCTCCACAGTTTCGGGAAGGACGTGCACATCGTTGAAAGTAGTTCTGATGCTGTTTGCATCGACAACTCCGTTGAGAAGTTTCTTCTCATGAGTGGTACAAGTCTGACGCAAAGATTTCAGGAGCTGTTCCCGGGTTTGGCCACTGGGTTCTGAAGCCTTGGGGCCCTTCTCCTGTAGCCAATCGCTAGTGACTCGATCGCCTCCATCCATGAGTTCGATTCCACGTCGGATGTGCTCGAAGCCGAAGGGCTCGTCCGGCTCTGCGCTTCCAAGCGCGAGAGTTGACAGCCAGTGCACCTGGTTGTAGGACCAGAAACGCTCTCGCATACCAGATTGCTTGACGGTGGATGGGTCAAGTGGCCAATCGCGAGTGCCAAAAATATCATCCTTCACGGCGGAGGAGGTCTCGCTCAATCTGTAACGTAGCATTGTTTGGAGGTGGCGGGTGTTAATTTCCATTGTTCGCTTTTGATGGTCTTCAGAGAAGGTTTTCTCTACTGTTTTCGTATCCATGGATGGAATGATTACCAATGTTTTTGAGAACTGATCGTCAAAGACATTCTGCAAGATCTTTGGGCCATCTCGGGAGTTTGTGTGCTGAAGTTCTTGGGAGGTGCTCCCAATGAGTAGGACTCTCGATCCTGCTCGCCTGCGTTCTTGGATGACCTTTTGGAGAAGAGTGATCACCCGGGAACCTTCCCTGGAGCTTTGGATCTCACGATAATCTTGTATGTGAATGATGGTATCCCGTGACAGGGGCTTTTCAGTAATGGGCTCGAGGGGTTGTTGGGCCTCTTCACTCTCAGCCTCAGTTTTCTTGGGGACTGATGACTTGGATGCCCCACTCGCCGAGTAAAGGAGCTCGTTCAAAAGGCCTATCCACCGCTGCTCCATGCGTTGTCCGTAGCCTCGTGAGGTGTTTGGCTCCTGGTCCGACTGGCCATTGATGGACGCCACGAGTGATTTCAAGCCAAGCCAATTAGGAAGTGGGACATCGCCGGACTCCCTACTGGCCTCGATGGTGATAAAACGGGGAGTGCTGACTTCGGCGTGAATCCCGGGATGCGTACCAGCGATCTCGGGGATGTCTTCGTCAGCGTCTCCGCCATCCGCAGGCTCAGCGAAGGCTGCCATTATAGCAGGGCGATAGACTTCGTATCCGAGGGAGCGAATGGCTGACGTCGCACCCGACTCCGCAAGGTCATGCTCACTGAACAGCTGAGCAATATCTTGCGCATTTAATGTGATCAGGTCGGTATTCAACTCATGCGCCAATCGCTTGACGACGGAATCTAGGAACAGAATGCCATCGTTGCCGGGGTATTGAAGAACAAGATGTGACTTCTTGGCCGATGGTTCCTTTGCGTATTGCGTAGGCGGCAATCGTAAGCCTGCTTTGACTGACGCTCGCAATTCTTCCCACAAGGGTTCTGCGAGGGAGTAGCGATTATCTGAGCTCGATTCTGATGGAGTCGCACCGGCCGAAGGATCTCCTCCATTACCCCCAGAAGCCTGATCCCCCACCGCATCACTGTTATCGGGACTGGGTCCAGGTTTCGATTTCGTGATATCCAGTTGGTACTGAGATTGCAGGAGATCGGCCTGACCTAGGGAACCATGGGTTATGTTGGCTTGGAACCAAGTAGGAATGCTGGCCGCGAGCGAGAACTTTTGCTGTTGCTGCTGTTCCGTTTGTCTGTTTCTCATAGCTCTGCGAACGGCGGATCCATATTGCCGTGCAGGAGGCTTCGTTTTCTCCGAGACAGAAGTAGCCGCGGTATCATGTGTGGGGTTATCGATGTCGGAATGACGATTGTCTATCACGTCTCTGGCGTCCGTACTAGTAGGCGGCGTTGGGCCATCAGGCGAAGGCGATGACAGCCATTGCCGCGACAGGTGGAACCGTCGCGCAGGTGCGGGCTCGGGAAAACGGCGACGTGCGATGAGTCGACCAGGGCGAAGGCGTACGATGGGCAGCCGAGCCTGCTGCATTGACAGATACATCCAGGGCACTATACGCCAAGGATTCCACAGAAGCGAATGGCTGCAATGGAGGTGAAGGGGAGGTTGCGCAAGTCCAGATTCAGATCCAGATCCAGATCCCAAGGCGCCTCCGCGGGAGTGATAAGCGTCACGTGACGTTCATTGATAAGAAGTTTTCAGGGATCGATGGAAATGGTTTATGGAAGAGGTGGAGGTGCAAATGTAAATAACTTTGCAAAAATGCATGTCCAACAGGCTCTTGGTCAGTAGTATATGGTTAGCTTCCTGGTTTTGTACTCGATTTATCACAGATCCCCATGGATGAAGTCCAAAAGTTGTGACTACTACATTTGGCGTCTATGGACTTATACTAAACTCAATTGGATGTGTCAGGTAATAGACCTTGCATATAATATATCCAACTCGAGGGCATTGAATGGAATTGAGTTGTATCAGTATCAGTAGTTGTCAATCTTGGTTAGGTTAAGGGTGATCGTCGACCAGGATTATAATAGAGTTTGTGTTGGATTACGAGCCGAAATATAACCTACTACGAGCAAGTGGTAAAGTGACCTTAGATTTTGAAAGAACGATCATGCATTGCAGTTCTAGTCTAGAATAGTATATATAGGTATCGTCCGGCCACTGATGATGGTATGATGTTCGCAGAAGTCGATGACCTAATGACTAAGTTGGATTAGCTGATGTTTCCAACTCCATGGCATGTTGTAAATAGCAAATAGCATGTGCATGTGTAGTTTCTCAGACAAGATATACTGGCAAGTAGCAGACCGACCGGGAAAGGAAGGTCCGTATTTCCTCGTCATGTTCGATTTGGAAGGTAAAGAAGTAAATAGGTTTTGTCATCCTCGAAAGGGGAGGTGGTTGAGTGGATGGAAAAAAGAGCAAAAAAGGAAATTAAGCAAAAGTTCAACTTACCATGGGCTAACAGACCTGCAGCAATGGGCTGACAAGTAGGTTAGTGGCGTGGTTCATCCGACATAAAGACGACCAGTCAAGAGGCAAAAGATACTCAAGGCACTCTTGGATGTTGCGGTGGCGAGGAACACGAGGAAACAACTTGAGGAAAGAAAAAAAAAGACGAAAAAAACCGCGCTGAAATACACAAGAGTCACATGACCTGTGGATCGGGTTAGCGCGGTTTGGTTGAAAATGAAAATGAGAATGAAGGAAGAAGAGGAAATGGAAAAAGAAAGGATATCCTCATGATATTATGCGAATAGATCATATGTACTACTCTATTACTACTCTATTTCTACATTTACACTTATTTACATACACCTATTTGCTATAGAATCTGTTCTGTCAGTTCGGTTACATCCTCCACTTCGGACCCGGTTCCTCCGTCCCCAGTTCCTTCTTCGCTCCCACCGGGCGATCATTCTCCTTGGAACCTATGGGCGATCGCGACAAGTCCCTCCCTCTTCAACTTATCCAAGGTCTTGGTCTCTGTAAGTCATTTCTTTCTCTTTATCTATTGTCTCTTCTTTATCACAATTTCTCTCCCCCATCCACCCCCACCCTCATCCATTTCCAAGGGGAGAGAGGCCCAGCAGCCCAGCCCAGCCCCTCCACACGCCTCCCTATTATCTCCCTCTTCCCTCTTCCCTCTTCTCTCTCTTCTCTCTTTCCCGCCTCTTCCACCACCTCCCGAGATACCCTCTACCCAACGCCCTTCCCCTTCCCCCCCACCCTACTGACCCGGGCTCTAGGAGAACGAGGCCTGCATTGAGGGCGAACCGGGTGAGAGAGTGTGAATAGGCTGAGGTCCCGATCGATGCACCGGCCGTGTCGCGCTGTATCAATTCGCCTGGTCTTGGCCTCCACCCCGAAACGCTAAAACCCACCGCCGGCCCATCTCAGGCGCGCTACTTCCATCGCACATCGCTTTTCCCCTCGGTCGCCTCTCCTCGTCGCTTTCGCGGTTGACGTTGACACCCGTGGAGGTTTCTAGTCGGTCCTGACTCCCTCCGCAATGATGATGGCGCAACCGTTTCCCGCCCATCAAGGCATGCAACATGGCATGCCCCCGGGCCACCACCCAATGGCCGCACAACATCCCAACGCCGGACATCCTGGACCTGGAATGGTACAACAAATGCATCCTGGTGTCTCTCAACCGGGCGGGCCCCAGGTTAGCCAGCCTGGCCCCATGATGGGTGGGATGCCCCCGGGCGCTGGCACCGCTGGTCCTGGCGGTCCCGTCCCGAACGCCCATGCCCTCTCCCATCTGAACCCCGCGAATGCGCATATGTTTCAGCAACAGGGTTTTCCTCAAAATTGTGAGTTCTACTTTAACATCCTGCCTGCCATATTTTATTACCCTCAGGAATTTCCTGGTCGTCTTTCACAATCAACGCGCGATCGGCGCCGGAGAGAGTCCATCTATCTCTCTCTCCCCTCAACTCAACTACGTTCACCGCAACCTCAAAGGCAATCGTTCCTCTATTATGAGTACATGCTGATGTTTTATGCCTCGTAGTCGCGAATAATCCCCAGATGATGCAGCAACAGCAGCAGGCACAGATGTTTCGCCAGCGGGTCATGATTCAGCAGCAGGCACAGGCACAAGCACAGGCACAACAGCAGCAACAGCAACAGCAGCAACAGCAACAGCATGGTCTCCCTGTTTCGTTACCAAATGGCACACAGGGGCTCAATGCTGCCCAGATGGCTGCGATGCAAGCGAATCCTAGAATGAACCAAGTCAACATGATGCACCTTCAGCAACAGCTTCCTCATGGCCAGCAAGGCCTTTCGCAGCAGCAGATTATGGCTATCCAGCAGGCGCAACAGCAGCATGCGCAGCAGGCGGCTATGGCAAACAACGGACAACCCGGCCAGCATACCCCCCAACGTGCTTCTGCGCAACCCCCGAGCATGCACGAGACCCAGGCTGGGACACCACAGTCTCAACATGGCGCACTGCCGCAAAGCGGAACTCCCCAACCGAACCAGCGAGCGCAAACCCCTTCGACACAACCACCGCAATCACAGGGCCCTCAGCAAGCCCAAGCGACGCCAAACCCTCAACCCCAGCAATTACCCCAGTCTCAGCAACCTGGCCAACAACAACCCCAACCCGGTCAGCAACAGCAGCCTCAACAAGGACCTCAAGGCCAACAGGGTCAGGTATCAGGCCCGCCAAGTCAACAGGCCTTGGCTGCTCAAGAAGCTCAATTTAAAGCCCAGCAACAGACTCAGGCTGCCATGATGATGCAACAGCAACGGTTAAGCAGGCAGGGCCAAGCTACTCTGTGTCTCCATTCTTACGCAGAGCACCTTGGGAACTTTGCAAGCCGTGGCGAGGCGACCGACTTCATGTTCTGGCATAACTTTGTAGAGAAATTCTACTCTCCCGGCGGAGTGTTGCGCCAGGGCGTTTGGAGCACCCAAGGGGGGTCAAAGCAATTTGAGATCTCCACTCCCGCGCTCGCGAGATTTTATGTCACACAATTCAACACCGGTATCAAGCAGATTCAATTGGTTGTCGAGGGTGCTCGTGAACGCGACTTGCCAAATGGCGGACATATCGTGGAGGCCCCAAAGGCTTATTTCATCTACTCGTTCACCAATGAGTGCCGACTATTCACACATGGTCACCTTCGTGCATACTTTGATGTCAACAACAAGATTGATATGCTGGACTTTACCGTCACCGGCCACGATGAATATGTCCCACGGTCTATGCTCCAGTCTCTCGAGGCGTCGGAGCAGAAGCAGAGCCCGAAGGCGACTAAAAACTCCGGAAAGCGAGCGCAGAAGCAAGCGCCGAATTTCACGCTACCAGAGTCGATGGTGACCCCGAACGGCGTTCCCAGTGGGGTGTTGGATTTCCTCGAGATGGCAGAAACCATCTCCCATATGCAAATGCTCTTCAACTTCTCACAACAGAACCCGAACCTCTCCCCACCCGAAGCCCTCCGCAACCTCGTCAACACCCTTCACACGCAGGGCCCAACCGCCCAATTTGCGACCCCAATGAATCCTGGAATGCAGCCTATCCCTCGCCAACCCAGCATGAATGGTCCTTCGCAGTTCGCCTCTCCTGCTATGGCCCATCTTGGTCTCCCCGGGGCACAAGGCTCGCCCCATCTGACCGGTTCAGCACACGCGAGTCCTGCCCAGAGCCAGATTGCCGGTGCTCCCGGAATGCCCGTTCAGCCGTCGCCGGTCATCAATAATAGCCCCAACATTGGCGGCAATAAACGTCGACGTGCAAGTACCGTGAAGATGGAGTCCGAGGACGGCAACGAGGTGAATGGCACTGGCGCACAGGGTGCGACCAAAGTGAAAGCCAGTCCTCGGGTACCAAAGAGACAAAAGGGAGCTGCATCCTAGCGAACTCTTCCTCTAGTGGCATATACTGCCCTTTGGCTTTTGACCATCTTGTCTCACGTTTTAAGAGGAGGCAACTCGCGCATAAATGGGTATACTAAGGCGACAAATCGGTTCGTCCTTGACATTGTCTCCTTTTTTGAGCAAGAGATTCTTATGATACTTCCTCCAAAGAGGGAGTTGTCCTTCAAATCTTCGTTTTTCGGTTCTGACGATAAAATATACCGGGGATGGGGTATAATTATTGTCCTACCTGTCTCTTGTCTGACGCCCTTATTCGCGTCTAGAAGCAGGCGGCGGGGCAGCTATTCACAGTGATTCCCCCCTAACAACTCCGATTCTAATGTACTCTATCTCCTCCCTTTTCAGCGTTTCTTTGGTTGGCTCGGGATCATCGCCTTTGAAATTTGCATGTCTTTCTCACCCTCCACCCCACCCACCTGCGCCTCTCGAAATATTCTCTGCCATGCTCCGGGGTTTGACGATTTCTGGATTGATAACTACTTGTTTTCCGGGCTTTTGCCCTTGTCTATTGTGATTGTGATTATCTGTTCTTTATTTTCCTTGTTGAGGGCCTGGATCAACTGGCCGAATCCTTGATATCCGTGTTGGCGATTGCAATGGCGTCGGGCTTATTTGTTTCTTCTGGAGCTCCGTCCGCGTGCATTTTTGGGGGCTTTCCTTTGGGCTCGTTCTGGTCTTGGGCCTTGATTCTTTGATGATGATTTCCCCTCCCCACCCTTTGGGGCTCATCGCTTTGCCGCAATTACTTTTTTGACGAATCCATACATACTACCAGCAACTTGCAATTACATACGGTGTAAAAGAATGGGGTAGCGCGACTCTTGTATAGATGTGAAAAGGGCCAGAAGGCTATTAACTAACCTTGAAGCTATATGAATTAAACTCCACCTATGTTGGATGAGTTCGCCGATCCAATCCCATCCGGCGAACTCCGCTCGGCATCGGCCAACGCGATGTGATAATGAGAATCTCGGCATTCCTGAGTTGTTATCGTGACGTTCCCCACCAACGGCCCTTGCATAAACTTGCCCCTCCTCTCCCCACGACTTTGGAATTCTTCTTCTTCCCCTCCAATTTTCTCATACCCTTCCACACCAAGGTTGCAAGTTTCTTCGCAGCCATGTCGCATTCTCACGATCACGATGCTGGCGTTAGCCACTCCCACGACGACCCTTTCAATGGCCATGGCCACTCCCATGACATCCTCGATGGTCCCGGCTCATACCTCAACCGCGAAATGCCGCTGATCGAAGGCCGTGACTGGAAAGACCGTGCTTTTACCATCGGTATTGGAGGGTATGTTTGTTCTTACTGCAGAGGTAGTAGAGAAGCAGTTGGAATTGAGTTTCTCTCTGGCTTTCTCCTCTCCTCCTGGGCCTTCTTACCCGGCAAACTATTCTATCGAATTGTAATATTGACTCGATCCTGCACCATGATCTAGACCCGTCGGCTCTGGCAAGACTGCCCTCATGCTAGCCCTTTGCCACGCACTCCGCGATCAATATAACATTGCCGCCGTTACCAACGATATCTTTACCAGGTACGACGATTCCTACAGCTATAGCTACCAGTAGCTATAGCCAAACCTACCTATTAAAAACCCACCTGGGAGCTCGCTCCCAACCCAACTCTCCCCGGGGAAACCACGGGAAATACAACATACCCCAGGCCCAAAACAAAACAAGCATGGATTTCTAACAACATCCCCCACCACGCACAGAGAAGACGCGGAATTCCTAACCCGCCACAAAGCCCTCGCACCCAACCGCATCCGCGCCATCGAAACAGGCGGCTGCCCGCACGCCGCCGTCCGCGAAGACATAAGCGCAAACCTACTCGCCCTGCAAAACCTCCAACGCCAATTCACCACCGACCTACTCCTAATCGAGTCCGGCGGCGATAATCTCGCAGCCAACTATTCGCGCGAATTGGCCGATTTCATTATCTACGTTATTGACGTTGCGGGCGGCGATAAGGTTCCCAGGAAGGGCGGGCCTGGAATTACAGGCTCGGATCTTTTGGTTGTTAATAAGATTGATCTTGCTGAGGCCGTGGGTGCTGATCTTAAGGTTATGGAACGGGATGCGGGGAAGATGAGGGAGGATGGTCCGACTGTTTTTGCGGTTGTTAAGGATGGGAAGGGGATGGAGCATATTGTTAATTTGATTATTAGTGCTTGGAAGGGGAGTGGGGCTTATGATGTTAGCTTGCAGCGGTGGAAGGAGGGGGCGATCAGAGGGTCGGGGAGTGTTGATGAGTAGAGGTGATGTTGATGTTGACGATGTTGGTATACCTACTGGTACTTGGACTTAGATTGGGACACTTTTGATCAAACCATTAATCAAGTCTGGATTGGCACAGTGATATTAAATCTTGCTTTTCCTTTTCCTTTTGAGTACTAGTACTGGTTCTATACAAAGAAATTTATGAATGTCATGAACGAATCTTTCCCTCCGTTTTCAACGCCTGAAATGCTGCAGTCACCAAGGGCTTCAAAATGTATCTCCACTTTTTTTTTTAAAAAAAAAAGAAAGCCAAAAAGGAGAGCCGTGGCTGGGTATCTGGATACTGTCCGTGAAAGAAAGGCAAGAAATTATACTCAAGAATCCTTCTTCACGGCGAATCGGCCCAGAGCAGGTCCCAGTTCTTCGCGCTCTTTCCGGAGCTTCTCCTTATGGCGCGAACGGTGTTCCTCACGCAGGGCCTCGGCCTTGAGTCTCTTGTCATCGATGACATTACCCCGACCCTTCTTACGGAGATACTTGCGAAGAGCGCTGTTGCGACCACGACCGCGGTTCTTAAGCTTCTCCATGTGGTCCTCGGGCCGGTGGTCCAGATTGCGAGTCTCCTGCACCTTCTTGTCGCTGATAGTGTCCAGCCTACCAATGATGCTGGGGTCGAGCGAAATCATATCCGGCTGGAGCTTGGTGAGCAGCGAGTGCACCTCAGCCTCCTGGCGCTGCTTCGTGTTCTCGTACGGGTTGGCTTCCAGCGAGTCGAAGTTAGGCTCACCGGCGCCGGGGACGAGAAGACTTGCGAATCCTTGGTCGTGCGCGACGCCTAGTACATCTTCGTACGGGCACCAGCGCATGTTCTCGATGCGTTGGCCATCGCCACCCCACGCCATGTATGGGCTGTTAACCTTGCCTTGGTCGGCGACGGCGGCGTCGAACAGGCCCCGCCACACACTGACCTGAGTGCCCCAGCCCACGGCCGTCAAACCGCGGTCACTGATAGCGACGGATGCTCCGGGCTGGTAGCAGGAGTATGAGTGCACCTCTCGGAACATACGGATATCCCAGATATTCATTCTTTGGTCCTGGCCGGTGGACACCATATAGCGACCCTGACGGTCAATTGCGAGAGATCGCACGGGTCCACGGTGGACCTGTGCCTTAACGAGCGCAGTCTGCGAGTTTGGTGACCATAATGTCACAGTTCCGTTTTGGTGTCCGGTGTGGAGGATGGCGTTGTGAGGGTTTTGGGTGAGGGAGGTAGGGCGTCCTAGGCGTGTGGGTAATTCGGCAACTGTTTGACCGGTCGAGGTGTCGGTGTATTTGAGATAACCACTGATACCCTGCATAATTTGTTAGATCATATGGCTTGGAGACATTTAATAACAAAAGTAAAAGAAGGCGACTCACAACACTGGCAAGAAGAAAGTGGTACGGGAGGAACTCGAGGAAGAGCGGTTCCAGATGCTTGTTCAAACAGTGGATCTCGACACCATTGTGGTCATAGATGTAGACGTATTTCTTCTGCGCAACAGCAAAGAACTGGTTGTTGTGAAGCCAGCGCGCATCGCGGACGGTTTCATTCAATTGCAGCTCGCAGCCGAGTTTGCCATCACGCCAGTCCATTGTCGCAACATGGCCCTTTCGTCCTGCCAACAAGAGATTGCGTCCGTTTCGAGTATAGTCCGTACGGTAGGGTCCGAAATCGTTCAGTCGTAGCTCGAAGCCTTTCTTCGCTGTCTCCATTCCAACGCTGTCCTTGATCTCATCCTGTCGAACCTTGTAGGTTTTCTCCAATTCACCCTCGGGCTCCAGGAATCCGGCCTCGTGTTCCAGCAGAATTTCGGCGTCCTTGGCTTGGAGCATGGCATTTTTGTGCTTTTCTTCCTGCGCCTTCAGGGTGGTGCGGAGCTTCTTGTCGCGAATGTTCTTCATGGAGGGAGCTTTGCCACGGCCGTAGGTTTTTTGGGCTTCGGCCAAGCGCATCTTAGCTTGTCGGTCCTCAGCCGACATGACGGCCTTGCGAGAGTCGGAGCCAGCCATCTTTGCGGTTGAATGTTGCAGCCGAAAAGATTATCCAAGTTCCAAATTCCAATGAGGACCGCGGGAGACTTTTTTCCTGAAAAATTGTGCCAAGAGTTGGCGCTCACCGCTCGCTTATCCTCCACTTCGAATTTTTGTTTTTTCTTATCGCCTTTCTTTTTTGGTCTTGGTGGGATCGCTGCAATTCTCCATTTTACTATTTTATTCGAACTGGAAATTAGACTGTTCGACAAGTCTATTCACTACTTCCAAGCTGGACTCCCTCCCATATCGTTTCAAAGGGTCTAGTGCCAATATGGCGCCCACCCAGGTACACTCCCACCGTTCGACCACCAAGGTCTCCCACAAGCCTTATAAGAGCAAGCATGCCTCGAAGAGTGCATTGAAAGATCTGGCGAAAGGTATTGTCAAACGTTCTCGGATCGATTTTGTCCTGCCAAAATTACTTCTGCTGACAACTTTCTAGGAAAAATCGAAGTTGAGCGGGGCACTCGCAAAACCCCCCACCAACAGCTCAAGTCCAAACTCGACCGCCGCAATACAGCCCGCCAGAGACAACAACTGAAACACCAGGAGAAGGCGCAAGCCGCGAGTATCTTTGCCGGCCAAAGTGGTGCCCCCCGTCATGTCGCCATCGTCCCACTTACCCCCGATATCGATGTCACTGCTGTCATTAGCTCGCTGAATGAGAGTGTTGATATCTCTTCCGAGATTTCCTCCGAAGGTGCTACTCGGGTGCGAGTTGATCGCTTCAAGCAAAGTCTGCACTACCTTCCCGCCAAATATGACTTGATCAGTGCGCTGGATGTGTGCCGCCTGGCCGATTTCGTGGTCTTGGTGGTGTCTTCTGAGACGGAAGTGGTGGAAGAGGGTGAAATTTTGCTGCGCTCGATCGAGGGCCAGGGTATCTCCAACGTCGTCACGGTGGTTCAGGGCCTCGACAAGATCAACCCGGCTAAGAAGCGGCCCCAAGTCGCCTCTTCCCTGAAGTCTTTCGTCAACCACTTCTTCCCTACTGTCGAGAAGGTTATGTCTCTTGACTCTCGACAGGAATGCTCCAATGCCATTCGATCTCTCTGCACTGCTACCCCCAAGGGTATCCGATGGCGCGACGAGCGTAGCTGGATGTTTATCGAGAACGTTCAGTGGCCAGAATCTAGCGCCGAGCTGGTGGATGATGTTGTGGTTACCGGTGTTGTTCGTGGACACGGTCTGAAAGCTGATCGTATCGCTCATATCCCCGGATGGGGTGATTTCCAGATCGATTTAATCACTGCCGCTCCTTTGGCGAGCGCCAAGGGCAAGCGAGATGACGCCATGGCTGTTGATACCAATGAGACCACACAGGTCTTGGATACCCCTTCCGCAGACCAGGATGACATGGCTACTATTGCCCCGGAAGAAATTGAGATGGATGACGACGTCGTCTCTGTGGCCGAGACTGACCGCAAGGGTGTCTTGCTTGATGACTACCACTACTTCTCTGATGATGATTCACATATGCCCGCAGTTCCTAAGAAACTGCCCAAGGGTACCTCCAAATACCAGTCCGCTTGGTATGTTGAGGACGTGTCAGACTCTGGGTCCGACCTCGAGGACGAAGACGAGGAAATGGAAATGGACACAACTGGCGCGCCTGAAGATGGCATCTTCCCCGATAATCAAGATGCCATGACCGAGGGTGGTCCCTCTGAATACCCACAATCCGAAATGTTCCTTGACCCATCTCCTGAAGATGAGGCACAGGAACTGGCAGACTACCGAGCCAGCCGCAAAACAGAGGCCGAGGAAGATTTGGAATTCCCTGACGAGATCGAGCTACACCCCAACGTACAGGCCAGAGAGCGCCTTGCCCGATTCCGAGGTCTCAAGAACCTCAAGATCAGTCCTTGGGAAACCTCCGAAGATCGTCCCTTTGAGCCCGAAGAATGGCGCCGCCTTCTGCAATTCGGCGACTACAAGGGCACCAAGAACCGTGTCCTTCGCGAAGCTCTGGCTGGTGGTGTGAACCCTGGTATCCGGGTCGATATTCACCTGCGTGCCGTACCGGCTGCCCTGCGCCAGAAGGCCCAGCCCTTCTCGCTTTTCTCTCTCCTCCGTCACGAACACAAGAACACTGTTGTCAACGTCAACTTGACCCTGAGCTCGAGCGTCGAACAACCTCTCAGGTCAAAGGAGGAACTCATTGTCCAGATCGGTGCGCGCCGAATGGTCGTCAAGCCCGTCTTCTCCGCCGGCGACAATACCCCCAACAACGTCCACAAGTTCGACCGATTCCTGCACCCCGGCCGCAGCGCCATGGCCACATGGATTGGACCCATGATTTGGGGCGCTGTCCCCATGCTCGTCTTCAGGAACAAAAAAACCGAGGCAGACGAGGAGATGCTCGACTCCGCAGAGGCCAGCCAACCCAGCCTCGATGGACTCGAGCTGATCGGTACCGGCACCGTGGTTGCGCCGGACCAGAAGCGCGTGATCGCCAAACGTGCCGTTCTCGCTGGTCACCCTTACAAGATTCACAAGAAGGTCGTTACTGTCCGATACATGTTCTTCAACTCCGAGGACGTCGCATGGTTCAAGGCACTGCAATTGTGGACCCGCCGTGGTCGCAGTGGTTATATCAAGGAGAGTCTTGGTACGCATGGCTACTTCAAGGCTACATTCGATGCCAAGATCAACCCGCAAGACTCTATCGGCATCAGCTTGTATAAGCGTGTCTTCCCTCGCCCGGCCCGGGCTATCGAGGAGATCGGTGCGTAAGTACTTTCTGCTTCATGATTATTTTATTTTTGTATGAGATGGATGAAATTTCTATTTTTTGAGACATGAGATGGTAAGTCAGGACTATATAGTAGTCCTGTACTGTTTTTTTGGTGGGAAGGATTGGCGTCATGATACATCCGCAAAAGTAAATAGACTTGAGACGTTTCAATAATGAATCACGATTTTCTCTGCTATTCCTTGAAGACACCTGGCCAGGATTGGAGGAGTAAGTAATACTATACCATTTAGTATCCTACCCCATTACATACCAGTACTACTCACTGCCCTCAGGGCTGAATTGTGAGGAGCAATCTTTCAAGGTTGGAATTGAGCAATTTGTATACAGGTACTAGTAGCTACTGGGAGAATAGTGGTTTCAGTGAGGGAGTGGCAGAGCTTAAGGAACACTAGTGATTTTGGTAAACTGGGTTGATTGCGGCTATGGAGCACCGTAGTCGTAGGAAGCCTATCCGTCATTCATCTAAAAGAGCCGCTCGTTCATCGTTATGGCGTCTAACCCACTGGCGCCAATCCAAAAATAGAAAGAAAGGCCCAATGCCATCATAGGAAGGAATGTGTCCAGTCTAGATGAAAATGGAACTATATGTCTGCATGAAGAGCGCGAAAAAAAGGAACAAGTATAACAAATATCCAGGTAGAGATTCTGACTCGACACAGGCAGGGAATCAAAAGACAAAGTAAAGCAAATTTCCACCTAGGAGAAGTCATCCTCCAAGTCATCGGCCGCAGACGCATCAGCTGCTCCAGGAACACTGCCAGATTCGGGGATCTTTCTGTAGACCCGAGTGATCATGATCTGTCTCCAGTCGTTGAATGGGGCTAGCATGATAGTGAACTGAGAGCGGGTTTCCTTAGAGCCACGGCCCTGAGCACCATCTACCAAACCGTGGAACTGCTTCGCTTGGTCTTGTGTGGGGGTGGAGAGAATGTCGTACATGTAGGAGAGGAACTTGCACTCGTTGGAGCCAACAAAGTGGGGGTACTTATTGGGGTCCTGGTATTTTTCCAGGGCATTGCGCACACCGGGTAGGTCCTAGAGAAGAAATGCCGTGAGCAGAGGTTCGAGCTTAAAACGGCGCAAGATAAAAGAATGTACGTACCATTTCAGCAAACATGCAGAGAATGGCGTTGAAGAAGCTCTGTGTATAGTGGCCCGGGTAAGGTCCGTTTGGATCGGAGGCAACTCTGATGAAAGCATCGATGGCATTTTGGTAATCGGCTGCGAGAGCTCCCAATTCTCCGACCTTCTGCCAGTTCTTGTTCGCAAGTCTATAGATGATATCCACGCATTAGTACTGCCGGAAGTATCAATATAGGGGATGGTATGGGGAGATCCATACGCCTGAGCATTGTCTTTCTCAAACAGCTTCGCGGCCTTCTGGTATGCCTCCATCGCCTGGCGTTCATCTCCCATCTGCTCTTCGTAGTGCTTGGCGAGAGCTTGCAGTTGTGTAGCAGCGCGGCGGGGGTTCTTTAGCAGGTAGAAGTTAATAGCCTTGTTGAGCACTCGAGCAGCATCCTCGGGGCTGCTCTTGCCGTAGGCCTTGAAGGCATCTTGGAGAGTGTTGGCAGCGTCGAGGGGTTCTTCAATAGGCTTATTCTCCTCGATCGAGGCTGCCTTTTCGTAGGCCATACCCGCTTCCTTATCTATTCACATCGGGACATAGCGTGTTAGCTGCGAGGGACGGAGCTTGAAAACGTGGCAAACGCGGGGTGTGGTTCTCTCACCCATATCCTGGGCCCGGAAGGCATTTCCAGCCTCCTTATAGAGATCGATAGCATTTTCGTACTTTTCTTGACGTCCGCCGAATAGACTCCAGCCACCGCCGGCACCGGAGAGGGCTTTATCGGCCTAAATGTTTACAAATTGTGAGCGTTGGTCAGTTCTCCCGCGATTTCGTCATTGCCTAGCTCCAAAGTTGGAGAAGTTGGAAGAAGGGCAAGGGTAGACTCACCTTTTGCAGGAGAACACGGGGATCGTGAGACATTTTGTAGGTGCTTCACGGAGAAGAAAAGAAGTCGAGAGAAAGGGAGGACTGAGTGGAAGGAGGGAAGTTCGGGGTTGGGTTTATCGTCTCTTGATGGGGAAAGCAGAACAACTGAGATCGGCGGTCCCGCGGCAGGCGGTCAATCTGCTTCTTCTCCTTCTACTTCTTCTACCTCCTCTTCCCATCCACCACGTTTACTACTTGTCAAGGCTGACATGACCAGCTGAATCTGGTCGTGCTGGTACCACTCAATCGAGAAATCGACTCATTTTCTCTCCCGCGACCATCATGCACCTTCGTGCAGCGACGCGGTCGCTGGCCCGCAGTCAATGCATGCTGCGCCGCTATTCCTCCAATTCTCAGTCTCAAGGCAACAACATCGCGTCATTACTCTCAGAACCTACTTGGTCTGTTCGCTCTCTCCTCCCAGATTCTGCCTCGCAGTCAAGCGCACCATCAATTTCTCCTAAACAACTTCACCATCTACTGCGACTCTCCGCCCTTCCTCCACCAGCTACCCCCGAAGAAGAAAGATCCATGCTTCAGACCCTCGAATCGCAAATCCATTTCGTGAAGGAGATGCAGAGTGTCGATACCACAGGCGTTGAGCCCTTACGCAGCATTCGTGATGAGACACTGGCTGCAAATAAGGAGACGAGTATCGGGCTGGACCGTCTAAAGGACGCTTTGGCACAAGAACATGTCAGCGGAAGGAGGAAACGAATTCAACGAGTTGAACAAGAGAAAACTGGGAGATCAGAGGGCTCAATTTGGGATGGAGATGCACTGCAATCCGCCTCCAAGACAAAGGGGCCATACTTTGTTGTTGAGACGGGTCCAGGCGCAAGTGCAACTAAAGGCACAGGTGGCAAGTCAGCCTGATGGCTGTGCCATTGTAACATTAGGTCTTCTGCGTGTGTTCTGGGGTGGCTATCTGCTCCAGTCTGTACCATATTCACACTGCAATCACCATGTAAGATAATTTAGAATACCCATTTGAATATTAGCGTCATATAAACACCAGCGCCGAACCCTTCTTGATCAAATATACACAGCTTGAAGGCCTTTTGCCCAACTATTGGAGTCCGATGATCTATGGACCTAATTATTCTTTCCAAAAACCATGCGACCCTGCCAGTGTCGCAGTCGTTTCCCATACATCTGGAGAAATGCCATGAAGAACACCGAAACAAACGTGATAGCGGCCTGGATCCCCAACGCCTTGGCTGGCCCAAGACGTGTGACCCAATCAATCTGAATATAGGTTGCCATAAATCCAGCCCAGTTGCGACTGGCTGTAACCCATGCGCCGACCTCGCCCGATCCCTCGGGGTAGCAGTCAAGGAGATACGCGTTGATCGCAGTGGTAACGATCATCACACCAACGCATTGCAAGGCAGCGAATACTGCAATGATCATATAATGCCATTGTCTTTCAAATGCAAACCCCAGTACTATGAGGCTGACACAGCAAATTATTGTCGCAGGGTAGGTAATGATCAGTCGGGCTTCGGGGTCGAGTCTGCCGGAGTGACGCTTTGAATAGTATCGACCAACTGCGTCGTGGAGGAAGTGGCCGATAAACCAACCAAGCAGAACACCAACGATGCCGAAAAAGTAGAAGTATCCTGGGAGAGTTCGAAGGTTGTCAGTTTTGATATCTGAAGTATGAATATCTTATTGTCAGGGTGAATGAATCTACATACCGATTTCTCTCGTGGAGAATTTATAGATACTGCTTAACCAGATCCCAATGGTAGTGTTGACTCCAATTACCCAGGCAAAGTTCAAAAAGTAGTATATCAGGATCGTTAAGACTGGGATCTTTGTAACGGCAACGACTGGACGAGCCATACACTGGACAAAACTTCTTCGCGGAGCTTTGGCCTGTTGTATTCCGAACAGGCGGGTGAAGAAAGTACCACGAGAGCTCGGAGGTGCCTTTCTATCAAACAATGTCTCGTCCAAGAATAGGATCAAAATCAATCCCACGCCAGATAGGATCGTGCATACCCAAAATGCCCATCGCCAGCTGACATCTGTCACAATGAAACAGGTGATCAGAGGGCCGAGGTAAGGACTGAGAATGATAGAAAATTCAACGTAATTGATGACCTGTGGGTGTTGATGGAAGAAGAAAAGATCCTTAATCCACATCAAAGCACCACCTTGGCCTACACTGCAGAAGAACCCGTTGATTATGCGAGCTGCGAGGTATGATCGAAAGCTTGTGGCTGCTGCAGACCACACACACGTTCCCAGCATGACACATTGAAAGAATAAAATGACTGGCCAACGGCCAAAGTAGCTTGCTAGTGGAACAACGAAAAGCCCGCAAGCTCCAATCGTGAATAAGTTGCCCACCACTGCCCGTTGTACTGTGGCTTGAGCGAGCTGCCATTGCCTTCAATATCTGGTTATTGAGTGTACATGATTTCCGATTGGATGCTTCGACGACTTACATGGATTGAGGGATGACGGTGATTATGGCTGTTCCTCCAGTATAGTCTGCCAGCAGAGCAATGTAGGCAACAATCGCAATGATGGCCCACTTCTTACCACCGCTCCAGTTCAAAGGATCGTCGGGTGTGTCTAAGGGTTGAGGTATTAGAACGTAACGCCCGTCCGGGCTGGTCTTCAGCCTGGCTGCATTGTCAGCATAGCGACTAGGATCGACGATGTAGCCCTCGAGGGCTTCGGATTCCTCGTCGATCTCCGTAGTATTGAGATAGCCGGGCTGTTTTTCTTCGACCATTTTCGCTTGCGAGGACGTTATAGAAAACTCCGGGGAAGCAGAAACGCAGCAGAAGAAAGGATGGAAAGGCAAGTCAAAAAAAGCGGAGGCCAAATGTCTGTCCCACAAGCCTTGCCAGCAGGGGTGAAATGTTGTGTTTCGTTTTCGTTACCAGCTTCTTTTTACACGCCATGTAACCACTGCATTAAACTAAAGAGGTTGTGCCCGGTCCCATCGGGCTCATACATTGCAGCGCCTTTTGATGGGACATAAGGACATGAAACACCGCATCCTGGCTCACAAGCTGATTGCTGATCTCTTTCCTGTCTAATTTAGGTGTTGCATTGATAAATCTCCACCATTGAAAGTACATACTGGATTTCCACTATCACAAGCGAAGCCAAGGATGCTTGAACGAATCCTTCGGGACTTTTCGACAGGGCTCTTCGAATTAATTTGTAGTACTCCGTGCGGAATGAAGCAATCCCCTTACAAAGTACGGAGTACGTGTACCTATTAACATCGCATCTCAAACAGCGGACGATACCGACTTTGACTCGGGCGGGCTAGGGGCAATGTCCGCCTCGCATTAGCATATGGGGGCTGCCTTCCGGGGACGAACCAAGGTCCAACACCCCATCAATTCGCAGACCTGATCCACTGCCCTAAGAGCGCTAAGCAAGGCTAGGCGGAGGCGATTGACCGGGGGCGGGCCGTTGGCTTAATATTTTTGACTTTGGTGGTGGAGCCACAGCGAGCGCCATCGGATCCCCGTGTTGCCCCGGTATGAGGTGCTCACAAGGCCACTGTAACACAAGCAGTCCTGACCTGTTGGATATGTCCCAAGGATCTGTTTTTGACTAGGATTCGAAATGGATTTAGGGGAAGTTGGAAACCAGTCTCTAAATATGGAAGTGAACAGGCATGATTCGAGAGCCTGTTCATTCACAGGAAAACACCCACCTAATGTTTTCAAACAGCTTGACTGATTCGACATTATTACAATGACAGATACATCGAGAGTCACCTATGGTGGCAATGGGCCCTTGGTCCTAGGGGTGACCTGGGCAGAGATGGGTCTGGCGCTCATCCTTATCATTCTTCGAGCGAAAACCGCTTCCGTATGTCCGCCAGGCCAACTATCCTCTGGGATATTTGGGTTAAGATGGGATTTTGTCTGGGTGATAATGGCGTTTGTATGTGGTATCCTACTTATTCCGCATATTCATTACCTACAGAGTAACGGAACTAATCATGATAGGCCGTCGCCCTGGCGGTTCAAAGCAGCATCACCGTGAGCGTTCGATATGGACTTGGGAATCATCAAGACTTGCTTTTGAAAAATGACCTTGTGAAGACAAATCTCTGGAGCTGGATTGCACAGGTTCTTGCCATTCTCGATCTAGTGATTGCCCGGATAGCCGTCATTGCCTTCTTACTCTCCATTCAAGGAAGAACAATGTACAAGAGTAGATATCTCTTGTATTTTGTAGGCGCAATCCAGGCACTCATCAATATTATCGAGATTGGACTGATATTTAAGCAATGCACACCGGTGGAAAAGCTGTGGGATTCTGATATTCCCGGGACATGCGACCAAGTGGTGATATGTTCCCAGGTCGGGTTTGCGCAAGGCAGTATGTGATATTCCTCGGCCAGGACTCGGGATAAATAGTACTGACACAGATAGGCATTGGAGCAGCAGCAGACTTTTTTCTGGCATTTTATCCAATTATTATCATTGGAAGACTCCAACTAATGAAACTTTCGACGAAGATCGGGCTTTGTCTAATTATGGGAGGTGGATTGATGTAAGACGCGCGTTTCAACATGGGAGTCCGGACTTTGCTGAACACTTCATATCATAGTGCAGGAATCGCTGGAATTAATAAGACCATTGCGATCTCATCCATCACCCACGCCGATGATCTGACATATGCTATCGCCAGACTCGACACCTGGGTTTTGACTGAAATGTGGTTTATCATCATATTTGGATCTATACCTGTTCTTCGACCATTTTTCATTCGATTTACACAAGACATCAAAGTTGCAACAGGGAGCTCTTCAAAGAGCAAAGAAAATAGTCATGCGTATGGGAGGGAAAGCCGAAGCCAACGAGAGTCTTGGATACAATTGAGCGATGATCCTCAAGCCAACTTTACACCACATGGATCCGCAGTCGCAAGTGCATCTCACAATACAGACCATATACAAAGGGGAGCCAGCGGGCCTACTGGGAGGCATATACTGGTTACAAGGGATACAAGCGTGGTCTCGCAGAGATTGTGAAATGGCGGATAGCCCTATTTAGGTATAGCACGGGAAACTCAGGATTGCTATTTATTCGTACAAATTCTCGCCAAATAATCAGGCGCGAAAATATATTTAAAATCGAATCTTAAAATATCGGCGGAATAATGAAGCCGTTCGATTACCTGCTGACTTGAATTCAGCCTCGTTATTCCATGCAGATTGGTAAATGTTGGTTGGCGAAAAGCAGATTGCAGGCCAGAGCTAGTGACACCCTAAGCAACGCCCACGCGCAGGATATCGAATGGCTTAGACAGAGGATTGTTTCAGATAAGCATTGTGACTATTTTATAGAGAGAGTATCGACGCAGTATTAATTGCGAGGTTAATTCTGTATTTAATACCAAAATACGCTCGTTTCTAGTGTCTTTTAATCCTTGGAGATGCATGAAACCGTCACTTGTTAACTTTATTAGGTCGTAACGCATGTGTCAGAAAAGTACTCAAATATACGGCGAGTACGTTCTGAAAACATTCTACTGCCCAGAAATAATTTCTCACACAAATGCGTGATTGAATGACAAGACATGCCCAACACTTCGTCGCCATTGACCTGGTAAAGGAATCATATTGGCCGAGAGAGAAACCATCTCCACAGGCAATATCCTATACAGATGGGTTCATCAATTGGTCGGCTGTCGCCGATAAAGAATTTACTATTTTAAATTAGATTTGAATGGACCGGTCGGGTATTGCCCCGCGGTCACCATGGGATGCGATCCTTTGGAAGGAAAGCATTATTAGATCAATAGCTACCCCGCCTATTCCAGTTCTGCCCTTAATTAAATTCGCAAGCTTCCAATGAATCGTTCCCTGTTACTCATTCGAAAAATCCCGATTTCCCTTCCTTTTCATACCTACTGCCCATCTTCCTAATGTCGATCTCAGAAGCGCTTGCACAAGTTCAAAAACTTGCTGCGGCCGAGGAAGCGGGCGATAAAGATGCACACGCCAATCTTCTCAAGGCAATTCGTGAGCTGCAGTTGGCTGCCGAAACGCCGCTGGAGACAACATCACGATTCAATTTCCAGGTGAGTGAAGTCTGCTAATAACGCTTCGGAATTGGAGAGTTAACGTTACTAATTATTACCTTAACCGCCAGATCATGCAAAACATATCTATTCGCGTCGCTATTGAAAACCGATTTCTTCATGTTATTGTCGAAAGGAATGGCCAATCTATATCTGCTGGCGAAATTGCCAAGGAGACGTCGTCCGATCTTCTTTTGACAGGTGGGTAAAAAACCCAGAGAAGGAAAGAAGAAAGAAAGACCATGCTGACTATTTTATTAGTCCGTGTCATGCGCGTCTTGACCGCTATTGGACTATGCGATGAAGTCGGCAATGAGCAATATGCTGCGAATGATAAAACACGATTCAAGATTCTTCCGGGGTCAATTGCAGCTGAAAAGCACCAGTAAGCCCAGGCAATAAAGGGAACCATGAAGATCAATTTGCCAACCAACTAACACCTTTCCCAGCTTTGACCTAGATTTTGGAATGGTGAGGCATCGAATGCAGAATCATGTCACAGTGCATCGAATATTAACAACAAACAGGGCGGCAAACTTGTGGAATACATGCGCGGCCCAGGCATCCAGCAATTCGCAGACGAACCTGATGCTATCACGCTTTTCAAGTACGCCCATGGCACAGATGTGATTTTTGGCCTTCTAGAAAAAAATCCAGAGCAGAAGAAAGCATTCGATGATTACATGGCTGCGCGTCGTATCGATGACATGCCTCAATGGTTTGAAATCTACCCTGCGGCAGAAAAGCTCCGAGATCTCCATCCAGGACCTAATGCTACACTTATGGTTGACGTCGGGGGTGGCCCTGGCCAGGAGCTTGCAAGATTCAAGGAGCATTATCCGGAGATACCGGGACGGTTTGTTCTCCAAGATTTGCCCTTGACTCTCGAACGCATTGAAAAGCTTCCTGGTGGGATTGAGTCAATGGAGTACGATTTCTTTACTCCCCAGCCTGTGAAAGGTATGTCCCTGTCATGATGACCTACCAGATTGAACTGATGCTGATACTGACCTCATTGGGCCTTAGGCGCTCGGCTTTATTTCCTTCGCGACGTCTTGCACAACTGGTCTGACGCCAAAAGCGCCCAAATTCTATCCCGAATAGTCGAGGCCATGGACCCTGAATATTCAACACTGTTGATTGATGATTATGTCCTTCCTGACACTGATGCTGAGCTCCGGGCTGCAGAGATGGATATTCTCATGTGGCTGCACACTGCGGGATTGGAGAGAACCGTGTCCCAGTGGAAGAATCTCTTTGATACGGTCGGTCTAGATCTAGTTCAAGTTTGGAGTTCTAGCCGTGGAAACGAGTCAGTTATTGAAGCTAGAGTACGTCGTTTGTAATTTTTCATAAAGGAAATTAAAATTGAGAGTAAAATATTGATCTACAGAGTTTAATATTGCCTTTTCTTCCACATTGTTTACAGTGTGTCCAGTACCAGATACAATAGATAGTAGTCTATATTACTTATCTATCTATAAACTACATATGGGCCTACTTATTATAATATTTAACCTATTAGCTACTACTCTCTACTTAATACTCCGTAATACCCTTAAGAGAAGCCGATAAACAACAATATTCATAGACTCCTTAGTAGTAGCTCTGGCGTGATGTATATCATATTATCATGCGATGTCTAGGGCCTCATTGTTCACATAAAAGCAATATTTCTGGTAGGATATGGAGGTCAAAGGCACCACACATTCAAAACTTACTATTTGAAGGCCCTCATTGAATATATGGAGCAAAGGGGAGTATTTTAAAACTACAATAACATTACGAGCTGTGTCATGAGCAGCTCTATACGGAAGAAAACCAGGGACTTGTCAAAAAATAAAATTGCACAAAATTAACAATTTGTTGAGCGTGTCATTCAATCAATATTCATTTCTGCCGGCAAGATTACCCCAACCATTGACGAATACTCTATCTGCTAGTGAAATAACCCCTCCTAAGGTCAAAGGTGCTGAACCAATCATAATTCGTTGGCTGCTAGGTGTGGCTATGGGAGGCCGAATTTTGTCAGAACCTGTTCAGCAAATGTCAGGGATTTAATGGTTACTATTTTGAAAGAACCAGTATGCGAAACTGCAAGGATGTCAAAAACATGCATTTCTCACCGCAACTCACCTTTGGAATGTTATTGGCGACTGCAATCGTAATCGGCATTCAGGCATTAGGTGGCTGAGAGCTACGGATGATGTCTGTTGAAGCATGAGCTTAGTATACACTAATACTTCATATATGACCGCATTTAAAAAGCAAATACACATACCAGAAATGTTCTCGGGCATATCATCTATTTGGGCGCCGTAAAGCCGTTTAATGACAGGTATCGAATCGATGTCATCGGGAGTAATGAAGTTAATGGCGACACCCTTGCTACCTAAGCAACCACCACGACCAATACGGCGAATATAGTTCTCAGGGTTCGCGGGGAGACCGTAGTTGATGACCAGAGACACTTGGAAATCAATATCGCGGTCAAGAAGGTCAGTAGTGATCAGGGCACGGGAAGTTCCAGAGATGAACTCCTTCATGATACCATCGCGCTGGGACTGCTTCATATCACCGTATATAGCAGAGACAGAGAAGTCACGGGTGGTCAGGTTGTGGGTGAGCCAGTCGACCTTGTGGGCGTCGCAGAAAATGACAACCTGGGTGATAGGAACGACCTCATAGAGATCGGTCAGAGTGTCAAGCTTCCATTCCTCCCTTTGAAGAGCAATGTAAAACTGCTTAATATCTTCCAGCGGAAGTTCCTCGTTTCTGACTAGGAGTATGGCGGGATTACGCATGAACTCAGTGGTAACCTCAAGTACATCCTGGGGTATGGTCGCAGAGTGTAGGACAAACTGAGTACACTTAGGAAGGAGATGCAAGATTGTGTGAACTTGATCCGTGAAACCCCTCTAAAATATTGTCAGGCATTTGTTCCTTATCCTATCTAATATACTGGGGGGGAGGGGTCTTTGGACCAAACTTACAGACAACATCTCATCAGCCTCATCAAGGATAAAAAGTTTTATCTCCTTAGTTTGGAAGGTCTGGCGCTGCATTAGGTCGTAGATACGACCTGGAGTACCAACAACAAGCTGAGGGCCCCGGCGAAGGGCTTCCATATCATCATGAATGGAAGTACCACCGATACAAGCACAGCACTCGATGTCCATGAATCCACTGATGCCGATAGCATCTCTACGAATCTGCAGGGCCATTTCACGAGTATGGGCAACAATCAGACACTGGCAGGCCTTGACACGGGGGTCGATCTTCTGTAGAGCGGAGATAGAGAAAGTAGTGGTTTTTCCAGCGTCAAACTGGGCCTGAGCAATGACGTCTCTGTCTGAAGTATGTTATTAATGCTGCCTTGAGAGCCCTGTGACCGTGGATTGAGGAGATACTTACCATTGATAATGGGCATGATGGCACGTTGCTGGATTGCGAAGGGGCGCTTGAAACCACAGGAACGGATACCTGGAGAACGAGACATATGATCGTCAGAACATCTGATCATCATAATTCCACAAGTGATGGAGAAATTTTGTCACATACCGCGAAGTAGGTCAGGCTTCAGGTTCATAGCTTCGAAAGAATCGGTGACCTCGTCGTAATTGGATTGTAGCTCGGCTATAAATTTGGAAACCCTTTTGTTCAGATCATATTCTGGTGTTTTGACATTGAGAGGCGTAAGAACCCCGCCCCCCCACCAAAAACGAAAACTACCGACGCACGGCGAAAACAGGGAGAATATTTAAATCAACATACAGTAATGGGCATCCTCCAATCCCTTGCCGTTGGAAGCCATGGTTGTGAGGGTTGTGTTTGATCACAGGCACGTCGGTGATAGATTGAAGATGGCGGGGGTTCAGTAAGTGTAACGTGTTTTTAATAGTATTTTTGAGGTATTTTAAATTGACCAGACTTGCACCTCTTTCTTTATGTACAATGCTCTAGATGACGTGGAGCAAACCACTTAAGCCCTAAGCCACGTGTGGTTTGTTGAGCAGATTTTGTCGGAACAGCAGACAGGTGGGTACCCGGAAGAGGGAGGGTGTGCTGTGCGAATGCATTGACATCAATATCAGCCGACACAAGAGCTAATATCGAGTTAGTCTGGGTAGACCGAACCTTTCATTGTCCATCGAGATTTAGGGTTCATGTAGTAGCGAATCGCAATCGTTCTGTGACTCAAACAAACCACAAGAACAAGCGGAGGTGTGGGATACTTCAGCCAGCCATGTTACAAAAGGTGGGGCGATAAATTATCAAACCCGACATTGATGGGTTCGAACTGCCAAGTGGAAAGATTCCCGAATCTGAAAGCGAATAACATTGCTGATTCAGCGTTTCGCAAGACGCCCCTCACCAAGAAGTTCTTCCGTCCCAAGATCGTCACTGCTGCATGACGACACACACCTGGGCACTAACCTCTCAGATACTATATAAACCGTAAATCACCTCCGAACAGGCACCCATCTCGATAAGTTCTCAGCATTTGAAGATAAATTATACTCTCTAAACGCTAGTACTACTATTACATCATGAGCCAGGTTCGACTTTCCTGAAGTCCAAGTTTTCATCATCCTGAACAATACTGACAGCTATCTAGGGGGTAATGATCAGATTTGAGGGCCCTGAAGATTGGGTGGGACAGAGAGAATCGGTCGACATGTGAGCGCAAAATGACAAAAAATATGTTTTTGTTTCCAAGGGCGCTGCTGACATACCTTGAAGGATTTTGGAAAAGTACACCGGAACGTCGCAGTATCCTTCTACGAAGACCTTTCCCCCGATGATAATGGGTGCAGAGTATGTATATTCTTTAAATTTCGAGACGATTATCTGACATGAACGATGCAGACTCAATAAAGATGCTATTGACGAGTTGAATGCATTGCATGGAGTCATCGTGCATGTTTTAGGTGATGAATAGTGCATATCATTCATCTAAGATACGCCGTTGATCGCATAGGCGGACAGAGATCATGCCGGCGCTCAGATATCTTCGCTACGTATATATCAACTGATTCTGTAGCAATTATAGAGGGTCTTTGTGTAACTCTTCGTGTTTGTGAGTAATCTATGGGATGGTAAGCCCCTATACAGCAACCGTGTAGTTATCTGGCGCATATATGCACATAATGGCAACAACCTTGGATCCTAGTACTAGTAGTAAGGTGTACTAGTAGGTAATACACACTGCTTGTATTGTATACTATAGAAACTTTGTTCCTCGTTTTCTATATTGACCCGCAGACCGATAGTAAATCTGGTTTGTCACATCCGGATTTATGAACGTAGACTACTGTTAATAGAAATTTATAGTTAAAGGTCCGAGATTTTATAGACGATAGTCTTAAAATTAGCGTTTTGATGACTATCAAGTTGTCATACAGACATTCTTGGATATTAACTTGATAACAAAGGCCCTTCCCGGTTAAAAGCTAGGTCTGACATTGCTCTTGAATGCATTTGGAGATAAGTTCTGCCTGAGGCCAAAAAGAGCCTCGGCCCCCAGCCAAGATTCAAGAAGCATCGCCCCTCCTCCTCTCGACACTCCCCCAATCCTTGCGACCACAGAGGAAAATAACCAGAAAACGAAAAGATCGATGAGAAATTGAACTCTCTATGGTTTCAAAACATCATGTTTAAAAATCTGAAAGAGAAACATGCGGGCTTGTTCGAGTCGAAAAAACCGGAGGACTCCAAGAGCAATGACGGACAGGATCTGACGTCAATTCTCGACCGGTCGCAACGTGCCGACCTCACCGTGTTGGTCGCTGAAATTGCTGAATCCATGCGCGTTGGCCTTCTAGAGGTCTTTGAGAATCCTCAAAAGATATCTCAAAATGATACTCCCCCAAGTCGAACCCCGGTTCGCGAGGAGAGTGATGAGTCCGCGCTATCACTACCTCCGAGGCCTCAGGGTACTTCACCTTCGGACAAGGCAGTGAAGCGAAAGCCAGCCCCAACCCCTGAAAAGGCGGCATTCCCACCCCGCGCTAGAGAAGCAGCACTGTCCCAATTCGAAGACTGGCGAGATGCTGTATTGCTACGGATTGGCGAAGTCGTCAATAAAGATGCCGAGAATGAAGAACAGCGACAGAGCAGCCCACTCCCGGAAGAGTCGGAAAGTCTTCAATTGAACGAAGATTCGAAAAGGAAAGAGAAATTACGCGAGATCTACCATCCCATGGAAACACCTTTGCTTCATCTTCCGAAGTCGACCAGATTACTTATTCTACACTCACTTCTCCTGTTGTTGCTCAGTCTAAAGCATTATAGCGCCCATTCCCGGGTTCTGCTACTTCATGTCTCATCCAGTCTCGACATTGACGTCGATATACTAAACGAAGATGAGGTTAAGGTTGCCCGGGGCCTTCTAGATACTGCATTGGCCCTTGCTTCGGAGCCCGATGCTAAACCACAGCCCAAGAAACCAGACGGTTCCCGGAAATGGAAGGTCGGAATCGCCTCGGTTGCAGGTGCTGCTCTGATAGGCATAACTGGTGGCCTTGCTGCGCCATTGGTAGCTGCTGGACTTGGAACGATCATGGGTGGACTGGGACTTGGCGCGACTGCGGCTGCTGGTTACCTGGGTGCCCTGGCTGGCAGCGGTGTTGTTGTCGGCGGTCTTTTTGGTGCCTATGGAGGACGCATGACTGGTCGCATGATGGACAACTATGCGCGTGAAGTTGACGACTTTGCTTTCATTCCGATTCGAGGATCGCGCAAGCGGACGGAGAAGGAAACCGAATCTGCGAAACAGGATCATCGACTTCGGGTCACTATTGGAGTCACTGGATGGCTTAAGGAAGAAGAAAATTTTGTAGTCCCTTGGCGAGTAATTGGGGCGAACTCTGAAGTGTTTGCGCTACGCTGGGAGACGCAACCCTTGCTGAAACTTGGAAATGCGATCTCTGCGCTTGTCACCAGTGCAGCATGGTCTGTTGCCGGGCGAGAGGTTTTGGCCCGCACTGTTTTCTCAACCATCATGAGTGCTGTGATGCTTCCTCTTGGTCTGTTGAAGGTTGCTGGCATTGTTGACAACCCATTTAGCGTTGCCAAATCCCGGGCCGATAAAGCGGGCGAAGTCCTAGCTGATGCCTTGATTGACAAAGTGCAAGGCGAGCGACCTGTCACTTTGATCGGATACTCTTTAGGATCACGTTTGATTTTCTCTTGTCTCCAAAGTTTGGCAAAAAGAGGCGCGTATGGCTTGGTTGAGAATGTCATTTTGATGGGTTCTCCAACTCCATCAAATGGTGAGCATTGGCGCCGCATTCGCAGCGTCGTGAGTGGGCGAGTTGTCAATGCTTTCTCGGAAAATGACAATGTACTGGCCTTCCTTTATCGAACGAGCAGTCTTCAGCTTGGAATTGCCGGGCTACAGCCTGTCGAAAACGTACCAGGCGTTGAGAACATTGACGTGAGCGATATGATCAGCGGCCATCTCCGATATCAATTCTTGCTTGGAAAGATCATTTCTTCAATTGGACTCCAAGATCTTGATATGCGCGAGATTAAACGTGAGGAGGCTGCTCTGGCAGTGGAGGATGAGAAACTGGATCAGGAAAGAATCCAAAATGAGCGCGAAGCGGGTGTGAAAGACCGCAATTCATCGACTGCCAACGAGACCCTCAATAGCCAGGACGGATTCGGAGAAGAGACGCGAATGAAAGACCAAGTCGAGAGCCAAACTGAAGAACATGTGACGAATCATCGAATTCAAATGATGGACCTGGACGATGCGGATTATTCTTCTCCGCTAGTTGATCAGACTGGAAAGCATTCTGCGCTGTAAGGAAGCACCGGTGTTTTGATATGTTCAATTATCGTGATGAGAATGCCTCTGAGCGTTGGAACACAATATAAACGAAAGCCAAAACAAGAAATACAATTAAATACTATCTGCCGCAATACTAAGCCCTTTGCCAGGCCCAAACCAGAGCCACCTTGAACAGAAATCTAAATATGGCATGAAAATTATAAAAAGAATTCGACAAACGCAACACAATCACACGGCCGCTCCGACCGGAGCATCGGCAGGGTCTTCTGCTGCTGCATGGGCGTCAATTTTCTTAAAATTGTTGAAGTGGCTGAGGCAGAAAGCGATTCCCGCCGCAGCGATCGAAATGGCGTAAGCGACCTTGAGACCTGTCATATACGCAGGCAAAATAGCAGTCATTTGCTCATCTGTCAAGACGTCTCGCAGCTCACACCAGTTGAGACCACTAAGGCTGAGTTGATGCTCAGCGCGGTTGAGGCAAGTTTGATGATAATCTGGTCGACGAAAGCAACTTATGCTGCAGCCACGAAAGCCGCAGCCTTTTTATAACTTGCTTATCATTTCGAAAATCATGTATTATAAATGTTGCCTAATTTGAGCATGTCCCCGGCGGAGTTTTTTCAGACGGTTGTCCGGACAGAGGAACGAAGAAGTAAGCAGACTGGCCCACCGCAGCATTTTCCGGCGGCCGATGCTACTTTTAAACTCCCAGTCAATTTTCGCATTATTTCCGAAGTCGAAATCATCATCCGCTTCGTATTTCACCCAAGATGTAAGATGTAATAGTCTAAATACAGAGGAACGTTCGTCCGCTGCATGTTGCATTTCAGCGGTCAAATGATATCCGCCGGGTCAGCTTCCTCGAGAATTCTCCGCCGGCGGTCCAATCTGATCTCGGACTTGCTTTGTTGACCTCCCATCATCTTTTACGGCCTTCACAGCCAAAACACCGAGATTGACGGGCGGATGGACTTAATTTATCCATGAAAATGGATATGGAATACGAGACAGTTGCCGAATCAGAGGCGAAGCGGAGGAGGATCCCGCAAAGAGACTAAGAGTTGCTGCGAGTGCAAAAAGCGCAAGATGCAATGTGTATATGCAGACTCCGGCTCTTCAAGCGATGCTCAAGCCTTCTGTTTATGCTGCCAGCAGCGAGGGTCTAAATGCATCAGCCAGGGGTTTGAGTTTGTTGGTGGAAGAGAGAATGCAGGAAACCTCGAGAGCAAAGACCAACACCACGCGAGGAGTAAGGATAAAATCGTGTTGGGAGGGTTGAGGCTTTGGTTGAGTAGTTAATCAAAAATTCAAGTTTACCATACAAAAACATATGGGGAGTGGATAGACGCCGAATCAGCCTGTCCTTAGTGGTAAGATACCACTTCTCAGATCGACACAACAGCCCACCAGCTCTAAAGTCTTCCAGTTCATCTTGCTCTTCGATCAATACTGGATAGTCCATCGGCCGATGATGCTGCTCGGCGGCTATAAGAAGAAATTGGAATAGCTGCGTTAGCTCAGATTCTCATTGCTGACAAAACCAACATCTTCGGACTGGATGCGACGGCAGCAACTATTGCAATTATTGGGATGAATAAGGAAAACTGCATTGTTCACGCAACTCACTTGCTATTGGAACACGATGGTCCCGTGGATGCTGGCTGGCTAGCAGACTCACCTTCACGACAACAGCGTATCCAGCAACTAACTCCACAATTTTCCTGATCCGCGGTTAGAGAAACGGATGCGACTGATATCATACATATTTTGGATGATCATGACGGCACGTATTCCCACTATGCGCCGGACAAAAATGTACTAGTTGATCTTCTTATACATGGAAACCCCCAAAAACCTTGCAGGTCCCGGTCCTTCCACAGTTTGGAAGATTTTGCTGCCAGCCCTCGAGATAATGAAAATGGGTGTTTTACTGTAGTCCGAATAGGGCGCTTTCTCCGTCCCCATTTGAAGAAAACCATTGTAAACCTTGGAAAATATATACCAACCTCTCAAACTTTGAAGTTAGTAGTACTAGTAGAACTTCGCCCAGATTAGCAAATTTGCTCAGGTGCTTTGACTCTAACAATACTAATTAACCTATATACGTAGAGAGAAGTTGGGATCACGTTGAAAGTTAATCCTTCTAACGAATGCATCACTCGTGAGATCGGGACTTACCCACTTTGCGGGCGGAGCGCAGTACGGCCCCAGTCTTGTACATATCAGACAAGGGATGTCGCCAATAGGAGGCCATCGGATGAATAGTGCTCCGTAAAATGTGCCGTGCTAGTCCAAAAAGAAGTAAAAGTATAACCTAAGCCCCACGCCACAACCACCAACCTCATATTTCCCGCGTTTCACGATGCCCCTCAGAGGATTATACTCCGTACTCCGAGTCCGTAGGGCGCTACGAGGAAGATACACATCCAGATCCCTTCCGTGTCCGAACATTGATCGGGTAAAAGGGCCCCCGTGGCGGATTATTTTTAGACTATCAAGGCTGACATGCCATCGCACTCTTCAAGATAAATAATACTTAATGTCCTGAGCTAATAAATCCAGACCAAAGACTACACCACTTCACTATTTCCTAGCTCCTTGAATTGATTACATCGGTCCAGCCTCAGACAGCAACATTAATCACACCCTTCATCGTTTACAATTCGATTTTAAGGATGTCCACCCCGCGCAGGACCGTGCTAGTCACCGGCGCTACCGGCAAACAGGGCGGCGCTCTCATTCAGAGCCTCCTTTCGGCCCCTGATACAGCCGGGCTTAACATCATCGCTGTAACGCGCGACGTCGCTAGTCCTCGTGCGCTGAAACTTGGCGCGAATTTCAACGTATCGGTCGTGGACGGCGACATGGCCCAACCCGAGGCCATCTTCCAAAAAGTTGGCCCTGTGTGGGGCGTGTACAGCGTGCAGATTAACTCAGACGCCGAGGAGCAGCAAGGGACGGGCTTGGTCGACGCGGCTGTTGCTCATGGGGTGCACCACTTCGTCTACTCGTCGGGTGACCGCGGTGGCCCCGAAAAATCGCCCGTCAATCCCACCGGAGTCAAAAACTTTGCAGCTAAGCACCGCGTTGAGAAGCACTTGGCGGAGAAGGCTGCAACCAGTCCGCAAAGTATGACATACACAATCCTGCGACCAGTGACGTTCTTTGAGAATCTTACCACCGATATCCATGGGAAGGGGTTCGCTCGCATGTGGGAGCAAATTGGGGACAAGAAGCTGCAATTTGTGTCTACCCGGGATATTGGTCGCGTTGCGGCCGACAGCTTCATGCATCCTGATGACTATCGCAATGCTGCCCTGACACTAGTGGGCGATGAGCTAACCCAACCCCAGGCTGATGCCATATTCAAGGCTGCTGTGGGATTCCCTATGCCCATGGCCCCGTGCCCCGTGGCTTCTACAGTCAAGTTCATTTTAAAGGGCACCGTGGGAGACATGTTTCGTTGGTTTGAACGTGAAGGGTATGGGGGTGATGTTGCTGCATGCCGCAAGCTTTACCCTGGGATAAAGGACTTCAAAGCCTGGATCGAGGACAATAAAGGGCTGTGGTTATCTACCTAGAGTATCAGCGGATTTGCTTACGAGGTGTATTTGTCTTGCTGTTATCCTGATATTCTATATACACAAACAATTAAAACATCCATAAATGTTAGAGTTTCCGGTTATGAGCCCTCTTTGTTAATTTATTACGATCGCTCTGTGTCTGATGCAACTAGGGTAATTCTCTCTCCTTGGCCCACCTTATCTAATTGCGCACTCACTGGCACCTCATCTTATTTAAGACACGCGACCCTAAAACGGCGCTTATATCTTTCCAGCTACTATATAGCCCCTTGTCAGGCTCTATCTAGCACATACGACCATAGGGTGTGGAGAACAGGGCTTCCCGTCCGCTCAGCCGTACTTAAGCCACACGCCGGCAGGTTAGTAGTATGGTGGGTGACCACATGCGAATCCCTGCTGTTGTATGTTTTTGTTCACCCCTTACTTTTTAGTAAACCTGCTGTGCTTTTTGTCACCACACATACCCCTGCTATATTGCCTTGCTCCGAACTATTGGTGACAGGCGGACTAGATACACTGTTGCCATTACTATTGTCTGCCTAGGATTGGCTACCTTTTGTCAAAAGACCCAGTAAAGCTTTTGTGAGTAACGGACGAATAGTCAGTAAATAGTGTGGTCGTTTTTCCTCACTTTCTTTCTGCTGCGTCCTCTCCACTCACTCCTCTGAATTAACAAGTCCTGCAATCGCCAGAATTGACCTGTTGCGTTGCATCTATACTCAACTAATAGATAGTATTTGAAGTACTTGATTGATTCCAGGCCATCGCCACTAAGCCCCTATCAAATAGTGAAAATATGATTAATTTTCTCCGAATGATATAAACTAAGCCTTCCAAGTTCAGTGTTAAGCTCGCCAGTCATCGTTTTGGTCACAAAAAATTGCTCCTACGAGTTCTGGCACGGCTTGAAGTACATATTGAGACACTATCTTGAGGTATGATACTCAAATATTTGATGATTCTTGGAAGAATATCTAGGTAGGACCTGGCGGTGCTTCAGCGTTCCAACTTTCAAGGTGCTTTGGATATGGGACTGACCGCCTTCCGTTGTTTGACCGCAACTCAAACCTCGTATCATTGAAAAATCTCATATTGTTCCAACGAGCTTCCGTTTAGACCGCCATGGAAATACTGTGCTTACTAACATAGGGGTTCCATCTACAGGACATTGTTGCCAATCGTGAAACTCGACTGCGTAAGGAGGAGCTACATATCGCTTGCTTCGCCATGAATAATGCAAAATTGATGAACATGATAAAAAGCGTCAACTAAAAGTGTCCTTAGCAATGCCTCGATATCTCTCTAAGCCAGAGGATAGAGGGATCTTGCAGTCTTTAATCAGTTCCAAAGCCTCGTTCTTCCGTCTTTCGTCAAGCATATTTGCGCTTTCCTCCAAGCGAGTCTTCACAACACTCGGTGCCGCCTGAACATATCGCTTCAGAGCTGCAATGGTTACCTTGAAACCAGGCGAATCGAAATCTTCAAATTTACACATATCTCGATGATTTGCGGCGATCGCACATCGATTGGTCCCATCTATCACTGGCGCGGCACTGTCACGTGCCACAACATAGTCCGTTGAGTATTTAAGGTTTGTCGGTAGCTGCTCCCAGAAGAAGTACACATGGTATCGAGTCATCACTGGTGCAAAGTCTTGTGTTATGTTTTGTAGAGTTTCGGAGTCTACTTCGAGCCCCGTGATTAGGCTTGTCTCAAAGCGAGAAATCCTCCGCGGGACGACAGCAGATGCAAATTTTATCAGCCTGTTCGCGGGTCGGGCAATTCCTGATCCATTGTGGGGCGTTCCGTAAAATAGAATGCCGAATGTGCATGTATAGATCAAGTGTAAACGAGCGCTTCTGGACGATACACGACCAGCAGCTAAGATTAATGCTCGCTTCACTATGATTCCGCCCAGAGAATGACATAAGAAAATTATCGGTCTTGTCGAAGCATCACCAGCCTAACAATATTGGAGTGTGGATGAGCAACTCAGCTTTGATTTAATCTCCGCATTAAGCCGAGATAGAACATCTGGGTGTTGAGCAAGGTGATAGCTATGATAGTGGGGCATCAATGAGACAGCAGTCACAAGCACCGGGAATTATATAAATACTTACAATGTCCACGTAAGAAGACAAGCAGTTGTGTCCCGACCAGCGAGTAAAACATTTAGTAACTGTGCTCTCAATGTCTTTCGATCTGTTGAGCTTTCTGCAATGGTATCGAAAAGACTGTACCGTTTTTCCTGCTCTAAAATTTCATCGGCTTTTTCATAGCGCGAGTCAATGAAGCCATCAATAAATCGATGCACCGAGTCACATGCATTTCGAAAGTTTTTACCTCCAATTATCCAGTATAAATCCAGTAGTCGAAAGCGCTGTACAACATAGTTTTGCGCAATGTCAAAGTCCTCAGCAAAACCGCTACCTTTTGAGCCCTGCTTCTCAGCAAGACTGTTGATCGATCTGCCAAAAAGATATTCCGTTGTAGTGTCTAGCGTGAGTCGGAAAAATAAAGACTGCAGATCCACACGGTCGTCCTTTTCTGAGATACGATCAAGAAGATTGTTTATATGGACTTGAAAGACCTCTAGGTCGTTATACTGTTGTTTCCCAAATTGTGGCTGAAGTATTTTTCTGGAGTGTCTCCAAGGTTCACCTTCCTGAGTGAAAATACCATCGCCGAGAAGTGGAAAAAATATTTGACGACGAAGACCGAATCCGAAGTCTAGTGTATTGTTAGCTTACCATCAAAAGATACACTGGCTCTTGGTCATTAAGTGAACGAGGATCGTACCCTTCTCTTGGGATGACATCATAGCCTCCAGATTTCTAGGCTCAATAGTGCCAAAAGCAATTGTGCCTAGAAATTTCTGCTCAAGAGTAGTGCCGACGTCCTTGAAATGGAACGTAAATAGGTCCATCAAGCGCTGGTCGGCGTCAGCCGTCCAGATTTGTATCAGGCGATCGACGCCCAGCGGCCACCTATTCTTGAGCCTGGGAGCTTTTTTGCAGCCATTCTGATGGCCGATGCTACGGTCCACCTAGAAATGGTCAATTGTATATTCCATGCCCACCAGCTATTGTTGGCAGATGGACCATGTAGACATTACCTTGTACGCGGTGAGCGCTTCTTGGGCACGGCACAAAACCCATGCAATTATGATAGACGCGCAAGCTATTGCTGTCAAGCTCAACATGTTCGCGCAATGCTTAGTGAAATTTGTTAAGAATCACAGGGGTCGCCAGAGAGATCTGAACCCCTTATCTAGAACGCGATTATTCCGATGCGAAGGTTGTAAAGTTAGCCACGGTGTTTAGTGAGACACGCCGCTGGTTAATAACCCCCTGGAATCGACTGGTTCGTGGGTGGATTAGACTAGAATTGGATAGTCGTATTTTTTCTACCAAAGTCAGGAGTGGAAAAGCCCCATTCAAGTTCAAAATCGCTTCTGAAATTTGTGACAGTGGCGGATTTGATGCATTAGCGCGCCAAGGTCTGTGAGGGAGACTGCAACCTAGCCTCGCAACCCCTCAGCTGCTCCATATCTTGTCAGGGATAATCTACCAATCGCTTAGCGCGGCGTAATCCTTCCGCAAATCTACACCCCCATTTCGAAACACGTATGTATTTGCAGATTGGTTTATGCATCTCATTAATATTGCAGGCTTCACCTCACCCCGCCCAAAATCGCGTCGTCGTCGACGGACAATGTAGACTGCAGAACATCCCTGATCGTGCAGACACGGTCTGCTCTAAATTCCCCGACACGAATTATTCTTTACTATTGATTATTTCGAGTTCCATTTGCCTCAGGAATATATCACTTGCCCTTTCCCTCGCGGTCTCGATCTCGTCTCGTAAATTGTTTTGAAGTTCTTCCCAATGCCGGTAAACACAGTTTTCTCCACCACCCCTGGCGGAAGCGCGGATATACCCGTAGAGTAAGCTTTTGATTTGTCGCACCATCAACTGTTGAGGTTCAACCTTGGAACTTGACCGTACCCAGCTAATCTGACTCATAGTATTGTTCTCGTGCACGGGCTGGATGAGAAAACCAGTTCAGCTTGGACGCATGAAGAATCCGGATGCTTCTGGCCCCTCGATCTGCTGTCTAAGGAAGACAACATCATAGCCCGGATTTTGTCGCTGGAGTATAAAGCAGACGTGCCATCATTCTTTGGTAGCAGCTCAGCTGACAGAATTCTTCATCATGCGCAAACACTTGTTGAAGAGCTCAATGCGGAACGGGAGCACGATGGTACCAACAGACGACCGATCCTCTTCATCTGCCATGGTCTTGGTGGGATCATTGTCAAGAAAGCCTTGATCTACTCCTCGATGAGCACATCGTCCAAAGTCTCTCATCTACATTCAGTTTTTACATCAACTTTCGGTCTTATTTTTTTTCGGCACTCCACATGAAGGCGTAAAGAAGGCAAATTGGTCCTTATTAACAAGGGGTTGGAAGGGACTTTTGAAAGATCGCAGCAATTTCATCACTGCGATGGAGAAGGACTCAGAAACAATGGAGAACATCACCGAGCAATTCGCGCCGTTGCTCAAGCAATTCCACATACATAATTTTTGGGAAACACTGGAGACGCATCGGGCTTTTACCCGAGGTTATATTGTCACCCCTTCTTCAGCGGCTCCCGCGTGGGACGATACGGGTCGCTCTGGTCTCCCTGGGACCCACTCTAGTATGTGCAAGTTTCGCGACCGAGGGGAGCCTGGATATAAGACTATCTATGGAGTTCTCGCCAGATTTCAGAAACTGGCGGGTCCCACCATATCGGCGCGTTCAAAGCAAGCCGATGATTTTCTGAACACGCAACGACAATTTGAGGCAAACGAAATCCTGGCTTTTAATGTTCACCAAGGAAATAAACCTTTTAGTCTCACGTTGGAAACGACAGCCAATATTGGAAATAAACATTTCTTGGTCCCACACGAGATCAGCAAGTTCTATATAGGAAGAGAAAAACTGGCACTCGACCTGCGAGAAAGGTTCCTTGCACCCTTGGATAAACAAAAGCGCTATGTTCTCTATGGGCTTGGTGGGTCTGGCAAATCACAATTTTGTTTGAAGTTCGCCTCGGATAATAAGCAAAGGTATGTAGAAGAGTCGAGGCGAGAATGGATTACATGCTATGGCTTTCAATGCCTGTTTCTAGGTGACATGAGCCGCGTTGTGATTGTCCCTACAATCAGGGCCTTCATTTTCCGAAGCGGCAGGGACATACGCAAAAATAAAGAATCTAGAAGCTAATGTTCGTGAAACCAGGTTTTGGGGGGTGTTTTGGGTGAATGCCAGCACCCAGGCATTGGCCGAGCAGGCATTCTGCGACTTCGCTCGCATTGAGAATCTTGAGGAAAAATTCGAAACAGGTCTGCATTGGTTATCAAAGCAGGAGCGACCGTGGCTTCTGATCATTGACAATGCTGATGACACTCAATTCGATTATGCTCGTTACTTTCCAGCTGGTGGTCAGGGACATATCATACTTTCCTCACGCAACATCCAGTGTCAAGTACATGCAACAATAGGATTCCAAGAGTTCATCAGCTTGGAAGAAAGTGATGCCATCACTCTCCTACTGCGCTCATCTCTCCTTCCTGGGGATAAAGAGGAATTAAGAAACACTGCCCTTGCTATAGTTAAGGCGTTAGGGTATCTTCCACTGGCACTCATTCAAGCTGGTTCATTCATTCAACAAAACCTTTGCTCGTTGGACGAATACTTGGATGTATTCAATTCCTCGAAGAAGATTATTTTCTCAAATCACCAAATACAGGGCAGAGGCTCCTACGAGCATAATATTTACACAACGTTTGAGGTTTCATTCAATGAAATCGCCAGGATGCGGACGCAGAGAGCAATGGACGCTGTTGAAATTCTTCAGTTAATTTCCTTCTTTCACAATAACGAAGTGCCCGAGGCTCTTTTTCGAAATGCATGGGGCAAAATATCGGTTCATAAACAAGGAATCCCCACAGCTGTCTACGAAAGAGTTGCGCGTGTTTTTGGAGATCTTGTCACAATCTCGACGTCCTATTGGGGCTGGCTTACTTTCTTGGCCGAAGGTCGCTTTCCACGAATCTTCTCACAAGCTGGCAAGCGGTGGGATAAAATTCGTTTTCGGGACGCAATTGCTCTTCTTCGGTCATACTCTTTGATATTCCAAAATACCACAGTAGAGAGTTACTCAATGCATCCAATGGTTCAATTTTGGGCCCGCGAACGCCTGAGACCTCAAGCACAAAAGTTGTGGGGCATTATGGCAGCGAGAGTTCTAGCAGAGAGCATTACCACAGCAACAAAGGAGTCGGATGTGATCTATCGGAGGCACCTAATACCCCATGTCGATTCTTGTTTAAGTATTGATGCTGTTGACTCTCGGCAGGGTATACAGTTTGAAGGCTCAAATTCTGGTCAATTTGCTAAATTTGCCGCTATATACGCCGAGGGCGGTCGTTGGGTTGACGCCTCGAGAATCCAAGAGCTGCTCCTCAAGCAAAGACGGGAGACATTGGGCGAAGACAGCAATGAAATCCTAGAGATCATGGCTGAACTCTCAGAGAGTTATTGGAATTCGAGCGATCTTCAAAAAGCCCTCAAGATACAAGAAATTCTTCTAAAGAGGTGTGAGCAGCGTCTGGGATCATGTGATCCGCGTACCCTGCAAGCGATGGATACTCTAGGGCGCACAAAATGGCTATGCGGTGCGATTTCCGAGGCTCGCGGCCTCGGAAAGCAAGCCTATGAGCTTTCGACCAAAGTTCTTGGCGCAGATCACCCTCTTACTTTGAGCGCCATGACTAATTATGGCCGTAGCTGCGCTCATCTCGGAGACTACAAAACTGCGCAAAGATTGCTTATGGCTGCTTGGGAGAGGCGAATAAAGCTGTTGGGTGGAAAACATTTAGACACCCTAGAGACGATGCAAGAGCTTGCAATGAGCTGCCTTTCGCTCAACGAAGTTGACGAAGCGGCAAACCTAATGTACTTCGTGTTGGATAACAGGAAGCGTCTTCTGGGCCCAGAACATGCATATACTCTCTGGTCGATGAATGATCTTTCAAAGATTTATTGTGCTCAAGGCTATCCAAGAGATGCCGTGGAAATTCTCATTCCAACCAAAGAAATCGCGTTGCGTACCTTGGGCATAGCTCATATCGGGACCTCGATGACATTCTTCAATCTCGCTCATTCCTACATATTGTTAGATGAGCTTGGCCAAGCTGAATCAATTCTGATGGAGCTAATACAGAGAGAGGAGTCATCAATTGGACCAAACCATGCCGATGTATTCTCCGCGAAGATTGAGTTAGCCCGTGTGCTGAGAAAAAAGGGGGCACTGAGAAAGGCTAAAAGAATTTCGCATCAGGCCTTTGAAGGTAGAAGCGCAGTATATGGATCTGAGAGCCCTCGAACCATTCAAGCCCAAATACTGTTTGAAAAGATATCTCGGGAGGTGGAAATGACATAAGTCACTAAAGTCTGATACCACGGGCAGGCAACTCTTTCTCCGGGTGTGATTTGTTGTCCACAATAATTGGGAATCTCTACTCGCTCTGGCGGAAGATCCTAGGTTACGCTTGCTGGTTGGTCTCATCCCTGCAAGGCCCATGTGATGAAAGAAGTTCAATCGTCAAGTAGCGCGGTCCTGGAGAGGCTTACACCTCTGATTGTAGAATGACTCAATTCATAGCCTCAATACAAGCAGATAAGCGCCGCAAATAAAAATAATATGCTTATATTCTCCAGAAAATATTCTCTGTGCTCTCAGTTAATTATAGTCCTACGCGCTAATAATTAGGTGCGACGAAACAAATTTCCCGAACGATACTGAGCCTTACATGTGCATTATTTTAGGCTAGTCTGCAATCGTACCGCTACAGATACTAAGGCTTACATGAGCTCGGGTCTAGCAATCTTGAAGGGCTGAAGCGACAACTGTTCAATTGTAAATATCCTACCATGCTGTTTACAAAAAGTTTGGAAAGGAGAAAGAGTGAAACAAGCAGATCAACAATTGAAGTGATGTGTAAGGCGGTGGCAGAACAAGTCAGGCGGGGAAAGGCTATATACCAGGGCTATATAGTAGTAAGAAGCGGGTCTGACCCGTTACATTTTTGAGCCTATTCTTATAAGCGGATATAAGACGAACCGCTTCAGATAGCTGCTGTGAAGGGCTACAGCCGAATTGATTCAATTGAGCGGTGCCAACACGCACTTTATCTAAAGCTCAGAGAAGTGTATGGATAGGGGGTGACTCGTGGTGAGTAAATATCATTGGCTTGGGCAACAGGTCGGGACCTGGCCCTTTACAGAAATCGAGATTCAAATATCAGTTTACTCAGGTTACATCACTCCTCCTTAAGTGTTCAACATATATTTCCGTAGCAAAGCCGACCAAGTCCCAAAAAGGATCCATAACAACAAATTTACCACTACCCACTTGCCCTTCTCGAAGAATCTAATACCAATACTAATTTAATTTAATATACCCCACCAGAGTTGAAACCATTTTGATATCAAAAATTTCCAAAGATAAATCAATCTGCCTTTAAGAACTAAGACATGTTGTAAAATTGCATAAATAGATAGCTACATAAAGATCACGAGGCTACTAAAATAGGGAGGATCTTCGAAAGTTATGCACTTGCGGGTTTGGTTGCGGTTCTCACGTAGCTAACCGCATCCAAAATCATGCCGCAGTCTACCACTTAGTACTAGGTAATCCGTCATCAAAATACTGGTTCTAATATCTTGGTAGTGAAGACTAGAAGAAGAAAGCCAATGGTAAGGGAGGAAATAGTTTTTACTAGCAACTAGCCCTGGCCTGTTACAGATCAATAGTAGCAGCCGGGTAAAGATAGGCCAGCAAACAAGAGCAAAAAATGTTCCTTTGATCGCTAATCTACGCTCTAGTACTTCATTAAACTTTCCCTGTGGAATTTAACAAATACAACTTTGCATGTATTTTGCGGCCCTGCAGGTAAAGGGGCCACGGGGCGCAGGCTAAGGCGGCGAGCCGCCTCAGGACAAACTCGTGGGCGCTAGGTGGCCATCGGCATACAATATCTGTTGTATTTTTTTGTCCTGGTTTTTTTTCCTTTCATTTTATTTTTTTCCGTAATTACGACCGCAAAGAAACCAAATGCGAAGCTCATGGAAATGTCCTTGACAAAACGGCAGATCGTCATGCGGGAGCGATATACGAGTAGGGTCTGGGCGCTCGACTATCCGTCATATGCCCGTCAAACTCAAGAAAAATTAACCGCCTAGCTTCTCGCAATTGTCGTTGATTTGATGTGGATGAATACTAATTTGAGGGGTAAAACCTGGTAAGATAAAGGTAGCAAACATAGTTGCAGATGAAACCCTTCAGCCCATAGAAGTCCCTCGGCAAAAATATCTCTTCTAAACCAAGCCATCTGCATGCATAACTAGTCTGTCTCTGCTTTAGTTGCATCGTGTCAAACTGCCTTCGAGTCATTTTCCTTGCCAATAGGTACTAGTAACTAGTCGCTTTCAACTAACACTCATCTGCTTATCGGTTAGAACTTCCCCAGAGCAAAATGGCTCGTCACTAGTCACTAGTCACTTTCGCTTGCATAGCCTCGGCGGAGCAATGCTGTTAATCCTACGGAGTATCGTGTTTTTCTTCCAAAAAGGTTCTTTACTTTTCTGAGGGCAAAAACGTCAGCACAGTATAAAATCAGAAAACCTGGTAGGTTCGTCTTTCATTTTTCTCTTTTTTTGTCTGACATTTGAGACCCTATTTAAATTACAAGTTCCGAAACCATCCACCAACATGAAAGCCGTTGTTTACACTGGTGAAAGTAAGATCTCAGTCGAAGATCGTCCAAAGCCAGTGATTCTAGATCCCACCGACGCCATTATCAGGGTTCTTCATACCACTATATGTGGAACAGATTTGCATATCTTACAAGGCCATGTCTCAACATGTACTCCAGGCCGCATTCTGGGCCATGAAGGAGTTGGAATTATTGACTCTCTTGGTACCGATGTCACGAACTTCACTGTCGGCCAAATAGTAGTCATTTCTTGCATCACAAGCTGCGGTGCCTGCTATTATTGTCGGAGGAAGATGCCATCTCAATGTGAAACAGGTGGTTGGATCCTCGGAAATAAGATTGACGGGACCCAGGCCGAGTATGTACGCATCCCTCATTCCCCATTATCTCTTCATGTGCTGCCAGAGAGCATCGACCAGAAAGTTGCGGTGACTCTTTCTGATACCGTTCCAACTTCATACGAATGTGGGATCCTGAACGGCGACATCCAGCCCGGGTCTACTGTGGCTATTATAGGGACGGGTCCTATCGGTTTGACCATTCTCCAGATGGCGAGGAAGCTGTTCAGTCCTTCAATGACGGCCGTCGTTGGAAGGGGTCATCCTAGACTCGAGACCGCCACATCCATGGGTGCCGATCATACATTCAGTGTCCTTGATGGTCAAGATGCTGCGATTTCATCTGCTCTATCGGTTACTCAGGAACGGGGATTTGATGTAGTGATTGAGGCAGTGGGAACGCCGCAGTCTTTTGAGATTGCGCAGGCGCTGGTAGGTGCTGGTGGAACCATAGCCAGCCTGGGTGTCTTCGGCGAGTCATGCGAGTTGCACCTAGAGAAACTCTGGAATCGTAATATTTGTACATCCCCCATATCCCCATATCCCCACTTCGGGACTAGCAATTGCTAATGATTTCTCAACAGGTTTGAGGACCAGACTCATCGATGCCGTTAGCACTCCAGATATACTAAACATGGTAAAGACTGGTAGCATCGACCCTCATTTCTTGATCTCACACAGTAGGCATCATGAAATCTGTCACCCTCGCTCATACTGACTTCTGTGCAGATTTCTCATTCGATGACATTCATAATGCTTATGAAGCATTTGGGGAACCATCCAAGCATGGCGCCCTGAAGGTGGCAGTGACGATGCCTGAGATTGTGATGAACGGCTCTTCATAGTTACACGACGAAGTCTCCGCTACAAAATTATTGTCCGTTACCGAACAATATAGAAGAATACATATCATCAATTTTTTTGGGGCGTGGGTGTCACAGCCCCCAGCCTCAGGCATTCAGGCCGCTGTGCCATGCTTCCGTGTTCTAGATAGCTTCGCTACCTATGATTCTATCTTTCATATCACCACTACTTTCATCCTTGGCATTCATTTATCATCTCCCAGCCGGTATCGTGGCAGATTCCATGCTGTTATTAAAAAGATAGGATACGTCGACTTCTAGATTACGTCCTCTATCCGAAATTCCATTCCTTGCCCTGGTAAAATAGGTATCTTAACTGGAGAGTTCTCCCAAGGCTTGCCGAACAAATTGGTTTTATCCCCCTCCATCCACGCATATGTACCTAGGCCCTCGATCACATTCAAGCGATACGGCTGTCCTGTTTTCAACAAGTGCATTCCGAACCTCCAAAATCTGTATTTATCTTCGCTCATTGCGCCGGTATCCTCTGGTGTGAATTTCTCATGCCCAAGCGGTCTAAAGCTCTGAGACATCACGTACGGGATGTCAGGGTGCAGTGTGAGCAAGCGATCCATATCTTCTTGGTTCGTTGTACCCGGGGACCCTTTGCGATAAGTGTCGACCGTGGGTAATTGGGGTATGATCCCGGTATCAGCTTCGGAGATTGTAAGACAGTTGACAATAGGGACCAGCCCAGCATCCAGTCGAACGAGCGTCACCGGGGTGGCGCTGTCGATTAGGTTAAAAGTCAAAGTGAGTTGAGGATCTTTAGGATCCGAGTAGGAGAGGATAGGAGGAACATGGATGTCGAGTCTGACGTGGCGATCCATTTTGAGGCTATCAAAAGTTTGGCTGTGGTTGGGTAAGGGGCCTCGATAGGTGAGGAAGAAGGGGAGATGTCGATGTCCTGTGGGCAAGGGCCTGGCATTAGCGCCAATGAAGGCCTGAGAGGCAAAGCAGATCGGCCAACATGTCCACGGAATAAATTTTCTAAAATTGGGCTGAGAGTATTTTGGGAATCAAGGCTGAATCAAATAGATTTATCGGTCGGAAACCTGTGAAACCGCCGTGGTCAACTAAATTCGCCTAGATATGGTTCCCTTTGGGGCCGTAAAAACGCCAAAATGATTGCAAGTATGTTGCCAAGCTAGGCCCCCAACTTTGGAGTGTTCCAAGGTTGATACTTGATTCTCCCGCAGCCTCTCTTCTCCTCGTTTTAGTACAATGTGGTATCTTGCCAACTTAACATCGTCCATTTTATCTTAAGATGGATCTACTGGACTACAGCGACAGGGACGCGCTCCGGTCCTCCACACTGGGGAAAGTGTTGAATCTGTACGTCGAGTTTCTCTCAAGTCGCTCCGGAATACTGACCTAGGTAGCCTTCTCGTCCTGTTGATTCTCATCTCCTATATCCCTCAACATTTGCGCATCAAGGGTCGTTCACGAACTTATGGGATATCACCCATCTTTATTTTACTACGCTCAATCTATGCCACAAGCTGCCTCGCCAACATCTTGGTACTACCATCGGCATGGAAGATACAGCAAGGGTGTCGCGATAAAAACCCCACAGATCAATGTATCATTGAAATGAGGGATGTTTGGCAATTTTCAGCTGACTGGGTCGGCTCTCATGTCATGTAAAACTCTCTCTGCTGGTTCCATAACATTTACTAAGAGGATTTTGGCAGATTCGTACTCTACTTGTACTACTCCTCAAGAAGCTCCGAGTCTCTGTATTCGCCACAGCAACAGGGGAAGCACAGGCACAAGGGCAGGCACAGGGTGAGAATGGGAAACAGGATCAACAACAAGACCAGGACCGAGTACAGGAACAGCAACCAAGCTGGTGGCGTAAATTTTCCACTCCTTTCAGGCTCGCGACCATCGTCATCGTCGGGATTGTCCTCGAAGTTTTTCTGCTCATCCCCGTTGGTTGGAGGTATGTTCACGTGGAATCGCTTGCCGAATTCTTCAAACTCCAGCATTATCAGAGAGCGTGTAGACGACGAACACTTTACGCATTGTAGTATTAACATGACTCCTTGTGCACCAATTATAACATAAGCAACAGATGAAAAGATGTTGTCCTGGGTTCTGAGCTATGAGATGCTCAAAGTGCTTCCTCTCCGCTTGTGGTCGACATGGTTTTTATCTATGGTTGGAGAAATAAAATAGAAAGTGAAGCGTTATATATAGAGGCCCTAGTCAGAGGACTGCGCTATTCTAGCAAATAGCAAGCATATCAACGAAAAAGAAGGAATTGTGGGTTGCTTTCAGAAAAACGAATTCGTGTATTTTATTGCTGCAAGGTTTTCACGCAGCTAAAATAAACACATTCTGACACCCGGCAGTTGGTGAAAACTGACAAAAAGAGAGGTCGTGCCCGGAATCGAACCGGGATCGGCGGAATCAGAATCCGCAGTGATAACCAATTACACTACACAACCGTTTTAGATGAATTCTGCTTGGGAAAAAGAATCATATCCACAAATCAAAGAAAGGAAAGAAAAATGCTAGCGTCGGTCGGGACAAACCCTCAAGTTGCTGATATTGCTTAGAATTAATGTGCCCTCTTATGCACCGAGAGCGGTACTGATATTCCGAACTCGGCAACTGGATTAAATTTGAGGATAGAAAATCAACGTTTTGACCTAGCATAACTTTAATTACATGGCCATTAGTATACCGTCATATTAACGAGAGCCATTTCAAGTTACTACTACTACATGACTAAATTTATTGGGTTAGGTGATGTCTAAAATATATAGATGACGATGCAAACCAACATACCCTAGTACTACTAGTAGTAGATTAGAAATCTGCAAACAATTTCAAGTGCCCAGGTGGACATTGGAAGTCGTCCACGGGTGTTGTATCAAATATGAAAATAATCAATTAAATTATAGCAGTTTAAGGTACACTCAAAGTCACACCTCAGGCCCCGAATCTACATCCGGTAACCTGGCATGTTCATTCCGGCCTCCCTCGATGGGCCTGTCCTAGCATTGTGGATCATATCAAATGCCGATTTGATATCTCGGAAGAAATCTACCGGGTTGAACAATGCAAGCCATGCGAAAACCCCCAACGGGCCTCCCTGGTACCGTTTGATGTAGTGGCCACCGGTCTCGCTGTCGACAACGGCAAGATATTGTTGAGAATCACTGCTATGCTTGACACGGGCATTTGACGTCTTGTATGGCTTGACAGAGTACGCGTAGTAAAATAAAAATGCGAATGGAACCATTTGAAGACAGATAAGCAAGGTGGGCAAGCCTATGATTGTGTCTGCGTAGCTTAGCGTATCGGACGGCTTGAGGGCGTCGGTGGAGTGCAGAATCGTAAATATAATCTTTTGAATTGTCAGATTTTGTCACAATTTAGTCCTCCGGCTCGTTGGGCTGAATTATCTAACCTGTTCCAAGAACTCAAGACCAACAACAAGCTTAAAAGCGAGGAGCTTAAGCAGTGGTTGATGCTCTTTCATATAACCCTTGAGGTTGGTGTAAAATCCGAGAATGGCGACGATCGCTACGCCGAGCGATAAGATTCCAATAATGTTTATCTGTTTGCCACGTTAGTCATAGATAATCTCTCAAATTTGAAAGGCACACAGTTCACTTACCCAGAAATGAGCAAAATGTTTATCTTTACTTTCGAGACAGTAGGTCCCTTGTGCCTCCGTAATGCATTGCGCTATAGCGAGAATAAATGCGACAAATGGATACTGCAGAACCACAAACCAACTTCGCTGAAAGTATAGTGGGTTAGTTGAGTCGTTGGCTATAACTTAAATTTTGGGTTACTAACCTTCAACCACGACAGTCCGTCTGTTGTATTGCTTTTATCGAATCTGCTGGGAATTCTGAGAGATGCAAAGAACTCGACTCGGTGTCGGTCGTTGGGCGCAAGAAAGTCGCATAGCAGCATAAAAAAGGAATACATTGCAATTCCTTGGAAGAACTTGACCCATCCGTTTAGATAGACATATGTGTCTGGGAAACAGATCGAAAGCAATGAGAAGATCGAGTAAATCGGGAACATAGAGGCGATTCTCATAATTCTTCATGTCGTGCCAGTTAGCAGGTATCCCCTAGAGCCAGTAATTTCATTGTCATAGAATAGGAGAGCCGAACTTACTTAGTCTGTTTATTCGGATCGCTCAAGTGAATTGCATGGTTAAACATAGACGTGAATATCACCAAACAAGTGAGGCCCGTGCAAGCGCCAGAGAGGATCATATTAAATTGGTGAAAAGTAAGGTCACCGACAATGTTATCAGGTGCATCTGTTCGAAAGCAAAATTAGTTTGGGGTTCCAATTCGAGTCCATCCATTGAGATCGAATCGCGCACCAGCAACAAGATGTTTCGGCATCGGGCAAGTTGTATTGCTGTGGTCATCATGGCTAAAAATCCCCATTCTGAGTCTGAATAGTAGTCGAGAAATTCGGCCGCCGTTGAGATTATAAAGTACTGGTTCTTCGGGAAAATGGTCAATTTTGACCTGGAATGATGGTGGTCGGAAGTGAATCCTGTTGTATAATTATTTTGAAGACAGCACAGAGGCAGACATTGACCTTTATAGTCGCGAACGAGTGCAGACTGATTTTGCGCAGCCCCGTTGAGTCCGGATGCTACTGATTACTCTGAGACATGATCAACTTCCAAATTCTCCACAAAAGAAGGTAAATCGTGCTTATCCAAGTCTTCAGCTTGGCGCCATCAGCCCTAAACAAGCCTTGCAACCTGCATTCCAAATGGGGAAGCAGATGCGGTCGACAATCCCAAGATTTCTCAAGCTTATTGGTTGACACTCGCCCACTTACCAGGTGGGGGCCATTCGTGAGACGCTAGGCGATTTGAAGCAGCTTTTGCGGTAAGCCTATCAGCGAAGGGCAATTGGGGCTGTGAACCCGCCCAGTTTGAACAACAGCCTCGAGGCAACAGTAAATAGGGCCCCAAAACCCTCCTTTCCCACCTCCCCCAACAATCAAAGTTCACGGGCCTCGCATCTAACTCCACATATCTGCTAGTTAATATATCAGAGACGTAATGCCGAACAATCGCGGGCCGAGTAAAGGATGCCGACGATGCAGGGAATTAAAAGTCAAGGTATTCCCCCAGATCCTACCGGCACTTCAGAAAACAATTTCGTCTAACAAAACGGCACAGTGCGACGAGGGCAAGCCAAAATGTCAAAGATGCCACAAAGGCTCTCGCGATTGCGTCTATCAAGCTGATTTTGACCGGCTTCACCGTGACCAAAATTCAAAGGCGCAGTCCATTGCGACAAAGAAATGGCGACAGCGCGCCGAATTTAGAACAGAAGTACCAAACCAGGAATATCCAAATGATTCACTGGCTCAACTGGCGTATAATCGCTTCTGCTATGATTTTATGAGATTCCCCGGGGTGATAGACAAACTCCCCAAGATCCTTGAAACTGCAGCCGAGGACTCGTGCATTTTCACAGTCGTTAAAGCCCTTGCCCATGCTAACTACCACGGTCGCTACGGGTGTCAAGAAGCAAACGAAGCAAGCAGGTTGCTCTACGGTGAGGCATTGCAACAGCTTGCCATGCTAATGTCAGACCCCGATGAGATGCAACGGGACGAGGCTTTGATGGTGATATTTCTCTTCAGCTTATATGAGGTAGGTAAATATACCTTCTACTAGCCGGATAATATAATTCATATAAGCTAACCGCTTCCAGATGTTCACGTCTTCTAAACGCGACGGCTCGTGGATAACGCACATGCAAGGCACCCAATCTGTTATTGCCCATAGGGATAATACCAGTCTAAAGGACGCCTCCAGCTATCTTTCAATATTATGCTCTCATCTGGTATGTTATATATGACATCTATAGCAATGGAACCCCCCCCCCCTCCTCTCCAGGGTGCTAATTTTATTTAGGTCGTTTACTACTTGACAGAACGAAAATGTCCACCACCGCATCTCGATCGTTGGATCCAACAAATACCGTTTGAATATGATCCCAAAAAACGTCTGATTATTTTGATGTCCGATTCCGCGAGAGTTTGCTCTATGCTCGGGGCATGTGGTGGCTTTGAAAGCTCTACCAATCAAACGAACCTAGATATTCTCAACGAAACCCTCGAACTCGACCTAAGGCTAGAGGGATGGACCGCATATCTGCCTCCAGAATGGTCCGATGTGACTCTCAACCTCGTCTCACATATCAAGCGTCCAAATTGGTCGAAAGAACTACTTTCAGGCCCCGGCGCCCCCGAGCAAATGTATTCATACCCGAACCGCATAGCAGCTAGCAAATGGATCCTGTGCCGAGCAACTCGCATTCGCTTGAACATCACCCTTCTCGAATTTTTACACCAACGACCATATTTAATAAAGTCAAAATACTCCGGATTGGAAGCCCGCACGATTGATCTGCTTATATCTTTGACCACTGAGATTTCCTATTCAATACCATACTTCCTGGCTCTCTCCTTTGATGGTTCTTCCGATTTTGCTTCAGCGACTGATATTCCCACTCTTTGGGGCTACATGACTCTTTGGCCCGCATACACCAGCTCCCTATGCCTACATCATAAATTGGTCAAGAAAATGGACTCTCTGTCAAGGGGGACCTGGTTTCGAAGGATGATCGGCTTCTTACGCGAATCTATAGGTATAGCGAAGGCTCAGATTTTACTTAACGAGACTCTGACCCAAGAGATGGATTTATACCCTTTTGTTGAGCGGGTTTAGAGAGCAATGTCTATATATTTTTTACACCCATACTTGTCAAATGAAAACAATTCATCAATGGTAGAGTCTTGGCGGGCCAACCCCCTAAGCACTTCGTGGCCAGTGCGTTCCTCACCCGCCCCACTTAACTTTGGAACGACCAACAACCAGGGTGAAGATGAAGGTGAAATCATCGCTTCAGGACGCCTGACTATCGGCAATAAGCACCCAGCACAGCCTGCATCACGGTTGATTCTTACTCACCTTCTCACTCGTCACTTGAAGCCGCCAGACATTCGGTGTGCAGCACCCGATTAGGAAAGTCGTGCGTGGCACCAAACAAGCCTCGACAAAGAATTCCCTATCCAGCTTTCTACAGACAGCCAAAAGAAGCCCCTACCCAATATGAGTACGGGACCCACAGAGCCGCCCATTATGGCCGAAGCTCATCCCGAAAACATGAAAGCTTGGCTGTACACTGGCACAAGCGGTGGTCTGGAGAAGAATCTCGAGCTCAAATACTCCATCCGCGCACCACCTGTCCCCCGCACCAATGAGGTGATCGTCAAAGTTCTTTCCGCCGGCTTGAACCCAGCGGACTTCAAAGTCCCCGAAATGGGCATCGCTGCCACCCATCTAGTGATTGGGATGCCCGCTACTCCCGGCATGGACTTCTGCGGTCGCGTCGTGAGCACCGGGCCGAGCGCCGCGCATTTCAAACCGGGTCAACTCGTCTATGGGTCGCATAGTCGTCCAATGAAATTTGGCTCTCTGGGCGAGTATCTTTCTATCCCGGCTTTATTTGTTTCGCCTCTCCCAGAGGGCGTGGAAATAGACCAGGCTGCTGGTATTGGCATCGCTGGCCAGTCGGCGTACCAGTCACTTCTTGGATACGTGAAGGAAGGCGATAAAGTCTTCATCAATGGTGGCTCGGGGGGCTGCGGGTTGTTTGCAATTCAGATTGCTAAGAACATGGGCTGTCATGTTACTGTGACCTGCTCGACGCGGAATGTCGAGCTCTGTTACCGAATGGGCGCTGACAAAGTGGTCGACTACGCTGCTGAGGAAGACCTCGTGGCCGGAATCAAGCGGCAGGGTGTGATTTACGACCATATAATTGATCATATCGGTCTTCCTTCTCCGTTATACTTCCAGTGTCATCATTTCCTGAAACCTGATGGTGTGTTTGTGCAGGTCGGCGCATCGTCTATGCTTACTTTTGCTGGCCGTCTGGCTTGGCCTTCGATCCTGGGTGGTGGGAAGAGGAAATATGTGATCTTCTTCTTTACGAATACAGGGCAGCACCTCACTAAACTCGGCGAGATGATGGAGGAAGGTAATCTACAGACACAGGTGGATAGTGTTTATGAATTCGAGGACACGGTTCAGGCTTTCGAGAAACTCCGCTCGGGGCGAGCGAGGGGGAAGATTATTGTTCATGTGGCGAAACCGCAGGCCCATTGGCATCAGGAGATGGGTTTATTTTGATGTTCACATGTAGTATATCCCGATGTCATGATACTCGCAAATTGAAATAGCTAATATGCAGCGAATATTCAAAACTCATTTTCGCTTTAAGAATGACAGTGCGCCCAATGCTAACGCATCAACACCAGTTTTTAGAGTAGGCTCTACAGCTGGAGCGAAGAAGGGCGAGTGGTTATTTGGCAGCTCGTTGACTGTGCCTTTGGCCACGGCATCGTCCCATGTTTTCTCGTCAACCCCCCCCAAAGATCCACATGGCATAGGGTGCTCCAGCAGCGGTTGCCAAAAGTGAGAAGTCTTCGCTGGCAGCAGAACGGTCCACTTCAACGAGGCGCTCCTGGAAGAACGACTTGAATGTAGAGCGAAGAGCGCTAACCGTCTTCTCATCGTTGATTGTAGAGGGGCCAGAGAATGTCCGAGTGATCCTAGGTTTCTCAACAGCGCCCCCAGCCTCGCACTCTGCCTCAACAATCCGATGGATAGCCTTGCAGACCTTTTCACGTATTTCGGGCTTGAAGGTCCGCACGCTCAGCTGCAAATCTAGATAATCCGGAATGATATTCGACGAATGACCCGAATTGATGCTACCACACGACACCACAGCTAGTTCCCCAGGAACAACCTCACGAGATACAATAGTCTGTAAGCGCATCACAATCGAGGCACCAATAATAATCGGGTCGATAGTTGTCTGCGGCGAAGACCCGTGGCCGCCGCGGCCGAAAACACGCACATCGAAGGCATCTGCAGCTGTAAGGAAAGCGCCTTCGCGAATACTGACCGTACCAGCTCGCATCCGCATAACATGCTGAGCAAGTACGAGATCTGGCTTTGGTATCTTGTCGTATAGTCCGTCGTCCAGCATTGCCTGTGCACCGGTTAAATGTTCTTCTGCCGGCTGGAAGATACATATCAACGTTCCGCTCCAATGATCGCGCGCAGAATGTAACAGCGATGAGGCTGCCATGAGAGTTGTAACATGTGAATCGTGTCCGCAGGCATGCATAACTGGTGTACTGACACCATCTGGGCCCTTGACGACTCGAGTACTTGCATAGGGTAAACCGGTTTTTTCCTCTACAGGCAGACCATCCATGTCGGCTCGAAGTAATAATTTTGGACCATCTCCGTTCCTGAGAACACCCGCTACTCCGTGACCCCCGATCCCTGTGTGCACATCATAGCCTAGAGACTTCAAGTGCTCGGCTGCTAGTTTGGCTGTCTGCTCTTCTTGTCCTGATAACTCGGGTTGGCTGTGTAGATCCCGGTATATGTCCTCGAACGGCTTGAGGTCCGGTCGATATCTGTCCAGAAAATCCTGTATACTGGACTTGCTATCGCTGGAGAATTCTTCGGTGGGGTATTAGCCGGAATACGTCAATGGTGGCAAGGGGATATCCTCCTTACTCTTTTCCTGCATAGCGGAGTAGATATGTACGCCAACGGGGCTATTTTTAGATCGGGAAACCCCAAAGACGTTCTTTGGTCGTACAGATGATATATAGAATTAAATAGAATGTGGGATTTGCAAACTTTTATTCGTGGAAGCCCCGGGCGAGCCGAGAATGGTCGTACATGGACAGACGTGCTATGCCCAGGGTTTAATTCATAAGCATTTTGCATAGTCTGAGCCCGCACCGTGTCTTTGAATTTCCGGCCCCTAATACCTAAACACTAATGCACAATCCAAAGGATTTCACGGATCCTCGTATTATGCTATGATTAATTTCCCAAAGCACACAACGGCCCCAAGGCGATCTTGGTACAGAACTCTAATGCATAGTTACAGTCACATTTCCCCAGTATGCAAGGCATAACGTCAAATGCAGCCGGTAAGACCCATATTTTGCGACCCTAATCACCAAGTACTACCGATAAGATGATTAACGAATTATGCCCAGGTGTTTGAAACGTTTCCGGCTCAACGCAACCTGGGGAAAAAACTAACTTCATGCACAATGAGTATCCAAGTTGGTTAACTAAAGCAGAACATAACTTTCTTAACCCAGCTGTCAAGGTAAAGTGATGAAATAGTATTACCCGTGATGATGAGGATCAGAGGAGTCTAGGTATGGTACATATAGTATGTTTGGATCAATACGTAATAAAATAGCGTCTAGGCGCTTTGCTGACCACATATGGGGCCTAGTAGGTAAGACTCTAGGAGGAAGAACTGGGTCAATGGCTTAGTATTTGCTTTTTAGCCTCATATTGGCAGAAATTTCGACGATTTTTCATCACAGGTTGTGTAGTGTAATTGGTTATCACTGCGGATTCTGATTCCGCCGATCCCGGTTCGATTCCGGGCACGACCTCTTTTTGTCTCTTTCAATCCTGATTCTTATACATGGAACTTGAATCAGCTAGCTTATTGCTTTCAAGGCTTTGATTTTTTGTCATAGTGGAGGAATTTATTAGTAAGTTGTAGGCTGTCATGATTTTTATAAGTAGCTCGAGGTGAGCTTCCGATCATGATGGCAGTAAATTCACCCATCTTCCAACAACTGGTTGTGTAGTGTAATTGGTTATCACTGCGGATTCTGATTCCGCCGATCCCGGTTCGATTCCGGGCACGACCTTTCTTTTTTGTCTTTCTTTTGACCTGATGCTGACGAGGACGAAGACGAAGACCTGGAGTTGACGATGTTTTTGTGCAATTAACATAAAAGTTTGACTTCGCATGAGCGGAAACATTGATGCAACCCGTGGAAGAACATTAGAAAACCTAAATTCAAGTTAAGACCAACCAACCCTGGAACACCTAGCTTCTAGTTATTAGTACTGGGACTGCTGATGTGCACCTGCATTTCTAAGTATTGTATTGGAATAAATAAACTATGTTCTACCTCGGGAAACCCCCCCAAACAAATACAAGATAGAAAAGAAAGAAACGAGAGCATGCCGTGGCCAGAAGGCGAGGCGGGGGAATAAGTATGTACAGTCGGCAGAAGTGTAGTTAATCCATGGAAAACCAGCCATGGAGCTCGACAAAGAGCCATCGCCGCGGGAACTCGAACCATAGGGTATGTGGGAAAGAGAGACGCTGAACAGCCTGTATCACCAAACATAAAAAGTAAAACCAAAAATAATAGTAATGAGAATCCCAGAAAAGAAAATGTGTGACACGCGGGTTGCATGTCAGGACGGGAGGGAGAAGTGGAAGTAGTGGAAAGATAAAAAAGATCGGATCAGATCGATCACATCACTCCTCATGCACTGCCACTACCACCACCACCAAGCCGGCTCCAGACCCAGCCGGTAATTCCACCACGATGATGCCCTTCGCTCCGACTGGAGCGTCTGGGCCGCGATGGTTCATTCGCGTCCTGCGTCGGTGAGTTGTTGCTGGACCGCGAAAACGAAGAACGGGCACTGGTACGAGAACTGCGCGAAAATGGCGAGCTGCGCCGTCGACGCTGGCCGGGTGCGGGTTGTTGCTGTTGTGGCTGTCCGGGGCTATCCTGGATATTGATCGGGTTTTCGCTGGTGCCTTCACGGGGGCTTTCGTGAAACATGTCAGCTGAGTCCGGGGTCTTGATCTCTTCTCGAGTCCGTGGTTAAAGGGTGATTGTCATGCTACTTACCTCGCAGCAGGATCGATACTCCGACGACAATTCGGGCAAGTATTGTGTCTGCTCAGCCACGCTTCGATACAGTCGAAGTGGAACCAATGCTCGCAAGGCAACATCGTGACTTCGGTATCTAGTTCGACACCATCCTTGCAGATAGCACACTCGCCTTTACCGTCCGTTCCTAACATCTCCTTATTGACTTTCCTCTTAGGAAGTGACTGGATAGCGGTATTGGTTGCTGGCGGCGGGCCGGCACCCTGTGCGTCTTGTTGACCAAGCTGGGCGATGACTTCTTCCAACGCTTCGCGGGAATAGACGGCGTCACCGTATCGGCGCGTTTGCCTCGGGTCAGCCATTTCCAACATTGCGCTGAGCATCCCGAGCGGGTCAGGTCCCATCGGCATTTGGGGGTTCGGTCTTCCGGTCCGACGCCTTGAGCTGGAATTATAGTGGAAGGTTCCTAGAAGACTGGCTCGGGTGTTAGACCGCGGGATTTCACATCGACATACGGGATACATACTCGGACAGGTTTTCGACAGGCGGCGACATGCGTTGAGGTCTATCTGAGTCGCGCGGGAATAGTCCTTCGAATCCCGCATATTCATCTGTGCCTGTGGGATCGGGGTCTGGCGAATATCGACGTGATGACTCTTCCGGCCTGGGGCTTCTATTCCCATACTGCTGCTCTGTGTGGTGGTTATGATGATGATTATTATTGCGATGGTCAATATCATGTGCATCTGAAATGTCTCCCAGTATTGTCTGCAATGTTTGGAGCATGGGTATCATGGGGTTTGAATAAGTGCCAGCGCCAGCGCCAGCGCCGCCACCACCAGCACCATGGCGGGGTGGGAAGCTCCCCCGGACAGTGGAGGAACTGAAAGAGAAACGTCCATCAGGAGACCGGTAGGTATGATGGGAATAACCGGGGAAAGCGAAATCCATGGGGTCGTATGCTGCGGAGCCCGGATGTGGAGGTGATTCTTGATCTTGATCTTGATCCCAAGGGTTATGGTCCGTGAAGGGGCTTATAGCAGAGCGGGGAAAAGCGTCACGTTCACGTTCAGGGGGGGCAGGACTCTCTTCTATCTATCAAGCAACCGCGGTTAGGGGAAATACGCACGACAGGGAACGAGGAGCTGCATACGATCTGTACGAAATCGGACCCGCAGCTGGGGCACAAGAGGCGGTTGTCGTAATGATTGGAATCCCGAACCCAGTCTTCGCCACACGCATGGCAGATCAATAGTTCAGGATTGTCCATGGAGGGAGGGGAAGGGGGAGTCTGAGTCTTTAAGTTTTGAATCAAAGAGCCGACCAAACAAAGAGGTAAAATTGCCGTTTGTCGGAGTGAGAGAGTCACGAGTCCATTGCTTATCTGGCGTGGGGCAAACGTGTGATAGCCCCGTGGCAGGGCTGGGGAGAGCAGCACAGGGCAGGATACGGTAGGTTCACTGGAAAAGAGGGGAGATGAGGCAGACAAGTATCGACAAATAGATCCACCGCAGTGCAGGAAAGAAAGGCAAGAAACCCGACTCGTAAACACTAGCGTAGGTGGACGGGGGAGGTGGTGAAAGAAAAGAAAATATGACGTCGGCCCGGTTGCCTTTAGATCAACCCAATTCTACTTGGAAGGCGAAAGGTGAAAAAAAGTGAAATTAAAGGCAAAGGCAAAGGACAGTGCAATACCTGCATTTCCCTGGTTTCCACAATTGTTGTATGCATCATAAAAATAGCAATGCAGATGGTCGCATCAGGCAGCGCCGTTTTCCCCCAGTGAAACCGTTTCGGAGGATTGTGATGCAAGTGGCAAGGAGAGAGACAACAGAACTCTCTGGAAGCAGAGGAGAGTAGGGAAGACGGGTATCTATCACACTACAACTTGAAACTTTATGATCCATTGAAGGGCACCGTTAGGTAGCTGTTTCAGCCTAGAAGTCTACATGAGCTTCAAGTTAGATGCCAGTTCAGCCATGCCCAATTTGAGTTGTACTGATATATGTTCAAGCCTACTATGTAACGAGTGCCACTGCCACTGCCTCTCCCGGGCAAAGAGTAGAAACAAATAATCATGAAGAAAGAAACGCCCGCAAAGATGCTAATACAAAGGAGACCACCGTCACATAGTACATGGTACATAGTACAGAGTACAGAGTACAGTTCCTTGTCTCGTGAACCGAGTCCCACGACGCAAGGACTCCCCCCATCCGACTGTGCCACAGCCCTTGCAGCGCTGCTCCGCCCACTCACCGTCTTCGAACGCCCTTGAAGACCAGACTGGCCACTGTACCCGCCGCAACAGCTAAGCCTCCCATAATAGCAATGCCCATCAGTCCCTCCCTCGTGACCTTTTCGTTGATGGCATCTTCCAGCTTCGACGCCTGACGGTTTTTCCACTTCCCTTGCTCATCCTTGCCCTCGTGTTCAAGTAGCGCATCGTTCAGTCGGCGCGATTCACCGTAGTTGCCGAGCTTGTAGTTGGCCAAGGCCATGTACCAGAGGCATTCCCGTTGGCGCTCCGGGGCGGCTCTGAAGATCTCCGCTAGCAAGCGGAGACCTTCTTGTTGATCGGATCGTTGGTCTTCGCAGATCAAGCCCTGTTAAGAAAAGCGAACCCCCGCAAGCGCGGAGAAGCCTTGTCAGAACCAGTGTTGCGCGCGCGTGAAGAAGTTGAGTCGATGGATCGGCTTACCCATGCGTAGTTGAATTTCGTCTGGACTCCAGCATACATGCCCTCCTTCTCATATTGCGATCGGAGGACCTGAAGCTCACCGGCTCGGAGGGGCCTGGAATGCGAAAATGGCTGGTTAGTTCGAATGTTTCTTCGGAGAGGAAGCTCGGGGAAGCGACAAACCGGAAGGCTGCCTCGATTTCTAGCATCAAAAGGTTAATAAAGTGAACAGCCGAGACGGATGGGTGCGGAACACCTACCTGGACTTCTTCCCATAGTTAAGATTGAATGTAAGTTTTAGATAGCTGATCGCAGAGTCGTGAGAATCGGGGTTGGTAGAAAGCAAGAAACAGAACAGGAACAGGACCGAATGTTGAAGCCGAGCTTAGGCGGAACCCCGAGAATCGAATCAAATCACAAGCCAACGTCACTCACATGTGGCGGTGCAGACTGTGGCTGGTGCTGCGGCTGGTTACGGCAGCAACAATCAAAACAGTCGACTTTACCCTCAAGGTCTTGCCAGTGGAGAATCTCCCCGCAACAACATTTTAAACATCCCCCTCAACCCGCCCACAATGTTGCTCGACGAGGACCCTGGAACTGTATGTCCTTATTTCTCTTGGTCTGCTCTCATTAATTACTCATCCTGACTTGATTTCCTCTTCTAGCTCATCCACCATACGATCGGCAACTTCAATATCCATCCAGATAAACAAGCTGTCACCCGCATCAATGACTCTCTTTCCACCCTGCAGCAATCGCGTGACCTGCGCATTCGCGAGGCCGAATCAGCCATGCGCAAACTCTCCCGCAACCTGAACTCCCTGACCACCCAATACGAAGAGGCCGTCGCGGTTCATGACTCCGGTAAACACGCCGCGGAGATTGTCGAGCTAGACACGAAGAAATTCCGCATTGCCAAAGCTGCATCGGAACTGGAGATTGAAAGCGAGCGGCTCGAGAGTGAGCTGGAAATGCTCAAGGAGAGACTGGCCGATCTGGAATCACAAGGCCTGGAGGGTGATGAGACGACTCGCCGCGAACGAGAAGCCGATGACGCCACAATGTAAGTGACCGTGCCCCCCCCTCTCTGCATTGCATGAAACTATAGGATACTAACTGTCTTGGCACAAGTCTGCGTCTGAAGATCTTTCGCTCCCTGGGTATCGATATTGAGCCCGATGAGGTGGGTAATTTCAATCGCGCAGTCATTCGCAACAGTCGGAAAGGCGATGTTCATGTTGTCAACATTGATCCCAAGTTCTCGCGTTTCTTCTATTCAAACTATTTCTGGTCGACCATGCAGGGATAAACTTAATGATTTGATGTGAGGATTTTTGTTCTCGGGCGTTTTGGGAGGATGGGCAAATTGCCCAATGGTTGGAGTTCAAGTTATTTTTATACCCACAAGCTCCAATGTATTTGTTGAACTTCCTTTGAAATTTATTTTCTCTTCTTTCTTCCTTTATGCAAATGAGTAGTACAGAAATGCTACATACAGTATGATACAGATCAATGCCTCTGTAAAGCCTGAATTACCCTCGCCCGATGCTCTTCAGCAACCTTACCATCAGCACCCACCTCCGGACGACCATCGGGGAAGGTCTTCTCGACAACATCCAATAGCTCATCCTTCCCAACCTCGGACAATTCCACCCCCCAAGACGCAACCCATTCCCGCTCGGAACGAGCAAGATCCACCTCCACCCGCTCCAAATCCGGGACATCACATCCATCCCAGGTCAGCGCCACCTGCGAAGTGATACATCCATCCTCCGCCAGCGTCGTACCATACCTATTCTCCACAGCCAAAGGGTCCAAGCCCAACACCTCCCCAGCTCTCGAATTCCAAAGCACCTGTTTAACCACCCCATCCCGCTCAACCAGGAGCCAAAAGAGCGGGTACGAGCTCCGCGCAAGAGTATCCCGCACCCCCTTGGTTGCCTCGCGCGGACTCACCAACACGCCGGCCGTCTGGCCCGTGCGCCATCCAACAGGTGCCTGGCGGAGTGCGCCCTCGAGCTCGCGCACCAGGTTCGGACCCAGTTTTGTCTTTAGTGCTTTGCATTGCACCAGCACGCGGACTGCGCGTTCCCGCTCCCGCTCCGGCAGATGCCAGGTGCCGACTAGGTCTATGCCGGCATCGTCGCGGCCTCCGACGCGGTGTAGACTTAGTGCGTATCGGCGTAGGCTGTTTTGGACGGTGTATTCGTAGTGGGTTCCTACGTAGACTGTGCTTGTTGTTGGGAGGGAGATGCGTGAGGCGTAGGAGAGGAAGGTGGGTAGGTTGTTGTGCTGGGTGGTTGGAGTGGGTGCTGTGGGGAGCTTGTAGAGTCGGCGGGTGAAGGGGGAGAAGTCATGTTTTGGTTGGGAATTGGAGAAGTTGCGGGTTGGAATTATCCAGTGTGTTGTCCTTGACCATGATGAGCTGGTAGCGAGGCCATGTCGCAGATTTCGCATTGAGTTGGGGTGTTGGAGGAGAAGAAGGGGAGCTTTCCCTTCACCGCATTCACATTTGGAGAGAAGCTTGTCCGAGTCTCCGCATATCCACCCGCGGCGCATTTCTTATCTCCATCTCCAAGTCCAGCTTCCACTTCACTTCAGCTTCCCATCCTAGCCGTCATTGCAATCTCTCAACTCGCCCACCATGGCGGACATACTTACCCAGCTACAAACTTGTCTAGACCAGGTAGGAACCCACCAATATCTCCCCTTTCATCTCCATCCAACTAACACCCAACAGCTCGCGACACAATTCTACGCAACACTCGGCTACCTGAGTACCTACCACGACAATTCCCCCGCAATCCCACCACCCAACATCCCCTCCGCCGCCCCCGCTCTATCAAAGATGACCAAAAATACCACATCACCACCCATCCCGGCCTCAGTCGCAGCATCAGCAGGAGGCAGCGGCGGTCCAGCCGCATCACCACCACCCCCACCACCCCAACAACCTGGCGCAGCACCAGGAACCGAAATGCAAGACCCAAACCAACCGCCCGAGCCCGATGCCCCGCACACATTTGCCAGTCGACAGAGGGAGCTGGCGCGAGATCTCATCATCAAGGAACAACAGATTGAGTACCTTATTTCAGTACTACCGGGTATCGGGACCTCAGAAGCTGAGCAAGAGGCTAAGATACGTGAGTTGGAGGTGCAGCTTAGAGATGTTGAGGAGAAGAGGGAGGCGAAGGCGCTTGAGCTGAAGAAGTTGAGGGGGAAATTGGAAAATGTGCTGGGTGCGGTTTCGGTGGGGATTCATGGGGATGAGAAGGGTGGTCAGATGAATTGAGTTAAGCTCGCTTTTTCTTTCTGTGAGGTTCGTGGGGGGGAGGGGGGGTTTTTAAGGGCTTCAGATACCCAGCCTTTTCAGGTTTTTCTTTTTTTTATTCTATTTCATTTTGGGCCTCGATGCATGTTCAAGTTTTGACGTTGTGGATTTTCAAAATAATTGAATTGAGAACAATACAGTTTACATCCATGGATTTGATGAAGATTTGAAGGGCTCCACTTACTCAGAATATAGACAAAAAGCCTTTGAATTTTCAAAGTAGAACTGATCTCGATAATCAAATTAAGGACTTGAGATGTAGCAAAACAAAAGACCGCGGTTTCACCCATCCCTCCAAACATCAAGACCCCCCCCCCCCCTTAAACGAATGCCCAACTTCACCGAGAAACCCAACCCGTATCCGCAAAAAGGCCAACTGTGAATAAAAATGCCAACTTGAATCAATGAAGCACATCATTAAGAACATCATCGACAGTATGAAGCGCATCATCCACCACCGCACCAACATGATGCCCAATATTATCCTCACGATAACTCTTGCACCAGAGTCGTTTATACCCACTCACACAACCCTTTCCATAGGCGGCGCAGCAATTACCTCCATTCCTCTTCTCGGCCGCGCAGAATGCTTCCAGGCTCGATTCGTGCGTCCAGTCGACTAATGTTCGACCCGCTGGGTCGAGGTATCCGATGTCATGATCGACGCTTCCGCAGGATGGTGCGCTTCCTTCCCATTTGCAGTCTTTGCCGATGTCGAGGAAATCGCAGGCGAAGCTGGTGGTGAGGAAGAGGGCTGTTGCGGCTGCGGTGTAGAGCTTCATTCTGAGGGGTTGGTATAGGGCTGAGCGTGGTGGGCGGTATGATGGTGGGAATTGAAAGTTTCAAGTATTTATAGAGGTACTAGAAGGAAATAGATGTCTTTGATTCGGATGTGCTGTGTCGTGCCGTCGCGGTGTTCTTAAAAGATTAGTTGGGAAAGTAGTATCTAGCCCTGGAGGTCTATAGTATTTATATTTTCCGACTAGATCCTATTACCACTTCCGAGCAGGGTTCTGGCTGGTTGATGCATCCCTAGACATGATTTTGTCTCGGGCTGACCGGAACATAAAGGAGGGAATCTATAGGAACACCTAAAATTAAGTCTGACATTATTCTACTTGTAGATAGTACATAGGGTCTACGCGGCATGTCTCGGACTTGCGGACTCATCGATGCATGTCATCGAGGAATTTCCAATGTATCAAGACTCCAAAGAATGGCTTCGACACTGTTACACATAGAGAACTTGAACCCATTCCTTGTGAAGGGTGCAGTGCAGAAGTTTTGGGCTCTTAATGAGGTCACATTTCTGCTGGATTGATTCGCCATAGGGTGTGTCTGAATTAATGGGATAGGCCCTTGCAAGCTTTCAATTTGGCATCGTGGACATTCCGTGGACAAATAATCAACCATGGGCTGGACCTGTCCGTCAGTTATGTACGGTGGAGGAGAGTACTCGCTTCCAAGATTCTGTCATCGTCAATTTCATGTCTCAATTCTCAAGTCTCTTCACCTGGGCAGTCCATTCTGTTGTCTGTTCCAGTCCTTCCTTTGTCATTGACACTCTGCACAATTTTGGATAGATATATGCAGATAGCCAAACTACTCTCATCGAACATAGTATCATTATTTACTAGTATGTATTAATTAGTAGGTGAGCAGGATAGTCAGGAGCTGGATCATAGTTATATAGGTACAGTACTTTCGGAAATCGGTGCCACTACCTACTACACTCTTTCATTTAAGCCTACTGGTAGTCTTACGCCGATAATCCAGATCAAGGATTTAATAAATTCCTTGACTGGTATATTGACAAGGCCGGAACAAGGGGACAAAGTGCAAGAGGTCACTTCTCAGACGCAGGTCTTGATATTGAAGAGCTATAAGGACCAAGAAAAAGAAACGAAAGAAGACGATGGGGTTCTACTCCATAATAAACTTTTGGGAGTCAGAAGAAGAGGTTGCCGAGTGATATTGAAATTACATCTTGTTAACCCAGCTCCAGCTTCCAACTGGTTTTCAGGTTCTTAAAAGCGCTCTCTCAAAATCCAGCCCCCCGTGAAAAGTAGGACTGGCAAGGAGGATATACCGGCCAGCAGCCCCAGCGCCCAGCCCATGGTTCCCCAACCACTCTGTATACGAATGAACCCCGCGAAGAAAGGCCCGACAATACTACCGGCCGCAAACCCGATATTAGTTAGACCAAGCGCCAGTGCCACGGCTCCACCCTTACCAAACACATCTGGCGTCTGGTGCTCCTTATCTCCGACAAATCTAATGACCTCAGCGTATAGAGCCGGCATCGCTATGGATATACAGACTCCTATAACTGCGAGGAGGGCGCAAAGGAGAATTTTGTGCCGTATGGAGTCATTTGTAACAAATCGCAGAAGGATCATAACAGGCGTAAGCAACAGGAACGCACCGGCTGTTACGTAGCGGCAAGATCGGGGAAATTTGTCCACGATGGACCCCGCGACTGGGCTTAAGGCGTGTGGTATAATTAGCGGGAGGAAGATCAATCCCTGGCCGCCTTGCTCCCACCTAAAATTTTCCTGCACAAAGAGCGGAAGAACACAGTCGAATGAGCTCATGGTTATGGAAACGACTAGGCTCCCCCACATGGCAACGATAACACGAGGTGAGCTCAACAGGATTCCAAGTCGACCGAGTACACCTCGTGGAGGTGCTTCCAGCAGCGAACTTTTGCTAGCAAATCAGTTACAAGTGTTAGCACATCCGATTCTTTTGGAACTGCTATGATTGCAACTTACTGTTCCATAGCAGACTGTTTTTTATTGGGTCGCCCCAGTTTCGGCCCAAGCCACTGGATGGCATGTCTTTTTTCGATCAATGCTAATCGGAGAACGATATCGAGGCCAATTAGGCCAAACGCAATGCCAAAGACGGCGTAGTAGCCGCCATGTTGGTACACAAGACCACCGACAAGGGGACCGGCCAATAGTCCGACACAACAGGCCATTGTTGTGTATCCGATGGCTTTACCGACGCCGTCTTTGCCCACAGTATCGGCCACCAACGCATTTCCAACCACCCAGACCACCGCAGATGCTGCCCCTTGAAATAAACGACCGCAGATCCAAAATCCAATATGGTCCCCAGCGCAGAGCAGAGCAGTCGCTGCGCCTAGACCTACCAGGGCAAAGAGATACGGATATCGACGCGATTCGAATCGATCGGCAATGTACCCGGCGATAGGGGAAGAAGCTAACAGACCAACCCCGAACAAGGCCAAAAGAATTGAGTTCCAGGTCTGAAGACTTCCACTAGAGATGCCAACCCTGGATTGTAGCGCAGTGGGGGTCACGGGCACGATCAACCCATACAGGAAGATATCTGTCGCAGCAGCGTATGAGACGACTGTGGTGATGAACCAGCCCGAAGATCTCAGCTCCAGAAAGCTGGGTCGCACGGCAGCATCCTCCCTATACTGGGAGTCTTGCCGTTTCCAAAAGCCCATGCCAGCGAGGAGATAGCTGAATTGATAATGAGGGCAAGACGTCGAGTTGAATCAGTGGCAGCACCATATACGCTAGGAATAGATGCCTTTTTCTCAAGGGACGTGCAAAGCAGCGACATAAGCAAAAGTTTACACGTAATTGCTGATGGGAATCTACTAGTAAAGAGAACGATGCGACGGAGTCTACTATGAAGCGAGCTCTTCAAAATGATAGCCCTCCAGGACCCGCTCTCAGGCGGTTGAGGTCCCCACATGAATAGCTGAAAGCTGGTATTACGAAGAATGACTCATTGAGGCTCATGCTGATCGACGAAGAACCATTTGTAGTAATTTAGAGCTCTCTAATGGGTACTACTAGTAGGTTAGTATCAGCTTGAAGGTTCTCAGATTCATTTTAGTTGTAAACAGAGTTGAGTTCTATTGATACTGGAAAATTCTTGTATATGGCAAACAATCTCAGAGAAACGAAAAGAAAACCACTCATTGTATAAAAATAGGAACTTGAAATGAGAGAAAAAAAAGATGAAAAAAAAGAAAATTGAAATTGAAGGAGGAATTCTGGCGCCTAGAGAGAAATCAACGCATGAAACAATGTCCTGCCTCTCCTGGGTATCAAATAATTTAGAATAATCAAATCCCATCCCTGTCGCCGTTCCATTCCACCCAGAAAAGACCAAGCTCAAGACGCACGCACGAATAGCCGAGAGAGAAAATATCGGAGGAAATCCAACGCGAAAAAGAGGGAAAAAAAGAAGGGAGGGGGGGGGGGGAGCTACTTGAAGAGGCTGCGGTACTCCTTCATGCGCTCTTCTTGTATTTCCCTCTTGTCCAGCTTTCCGCGATTCAAGGACATATCTGCGAGCTGCTGCTTCTTCTTAGCCAACTCGAGAATCTTTTCCTCGATACTGCCCTTCATGATGAACTGAACAGTCTTGACGGGGCGAGTCTGGCCAAGTCGATGAACACGGTCCACGGCCTGTGCCACGGAAGCGGGGTTGTACTGAGGCTCCATGACGAAAACCTGGGATGCGGAGGTTAGGTTCAGTCCGACACCGCCTGCGCCGATTGTAGCAAGGAGGATGGTGATGGAGTCATCCTTGGCAAATGCTTCAAGTGCCTTTCCACGTGCCTGTAGAGTCATCGTGCCGTCCAGTCTGGTAAACGTGTTCATGCCTTTATCGATCAAAGCAATTTCGATCAGGTCTAAGTGCGAGGTCCAGGATGAGAAGATGACGCTCTTGATTGGAGGCTCGTTATTCTCGGCCTTCAACCTTTCGCTTTCGACCTTGGCGGACTGCAGATGTTCAATGAGGGCGAGAGTCTTGGTGTGCGGTCCCTCGTACTCGCCAAACTGCTTGATGTGCTTCTTTGAATTGCGGTCCGATTCTTGCTTGGCCAAGAAACTTTCAAGTCCTGCAGGTGTGATTCGCGAGAAGCTGTTTGGTACCCAACCATCGCAGATTTGACACTTAATTGTCTCGGAAGCAGGGTCTTGCGTCCGGTACCACTTTGCGAAACAATCCGGGCAAAATACGTCGAAGCAAGGCATCACGATCGCGATCGGGGCATTCTGATCGACGGAGCCATTTTCAGAATCTTGTTCATCGGGAACCTTCAAAGTCCTTCGGCAAACGCGACATTCGGTGTCTCCGGTTTGTTGCATGAGAGCAAACATATCGTACGACTTTCGGTCCGCTGCAGCAGCGCTCTTGTCCGATCCCCCTTCCTCCAGATCGATAGCATCTTGCACACTCAAGCCCCTGGTTCTTTCCCTGTCTTCGACATCGAGGAGCTCTTTTCCGTGTGCACTTACTTGCCGCAGGATCATCATCGCTTTCAGAACGTGATGGTAAACGCGTCCGCCCATCGATGTCCTGCTTTCTCCCGCAATCACGCGCATCATGACGTTGGACTCTCTGCGGAAAAATTCGTGCAGTTGAGTTTCCTTTTCAGAGAATTCGAGCATGATGATATCGTCGGTTCGGGGTGGAAGATTGATGCGGTCCTTGACTCGACGGATTGTGAAAGAATCGACCAAGACTCGAAGGCTTGCCAAAACGCGAGGGTCGCCAGATTTGAATGGGCTTAGAATATAATGTCCAAAACGGCCGCGATCATCATAAGGGAACAATTTCAAGAATTTGGTGACCGACAAGAGGTCATCCAGTCGATTCTGAATGGGTGTTCCGGTGACTGACCAGCGACGCTGCGAATTCAGGCCCAGGATTGCATGCGTTTGCTGCGCATTTTGTTCTCGAATGGTGTGCGCTTCATCCAGGACAATTCGGAACATGTTCATCT